ACCAAAATTTGACCACACCGAGGACGTGCAAGACCTTCTTACAGGATCTTTCTTGCATACGAAAAGTACCACAAACGTGGAGACAAGACTGAACGAACAAGCCGTGTTTTATTGGTTTTATTGCAGCTCTTCACTTATAGCTCTCATCCCGACTGGTTAATTAGCATCTATTTTGGACTCTACACATGAATTAGGTATGGCTGGCTACCTCATATATATATACGCCGCAGTCAGCACCGCTTTCCAGTTTCCTCCAGTCAAACAGTCACTCATGCTGTCCTATTATTCTCGATAATTTATATCACGTCCTTTGAATACTTGCTCCGATGAAGTCGTCTCGTATCCTGTACGCTTTCATACGCTGAGATACTGGCGACGCAGAGGATTCAATATGCTTGAGTTATGTGCCCGGCTCGGAGGTAATCGCATCAATTATAAGACTGTGGCTTTCAAAGGCTAATCGCTAAACTTGTATCAATAAATACATCTGCATTTAGACTGACGCCAAATAGCGAAGCTATGGATAGTGAAGCTTAGTATTTACTAGGCTTTATTTTCAAGTATAAGTTAGAAATCTATTTTAATTGTAAATTACTGACAAGACTTGGACCTCGACCGGCATCCACGGCGTTCCGTGCTGTTCTAAACAAGCTTGAGCTATCTTATCCTACACGTTATCGTCGAATTTCTTCAAATCATTGATACATGCACCTCTCGCGTAATTTCAATTACGATGTAATACATTTCTTATTGTGTGATGTGAACATTTTTATAAGTTTTCACGCATTCAATGTCAATAGCTATTCCTGTCATAAGTGTAAGTTTGAGTACCTATCGCCCGTGTAACGGTTTTCTTTCGATCTAGAATGCATTTATAATTCAAATTTAATATAATTTATGCCTCTTCTCTGTAATGTTCTATTCGAAGATTTAAGATTCTGAAATACTTATTGTATTCTAGTGTAAGTGTGGGTAATAGGTATTTTTTAAACTTATCGTACTTACTTACGTACATAGTAAGTTATATATGTAAAAAGCAGATTTACAGCTAAATTCGAAACCGATTGTGTATTATTAGAAATGTTTATATTTAAAATAGACCAGAGATGTATTTTAAACCAACTGTAATTGTAAATTCGTACCTATTCCCATATAATATTATGTAATGTATAATATTGTGTATACGCTTAAGTGAAAATGTATTTCTTGCGTAAATAAATGTCTTAAACTATTTTAAGTTCTAATGAGAATGATTGTAGCTTTTCACCCATATATGTAATCTCTATACAGTAAAGCTATGTTTGAAGAATTATCTTACCATTCGCTATCTGTTGCGCCCTAACCGATCCGGTTAACGGCTCATCATACGGACCTGTGCTGTCGTCGATGAAATATTGATAGTTCTCATTTCTTACTTCCATGCACTTATGACTTGCGAAGCTATATCGATATCAATCACTCTTGTTTAGCCATCTATTAGTCGATACTTGAGGATGACGATATGTGGAGCATATTTCGCAATGGGGGTACCACCACCCAATTCGAACATGACAGGCTTGACGATAAGCTATTTCGTTCTTAACCTTTTCTTTATTTACGTGTTATAAACATTAAAAGATTTTTTTAATACGACACGGGCAGGACTTGAACCGGCATTATAAGTGTTAAGGTTGAAATGACATGGCGCGAGATGTGTGTGAAAAAATTCGACAATGACGGGTATCGATACGGTAGCTGAATTATTTAGAGCGAAAGCACGGAATGCTATGGAAACTGATTTAATCCCTGCCCGGGTCGTAATTTTTTTCAATTTATAATCAGTTTTTAATTTACATACTGCAATATCATGTTAAGAATATAAAAGTTTTCAAACATTATAAACACTGTAAACAAGTAACTTGCATATAGGCTTGCACTTTTGTAAAGTCAACAAAAGTTTACACAAATTCGAAAGCCTTTCGTCACCTTTTTCACAATCTTTCCACCTTATTAACATAGACTAATATAGATAACCGGAGTATCTATTTTATCAGACTGTCAAAATTAAATATGTAAAATGTCTACATTTAAGTAATTAACGGACGTCCAAACTTTCCAAATTGAACACGTTCAAATTATAATGAATGCACATACATTCCGGACATAATGTTTAATGGCCATTACCATAACACCGGTAGCAATAAACGGGTGTAGATAAATGTCCGTGAGTACTTGATGAATGGACACCTATCGGCGATTATCGTAAGTCATAAATGTGAGAAAATTATTTAATATTAAACTGGCTATGCACTGCGCGCGGATAATTAATATTGTACTTGATTGATTGTAATGTGTTGTCCATTTTGAATGCAAGAACGGAATTGTTTGTTTTTAAGGGCCCGTGTCATAGCAACTATCGTGTAGCGGGCCCAAAAAAGCGGGCGTTTTATATAGGATTAAAAAAAAACACTTTTAACGGTTTAAATAGCAAAATATATTATTTATTATTTTATTTTTGGCGCCTCTCTTAAACCTTTACTTTTGAACTGTTCAGTGTTTTTTTTTACTATTCTACTCGCGTAAACTACAGACAATGTCGGTCATATAATATAAAAATTATTCTCCGAATAGACCCGCAACTAAACGCCAAACAATTAATTACCACAAGTGTCGTGCTAACCGACGTCACGGCGGTTAATTAAAGAGATTTACCTTTTCTATTCTAATTTATGTCCTACCCTCGGGGTGGTTAATTTATCGCTATATTTGTGACAAAACTCCTGTTGAGGCCGCCTCGTTCGAGCGCGATTTTATTACGCCGATGTATCATCGTGATAATGTCTGTTTTTTGTACGATTGATGGGATTTTATGGTGTAAACCAGGATCCTCACTTAAAATTTAAGCTAGTAGTGTACTCTCCTAGTCCTACAGAACTCTGTAAGATAAATCGAATCTTGTCAGGACACTATTAATATTATTAAGGTGGCTTAATTCTCTGCTCAATTTACAGAAATACGTACATTGCAATAGTATAATGAAACTTATAGTATTACAAGACCATTCTATAATTTAATAAAAAAAAGAACGATTCAAGAATCAATAATTACAGAAGACTTAAAAATTAAGAAAAAGCGAGGGTAGATTTTTATTTCGTTACATCCAAAAATAGCAAATAGAACAGGACGTATTCGCTTCTTGTCTTATAGCACTTTATTATATATAGCTTTTATCATCACATCGCTAATTACTATGAATTTTATTTCTCTTTCTAAAACATATTGAACTTCGTCTGGAAATCTGAATAGTAAGTGGTGGGTAGTGGTAGAAATATTGAAATATCGTCCGAGTCACTAACCCTCCTCCACAGTGAAAAGCCTTCTAGTTTTATCGCGTTTCGGTTTCAGTCTGTGAGTTTCCGAATATCCAAAGCCAAAGTAGGCACGACAGCGCTTTGTGATTATTTGGCTGGGATATTTCACCTCCCATTAAATGAAACCCATGCTTGTGTCCTTCTGTATGCTTAATACAATCTAGATAAAGGATAGCTAGAATTTGATATTGGCCATAAACCGTACATTTTCTATAACCGATGCGATAGTCCGATTTTTGGGTTATTGCTGGTATGGAAGGTGTCACCGTCGCCGTGCCTAGGAAAGCACGTTTAGCCATGACTCTCAATTATCATCAGTAGTTTAGTGGTGGTTAAAACCTGTCAACCAACTAGGACATAGTTTGATGTTTAAAAAATCGTCATTGCAGAACACAGCGTATAGACGCAAATTGTTAGGTTGCTCTCTACTCCTACCACGACAAGTTGATAAATAAGTTTTGAATGTGTCAGAAATGTATAATTAAAATAAACCAAACACATTAAGTAACAGAACGCGTTTAGCGCGACAACAAAGCGCTAGAAATAGCCGGTCACCCACAATCGTCTATTCTTTCCTTCCGAATATTATTTCTGTTACGGAACGCGGTACGAGGTTCCGCGTATCGCGTTACGTTACGCTTTTGCAACTAAAACATTAAGATTTGTGCCAACTTCTAATGAGATTCCTTAACAACAACAAAAAGCGTAATTTGTAATTCTCCTTTTTTTATCATAGAAGAAGATGCCAGGCATGCATGGGGTTGATTGAATGTGAAGTCATATAACGTCTAAACATGGTGCGTTTGTCTACTTATTTTGGCTTTAGATGTTGGGAAACTCACAGACGGTGGATTGTGACCCAAACAATTACTATCCAGATATTCAGACGAAGTCCAGCATGTTTATATTAAAAACTAATGAACATGTTCGGTATAAGATAGCCATACGTTGCGACCATTAGACGAACGAGCGCGTCGAAAAAGTTTTACGGCTCTCAAGGTAGTTGGCGTGCTAGAAACCCCAAAACGATACAATTAAGGCATCACGAATTTAATAACATCGTTCGTTTGTTTAATGTTAATTATTGGTTAGGTGCGCACATGGATTAGCGCGGATATTATAATAACCGAGTGGAGACGCCTTCCGGGTTCGAACGTGTTATTTAATTAGTTCGCTAGAATTGCGATCTATAACTTATACCTCCGCTCTGTGGCTGCATTGTGCTTATTATAACGTTGGGTCTATATGCAGAATAAATGTATAATATACCACTCGCTCGTCGGTCTAATGGTAGCAATGTTTGACTAGTAATCAACGGTTCTAAACGTGTTATTAATTTATATTTTTTCTGAGACACGTTGGACTTGAAATGTAGATATTAAATAGCTAGTTCTACTACCTATTATTATATGGAAATGCGTCCGAACGAACCACTGTCTACGAAAGAAAAGCAGTGTAGTTTGGTTTTCCCCCAAAAAAGTGGTCAGTGCGTCTTGTTAAGATATTATTATGGTATTTCACTTAATTTTCCTTTTTTTTTGCGTAGATTTTATTTATTGAATGACGAAGATTTCGAGCGTGACAACAACGGGATAGTAAGTAAAAATGAACACAATATATATGTGACGAAACGTTCTATGAAATTTTCAGCAACCCGAAGAGTTGGCGAAATCGGTGAAACTGACGTCACGCGAGCGACGCTTCATAAAGTTCGCGAGCGTGGAGCACGGTGGACAGCTGTACATGACACCTCAGGACTTTCTCGAGTCTGTGGTCGAGCAGGAGCCTCGTCGTAAGTAACCACAGCAGAATGTTTTTACTCTGTAGTTTGTGCTACAGACTAGCCCTTGCTTTGCCCTTCAACGGTTCAAGCAATGTATTTTTTTTTAAACATAGGTCCAAAATATCGAAAACCTGTGTGGGTCACGAACCACCGTCTTCAGATAAAAAAGCCGAGTAGTTTAATCGCTCTCTCGGAATAGTCGGTAGTGTATAGATTTCTGCATGACCAATACGGGATCGACAGCATATTCTATTTTTATATTAACGACTAGGGGTATTTTACGTTCCATATAGTGAATCCCTTGTTTGTATGTCTTTCTCTGTTAAAAAAAAAATCAAATTACAATTTAATACATATAATGAATGACATTAAAATTCATAAATTCAAATTTGCCGCGTATCGCACCTTTGTAATCTGTGAGTGAAAGATGGGCATGATGTAAAGAACTAAAGATATGTTTGATAAAGATCGTGTTATAAAAAGGATATAATTGGGGATATAATAAAAATAAACATTTAGTTTCTTTATACTATTTCAGGTAAGATCATAATTTAGATTACTGTAAATTATATTTGTTGTAAGTAAGTGTATCAAGGAAACAACTTTAAATTTTTTTCAGAGAAACGAATTTTGCTTATTATTGGAAAATCCGTATTCAATATAATATCTTATACCTTTTTTAATTTTATATCCTTAGTTTAAATTCACAATCAGAGGTTGTTAATCTAAAGCAGTGAGTAACGAGTAAATGTTAGATGCGACATGCAATATTTGAATTTAACGAGAAATATTAATACCACGCATGTTCCCAGTATTTTCGCCGTACTTGGAATCTAGCCGTTTTAGCAATCGTCCAATTATGAGACACGTCTACCTGTCGACAGCTCGGCTGAAGCGTCGAGTGCTCAACGTGAAGGAGATAGAACAGCTGCGAGATAGCACGCCACCGCTGAAGAAGGGCTCATCGCAGATGTTCAGGAATATGAGGGACAAGGGTGAGTTTACTTCTTATTTACAGGAACAAGTCAAGACAAGCAAGAAATAAACCTGTGTTTGAAACAGACAGCAGGCATGGACAGTTTTTACATATTGTGCTGTATTATAATGTCGAAGAATTACTTCCATTATCTATCTATCTCGCTATCCACGAGATACGTTTAACACAACCAACAATATCAATTTCAAACTTTTTTCAAGTTTAAAATTAATTAATTGCTATCGAATATGTAATGTTTCATTTCAATTTCTTTCAGGAATAATATCGTACACGGAATACTTGTTCCTGCTTTCCATCTTAACAAGTAAGTAATTATAATATATATATTTATTTTGTTGGTTCTAAGTTATTTTTTATTTGCATATTTATTATATATTCTTATTATTTAACATAATTTCAGAACCTGCGTCGGGATTCCAGATAGCCTTCAACATGTTCGACACGGACGGTAACCAGAGAGTCGATAAAAATGAATTTCTCGTCGTAAGTAGAAATTATTATTGCATTCATATTTTTCATGCACAAATTTATTTTAAACTACAACATCACAGAATTCACGGAGCAAACACAATTAAGAATGTACAACAACAATATTAAGCTATTTTTTGGATTCTAAAATTTTGAGCTATTGACTCCTCCTCAATTAAAGGAAGTTCAATAGTAGAGATTCAGTTCTTAGTGACGATGCCTGAAAAACTAGAAAACCTTAAGCTTATAAAATTGCGACAAAAGTGTACCTGTATAAACCTATTATGCATTTATTGTGATATTTAATTTAACACTTTAATTTGTTTTAACACAGTTACATTTTTGTATATTATACGTAATTTTGTAGTTTCTTTGCAACAAATTAGATGTTGATGTTGTTTTGCCCATAGAATTTTTACTTTACGTTACTTGCACTTACATATATTGCACATTGGCAGTATTTTGAGAGGCACTTATGTTTTAGTAGTGCTAAAATTTCTATAAAGCTGAATGATGTAGATTCACATGGCTCGGTAGCTTGATCTTCGAAAACACGGTAACAGACCTCATCATAAGGCTGGGGTGACCTGTATTAATGTTTATACCCTATGTGTTGCATGTACATATCTAGATACAGCGCCTGCTCGGTGGTTCGATGAAGGAGAGGAAAGATTTGGACTTGTACTCCCAACGGGCAGTGAGTTCGATATTGTGTGAGGTTGATCGTGGATCGATTTTAATGCAGGAGCAATTGGAAACACAAATTAAGACCTAGACCATTTTAAATTTATTTGATTTATAGATCTATGAAGTCGATCCATGACGTTATAATTGTCAATTAAATTGTGTCTAATACCACACCATCGACTACTTACTGCTCCTAACCATTCAATTTAGCTTCGATTTGACTACTTGTGAATTTACTAAAAAGGGGGGGACATTTAAGTGCGACAAAGAATTCACTCAATTCCACATTCTTTCTGACATTTTGTACCTTTCAATTATTATTTATTTATTTGCTTTTCTCTATCATGTTATGTTTTTTTAATACTATTTATCATTGTTGCTTATTTCACTAAGGAAATAACCCGATCTTAATCACAAAACAACCGTTGACATTCTTGACACGATTGCTATATATATCATATACATATTACCACAAGTATTATATAAATAATTAATATATTTATATGTGGCTGTTAGCTGCTTTCTCTAGTCTCTGCAAGTTCTCTAAGGACCCGGATGGGGCAAACTGACCAACCGCCAAAACCTTCAATAGTAAGTTACTGTGAATGGAGCTCTGCTTTTTATGGAATGGTATTTGTATTGTAATGTGACCCTCAAAGGAAAGCCCTAGTTACATTAACGTTTATGAAATTAGTAGGTAACTTGGGCATTCATATAACAAATATTTTAGTAACTTTTTGTATTAACATTTTGTGTATATACAATTTATTGTTTTGTAATATTTGTGTATTGGTAACCCGTTAACTGTAAAATGAAGATTGTGCGAGTTTGAATTCTTTACTTGAATTCATAATTTACGATCTAAGTAAATGAACCTTATTCATGCGTTACACCACAGGGCCCCATGTACTCGTCTTTCTTTCACCAAATTGATCTAACAACATTATAAAGTTAGTAGATAAATTTGGTGATCGTTGACCTTGGAGTAAAGGGCGTAATTTCATGTGATAGTGATTATGAATTGTGAATGTCATTGTATCGACATAACAAAAACTAAAAAATATTGTACGGCTGTCGTGTACTCACACTTAATGTGTATAATATTATCTAAGAATAAATAACCACAAATTTTCCTATCTTTCAAATCTGCATCTACCCTCTTTTATAAAAACATATTTTCGTTATTTTTTCCTCTTTTCATATTTCAAAACTTCTCTTTTTTTCTCTTTAAACCATATTTTCTTATACATTTGAAAAACTATTTTTCAGGTAAGTATTGTAAGCATTTAAATAATACACTTCTAATGATTTAAAACGTGAAATGTAGCCGTTGCCATCAAGCATCCGATACCTCGCGTCATAGCTAAAATAAATTGTAAATCAGTGTCTAATTTTTGTGTTTTAAACCGTTAAAAGTGATTCATTTAAATATTTACTACTACAGACAATACTTTAGTATTGTAATCATCCCATCCATTCTCTATTTTATAACCATTCTAACCTCTACATTATTTATTTGACCTCATTGTTCCTTGAAATAACTCAAACTCATAACGATGTCTCACTTATTTCTCTTAAGTCTAATCAACAATTATACTCCTGCAGATGGAGAAGATATTCAGCTTCGCGTGGCGCGACAAACGCGGCATGTCCGAAGACGAGAAAGTGGAGGGTAAAGAGGAGGAGGGAAATAAGGGTAAGCCTCGAGAACATTACATCAATGACGACCAAGGTCTACAGAGGAGGCACAATATTGACACGATGCTTCAGGTATTTGATTTTTACGATTTCAGCATATTTGACTGACTCTTAATGTGTTATCAACACGCGTTAATCTTTCGATGGCAATTAGTGCTTAGCATAAATCACTACATAGTATAGAACGAAGTCGCTTTTTCTGTCCGCTGTGTACGCTTTAATCTTTAAAACTACGTAACGGGTTTTGATGCGGTTTTTTTAATAGATAGAGTGATTCAAGAGGAAGGTTTTTATATACAACATTTAGTTATTCTGTTATTCAGTATCAGCATTGCTCCCGAGCGAACCCGGGGCAGGTCGCTAGTCCTACAAAGCCTAATAATATCCAAAGTATTTCAACTAGGGCTTACGTTGGTTAAGATTTTCCCTCTATTTGGGGTTCTTGTTGTGTGTACTTGATGATTATTGTATGACGGAATTTTTTATCACTTAGGCATTTAAGTAACAAATTTAATTGTATTTTCAGGTCCACTTCTTCGGTAAAAAGGGTAATAACGATCTCAAATTCGAAGGTTTTCGTCAATTCATGGAGAATTTGCAGACTGAAGTTTTGGAACTGGAATTTCATGAGTTTGCTAAAGGTAAAGGAAATTCTTATTTTATAATCCAGTTATATAGTATTGAAATTCTTCATAATAAACTATAATATTAACGAAACGAAGAATATCTTTCGCAGGTCACGAGACCATATCCGAAGTGGACTTTGCGAAGATTCTCCTCCGTTACACCTATTTGGACACTGACGAATACGACATGTACCTGGACAGACTACTGGACCGCGTCAAGTACGGACAGGGGATCACGTTCCACGAGTTCAAGACCTTCTGCCAGTTCCTGAATAACCTGGAAGACTTTACCATCGCCATGAGGATGTACACCCTCGCTGACCATCCTATATCTAAAGGTATTTTAATTTCATACTTTTGATGACAGATCTAATATTTGAAGATTTTACGACACGAGCAGGACTCGAACCGGCATCTATAGCGTTTGGTGCTGTTGCTGTAACCAATTTGAGCCATCGTGTCCTACACGCAATATTCGATTTTGTTTTAACTTCTCGATACATGCACTTCCTGCGCAATGCAATTTCAACCTAAACAGTTAGCAATGTCTTATGCTTTCCAGATTAATACTCTTTGAAAATTAAATTACAGAGTTTAAAATTTGAAAACTTTAATACTTTTCGCACACGCTGTGCGGTGTTGAACCGGCATCCACAGCTTGTCCGTGTCATAAATTTCTCTCAATCTAATTCCATTCTTATTTTATATAATGTTATCATGTGCAATAACATGTTTAAAATATTAAAGAATATATATATGTGTATACTTGATTCTTTTTAAAATTAAAAAAAAAATATTTAGATTCGTCCAAAATTTTTTGTTTGTCTCTCTGTTCGTCGTGATTCTACAAAGTTTCCAGAAATCTCAGAAATACTTAAGGAACAATTGTTAAGTGTTATTAAAGACAGGCCCTGTCTCTTTCCAACAGCCCGCAGTGTAGTTCGTTTTCAATGATTCTAGAACAGATTTTTATCAATAGTTATTGTATATTCGCAGACGAGTTCCATCGCGCTGTCAAGATCTGCACGGGCATCGCGCAGTCGGAACATCTAGTGAGCACCGTGTTCGCCATCTTCGACGCGGACGGTGATGGTCTTCTCAGCTACAAAGAGTTCATCGCCATCATGAAGGACAGACTGCATCGGGGCTTCAAGGTTAGCTTACTGTTTCACTGTTTTTGAATGTGCTAAGTACTAGCCGAGAGGTTGTGGTTATGTGTAGTAGTAACAGCCCCATGCCCCACATATGGGCATGTCATGTCTATTTAGATATAAATACTTTGGACGAACTCCTTAGTCTATTGGTAGCAATTAATGGCTAACTAATAAATTTGAAATTGTTTCGACACATGCTGGACTTCCTCTGGATATCTGGATCCCGTCGGGCATACTAACTATCACCGACAGATGAAAAAACCGTGAAGTTAGAGAGTTATGGTTCTTTAAATTACCTAATATCCAAAGCCGACAGCTCATCTTTTTTAAATGTTATATGGCTGGGGTGTTTTACTTTACACTATCTTAAAGAAAGTGTTAGGCTTTTGTTGCCTTTTGGAAAGCTTGGGTTTCCGAGCTGATTGACCGTCGAAGTCAGGGAGCTATTCTATATCTAGTGGATGGTATTGGTAGGACATGTTAAGCATTCTCCTATAAAACTGAATCATCAGTGTTTATACTATAATTTTTTTATTGTTTTTTCTGTTTCAGTCCTATGCGAAAAATGAAGGTTGGGAGGCATTCAAGTCCTGTGTTAAACAAGAAATGAAAAGTGCCGTCTAATTTTTATCACTGCACTATATTTTAAGCAATGTTGCCAGTATATAATCAGTTACAAAAGTAATTATCCTTGCCAAAGTTTATTATATTATAACTTTAAATAATGGTTACTGATTCCTATTGTTTAAAACAAACAAAATAATAATGCACAAATATGAAGGTATAAATGAATATCTATATATCGATTTTTATGAATAAAAAATTTGGTCGTCATATAGTGCTTAGAGGTTAAGATCTTGATAATTGCCTGCAAATAAACTATTGCACATTAAAAATATTTATATTAATATATAAGAATTTATGCTTCACTTCAATGTTACATTTGTCTGAAGATTTGAAATGCACCTCTTTGAATATAGCACATGCATATGAGACAAACTAATAATTAGTATTGTCTGTTATTCACGCGATTAGTACAATAGATAAATAACACTTTTAATGGTTTAAAATACGGAATATATTATTTAACATTACTTATGATTTAAAGTAAGCCTTCACGAGGGACACGTAAATTAAAAAAAAAAAAAAAAAATTAATTGTTGTGATTCCGCGTTTTAAACCGTTAAGAGTATTTCAATCAAGAATCTTGTTTAATCATACGCCTTTAGTGAGGAAATGTTAAATTTTAGAAACTAATGTTATAACTTTTAGTGCGTTGAAAATATGAGATTTTATACTGTGTTTTTACTATTTTTAAGGCTTTCGCGATTTTTTCAAAGATTTCTGTTTTCGAAGTCTATGGTTGTCGCAGTGACGTCATCTGATGTTGGACGGTCCTCGACTGAGTGAAGACAAGAAAACTTTAATTGTGACGGCCGAACTGCTCGAAAACCCAAGAAGCTTTGATTCGTGTATTATGTTTACGCAATAAGCAACAAATACTAATAATTTTGTTATATCGCTGGCGATAGTATACTACCAAATGAACGACCTCAAATAATTGTGGATATACAATATTTTCATTGTACTTAAAACTTTTTGGTTGTAAACAACAGTATTACAAATCCAATACTATGTACTAGTCACTGTTTTTAAAATATTATTGAATTTTAGTATGCTGTGAATTAACGTTTAATTATTAATGAATATTATAAATGAAATTGTTTTATTTAACTCCTGAAATGGTAAAATATTGCATTTGAATGCGACAACTTTTAATAGGGAAGGAAAACCGTTTAGTTATGTCACGCGTTACGGCGCCAGTCTGTCAAGTTATCACTTCTGGACCTCTCAAAACACTCGTATTTCCGGAAACTTTATACATAAAAAAAAAACTAAGAGTAACAAAATATTAGGACAAATTCGTTCATAATTATTGCAAATTCTTTTTTTGTGCAAAAGAGATGGCATGCGGTATATTTCATAAAGTGGGAAAGGGAGCGGGGCACTTACCATTATTGTATTCGTAGAATACATAAATTAACAAACTTCGGTTCATTGCTTTAATGAGATTTTTGCATAAAGAAATAAATAAGTTTACAATTATTGTTTCGCAATCGACGAAACGACTTAACTTAAGCGTAAGGAAGAACTGTAAACCTAAAGTTCAATAAGTACAGCGGCACTTAAAATTGAACAGCACTCGATGAAAATTACTGATAAGTTAATGCGGCAGTTAATACACAAAATGAATGCGTAATCAATATGGACTGCGAAAACTCAAACTAGCGCTACGAAATGCTTTTAAAGCTACTAGTTTAAACTTCAATATGTAAATAAAAAAAAAGCCGTCACATTTTTACACACGTTCAATAGAATTCTTCTGTTTAAGTTCTCTTTTAAAGTATTTTTATTAGGTTTCCTTCAGTACCTCTTAAATTGTTCAATACTATATTACTAACTCCAGAGTGTTGTTGATTGGAGTGGCAGATTGGTCTATCCGATTATTAAAAAGTTGGAGGCAGTAGTATCAGACATAGTGAAGACAAAGGTAGTGTTCCTCCAACCATGGATATTTTCATTCACAAGTGAAAACCAAAACTATATTATAATTTTAAATATACAATACAAATACGTCACACCGTCTTGTTATTAATGTATATGCATTACAAAATAAATAAAAAGCTATTTGATGTTTGTAGCACCACGGGGGCTAGCACAAAACTTTGTTATACCGTCGTAAAATAAATAAATATAATAATAATGTAAAATATGTAACATCGTTATTTTGTCCTTCAATTGTACTCTATGAAATATGTCAATAAATGAACATATATTAATGCGGCTCAAACACACCAAATACACTTATATCTTTTTAGTCTTCCTATGAAAGCGGTGTTGAATCCTTATACTCCTCAAATTCCAAAAATATCTTATTTCTCAACCAAATAAGCTCTTAACCCATCTTATTGTAATTGTTTAGTAGAAAGTTACTGCCGTCTCTTTTACGCATGGGCCACTTGTAATTTAAATAAAAGAGGCAAAACATAAATTACCAATTTGTCATTTTTATGAAGGTGTATGACTAACACCCGGGAGCGGACACCAGGTGCATTTGCTCGCCATCGTCTGTAGGCTCTGTTAGACGATGCCTTAAGAGGAAAGCTGCAAGGACGCGGCTCACCTGAAAAATAAATACATGTAATGAATGACATCGACGTTCAAAATTACAATTTTGCCGCGTTTCGCGCGAATGAAAAAATGGCGGACAAGGCTAAGAAGTAATGATATTTTTCTAAAAGATTGTGTTATAAAAAGAATATACGCCCGTACATGGAAAATGGAATAGTAGGAAAATAATAAAACACAAAATTACAGAAACAACCTATTTATGTATATAATAATAACTATTATTAATATAAATAATTCACTACTTACTTCACCTGGCGAATCTTCGTGAACAGCATGGCCGCATCGTGTTAATACTTGCATTTGGAATTTGCCTATCCGACAAAAGCAAATAGCACATAAGTTGTAATTTTAGGTAGACTGAGGGCTGACAAGCCAACATCGACACATATGGTTCTTGACGTATAGCTATCACACTAAGAAGTATGAAGTTTATTATTGGTGACAATGTATGGCTCATAGTCAACAGTTCTGTTTCAATAAGAATCTTGGACACTAAAATCTGAGAGGGCTAACGTCTGGAGAATTTTACCTTCCATCAAATGAACCCCAGACTAGTATGTCTTCCGTTATAAAAAGATTTTTGTGAGTGGCTTTTACAATTTGTGATATTTAGGCCATGTTAAGGTAGAAATGAAAAAGGACTTAGTAAGGTTGCACCTTGCATTTGTCCAACTGTGAGTTCTCTGTCCAGTCCATCCACAGACGCAAGCAACAGAAGACGAGGAGCGCGTGTCGAAAGAAATGAATTTGAAAGACCAGAGAACCAACCGGACCAGTGTTGCTCTGTTTTAGATAGATCCACTCGCCAACGATACCTAGAGCAAAGGTTAAGTTTTAATATCAAAACCCCCATTAAAGACTTTCTTTACAACAAAAAATATCTACATTGTAAGTTAATTAATTATTAAAACGTTTCGTTAAATTTTATATAACGCTCGAGCAAATAGACTGACATTAGAATATATTATTTGCATAGATACCAAATTTCCCGCCAAAAAGCACAGACCAAACAGATACAAAGTTAAAAGTACCTCATAGTTCCTCCTGTGCTAACTGGAGCGGGTTTCTCAAAACCATCGCCGTCCCCTTCGCCCTCCCCCTCTTCGACTATGACGTCAGCGCGTGCGCAGGGTGTCGGAGTTTCATCGTTGCCCGCATCACTTACGTATGTATCCACTTCGTTTATTGCCAACTGATTTGTTGTACAGCTAAACAACGATTATACCAAACTATGTTTAGGTGATTGCCTTAATAAACTGTCGTATTTTATTTGTTTGTCTATATAATACCTTACTTGGGATTAAGTGCGAGAAGATCTGGGTTCGAAACCTGGATACATGAAATGATTTATAAGTTGGGATAAACACAGTGAACTATTAAAAAAAAACAATATTTTTTAAATGTTATTGCACATGAAGGCACTATATAATTTAAAAATCGAAAAAATATTGAAAAAATTTTCGACTCGGGCAGGTCTTGAACCAATTGAGCTACCGAGTCCTACACCCCATCGTCGAATTTTTTCAAATTATTTATTTTCGATTTTTAAATTTACAGTGAATTTTTTAATTATATATCGTCTAACCGCTAACGCATTAAATGCAAATTTGAACCTTTATTAGTTTGACATCAAACATTGAATTACATTTTTTAATAATTATACAATGTACATACTTAACAATCTGACTTGGCATGGACACCCTCGCCGAATCCACGTTGCGCACTTGGCCACTTCGTACACTGAAACATTAATACAAATTGTTAAAAGTTTATTATTAGATTAACACTTAACAGAAAAGAGATACATACCACCACTCAATAGCGTGTTCTATACTTTTAAAATGAGTAGGTCTGCCGCGTAGGAAACTCTGCATGCTCGCTAAAGCATCCATTGCTGTCCCTAAACAGGAAAGAAATTAGTATGGACTGGTGATATAGTAGTGCTTATCTATGAATATTAGGAATAAATCAGTTGTTGATGCACCCTGTGGATTCACGTCCATCCATGATTGGAGAATTCAAGTCCATCTTCATTTTTTCAATCTAAATACATTTTAATTTAATATTACCAATTTCTCTTTTACATGCACAGTTTGTTGCAATTATTTCAACATACCCTCAACCACATCAATTACAGCAACACCATGTATATAGGGCTCCAAAGAGGCAAGGTGTGATGCTCTTACTGCAATAGCTCCACCCATAGAATGGCCTAGCAATATGAGTGGTGGTAGCTCATCATCACCATATAACTTGTGTATTACTTGTTCGACATCTCTAGAAACATATTAAGGCATAGGTTGAAATTTAAAATTTATCTTATATAGGGGTAAGGTTTAGGGTTTAAGATACACTGAACGATAAGTATATTTTCACAATAATGTATGAACTTACTTGATCAATGTGTCAATACTCAAATCATCTGAATCCTTGGCTTGTGTTTCCCCGTGCCCTCTTACATCCATGGAAACAACTTGACAATGAATCATGCTTGTTATTTCCTCCTGAAAATTTAAATTTTGAAGATCAAAACAAGTTTTTAATAAAAGAATAAAGTAATATTATTTCAGACAAAAAGCTATAATTTAGAACATAACATAATCTTGAAAAATTTTAAGTATGGTTTCAAAATCTATCATTATTTGATGACTGGGCATAGTCTGTAAAACCTTACTTAGGGTACTATCAATTATATTGGCATGTCAACAAAAAGCTTAAGTTAAACACTGGCAGTTTAGATTTAAGTATTATCCTGTTTATTGTATTAGTGTCTTGGAAGAGTATTACTAGAATGTTATACATATTATAAATTCAGTGCTCATAATGATTAATAAAAAGCTATACCTACTGTGAACAGGGCCCAACTGAGGCCAGAATAACCTCCGCCATGCAATGTAATAATCCTTGGTCTCTGGGGGTGGTCAGGTTCTGGAGATAGGTAAACACGAAATATACCGCCTTCAGTTTCCAAATCGACAGATTTATCGAAATAACATTTCCACGATACCGGGGCATAGTTACGTTTTCGGCCTCCGCTAAATGGGGCTAATCTGAAAAAAATTTAAACTGTTATAAGTACAATTTCTATGGTTGTAATTAAATTATTTCAATGATGAAATGATATACAATATATCCTTAACATAGAAGCAGAATGTAGTATTTTAGCTATTAAATGTGTTAAACAATTTCTTACTTCGATGTACCCGATGTTCGCGGCATTCTCGGTGGCAACTTGTTTTTCATAATACTTTTTTGCAAAGAAGACATTTTTTCCAAAATACTAAAGACTTTAAATAACCATATAAACAGTGATAATGTGTGAAGGCCACATTTAAATAATTAATTTATGAATGCGATTTTAGTACATCTATAATAATCACAAATAAACTATTATATTGTTATTAGAATCGTCATTTGACAGGCTATATAGAGCACAGATGTAAAAAATATATCACAACAGACGCTTTAACAGATATTGTAAAAAAAGTAAAACTGTCATACATCATATTAACGAAACAATTGATAGATGACATTTGCAAAATAGTGTTTAAGTATGAAAACATTACAATTAATGTTTATTTCTATATTTTTACTTTGATAAAAGTAACCAAATAAAAAAATCGAAAACTAATTTACGTTTCCTTTTTTATTGAAATGGATATCACAATGTCAGATTTTAATAGTATTTGCAGACTTTGCCTAGGGCGAGAAAAAGTAACTTTTAATATTTTTACCTGTCTTTACTCTAAGCGAAACATGTTGTGTTCAGAAATATTATTAAGCTGCACCAGAATTAAGGTATTTGCCACTTGCATTACAATCGGACCTACCTACTTATATACATTCTGATGCAATAGTGTATGATAAATTATGTATTTACAGCCTACTGAAGATGATGGACTGCCACCCTGCATTTGCAGTGATTGTTTTCGACAATTAAAGAAAACTTATGAATTTACCATACAATGTGATAAAAGCGAAAGGATCTTAAGAAACATCCTTAGTCCAACAAACTGTGATGAAAGTGAATCTGATGTTAGTTTAGTTAAAAATGAACCAATAGATAGTACTGGTATATTTGATGATACTAATTCTACTAAAATAAAGGATGAAAATATTATTAAAATTGAACCTGGGCATGGTAAGTGCTTATGATCCTGCTAGTTGAATGCAAGATAAATAATAAAGTTTTGTAGAGAGTCGAGAGACTTCATAAGATTAGATTTAATTAGATAGGTATATTTATGTGACCAAAAGTAAGGGTATGATTAGATTTGATTGAGTATAGAGAACTGATAGATATATTTACATTCTTTTTAATAATACATTGTATGCAGCTAAAGACTAAGTGTTTAAATAATAAAAATTTTATCAAACAAAAAAAAAGAAAAAAAGCAAACTTTTTATTAAATTTATATATAGGCCATATCATCCCACTTAAGGTATTATATGAATGCATTTACTGTGTTTGTATGTTTATATGTAAATATAGCAAGATAACTCAATATTTCAAAATCGTTTTCAGAATCAAACAGAGATTTAAAGAAAAAACGTAAATTATTAAAGAAGAAAGGTGAGAATAAAATTAATAACTATATTACTTTTTTTTGGCCTGTATAGTAATTGAGAAGTATTTCTCCATATTTTACAATGACTAGTGGACATGTTCAGAAGATGCTGAGTGTCGACTAAGCAAAGACTGATGGCCAAATAGCTTGCACAACCCGAGTAGTTTTGTAAAAGTACTTAATGTTCATGCTACCATCAATAAGGGTCTTGTACCAAAGTTTAGATAACTTAAAGTTAATATCTATAGAGATATATTATGGCATTGTGTCTATAAACTAATACTGGGTCATATTAACTCAGTACTAAATTGTAATGATGTTTCATAAAAAAGTTTCAGAGTTGAATGATGACAACGAAAACAATGGAAATTGGATGTCTGATGATGATAATATGCTTGATACATATGTATCAGAAGGTAATTAACTTTTGTGGTGCTGCAGCACAGCAAAATGAGAAACCGGCCAGATCTTGGTTGGATGTCTTTAATAGGTAATGTTCAAATGTTCCAGAGCTTGGTGATTATAATGAAAAGTCTGATAACGAAGCTAATGGCAAATCTGATGATGAAAATTTATTTTTATTAGCAAGTAAATCAGTGGAAGGTAATTTTAAGAATTTATTAGGTGTCCTTTTTAATTCAAGTTTTTAATAATATACAAATTTAAAAGTGATATTGTTGCAGAATCAAATGGAAATATTGTTGAAAAGAAGAAAAGGGGAAGAAAGAAAAAAGGTAATCAAATATTAGTTCAATATTAGGCCTGAAAAACAATTTAGCTGTACCACAAGTCTAATGCTGTAATACTACTATTAACAAATTGTGATTGAAGGTCTAAAAAATTTCTAATTTATAGACTAGACTTGCCTTCCAATAACAATACAACTGGTGAGGTGTTGTTAAATAACTTAATTTCCTAAAAATGTTCTCTTGCATTGACAAACAATATTGTTATACCAGCAACATGCAAATGAGAACTTGTGACTTGACACTTTCAGTTTAATGTTTTGGTTAGGTCTGCCGTTTAAAGGCCAAAGTATTCTAAAAAATTACTGTTAAAATAAGTCTTTTTATTTATTATTTCATTACAGTTTATTCTGAAAATGATAAGCGTATATTACCTACAAGCAAGTTACCACATCAGTGCGATGTGTGTGGCAAAATATTAAGCTCCAAAAGTAACTTGAACTCACACAAAATAATACATACAGATCTAAGGCCATTTAAATGTACTGAGTGCCCTGCTTCTTTCAAGTGAGTATTTATTTATACAAAGGAATGTTTGTTTGACCAAAGTTTAGGCTTTGGCCAGAAAACTTCTTCTAGAGCCATCGTTTTCAGCCCGAACACCAGATTCACATAATATGTATTATAAAACATGTTCACTTGTTGTAGAGGTCACAGTGGACTATTTCAACATAAACGAATGCACACAGGCGAAACTCCATATCACTGTAAATATTGTCCGAAGCAATTTAGGAAAAAGACCAGTCTGGACCATCACCACAGAGTTCATACTGGTAAAAGCATATATTTTTTTTATAATATAGTATTGTCATAAAAACTCAACAAATCTGCTAAATCTTTAAAATATTTATAGTGCCAGGTAATTAATAAACAATTAAACTTAATGCCCTCTCAGGGGAAAAGCTGTACGACTGCAAAATATGTTTAAAAAGTTTCGTTCAAAGTGCACAGCTCTCGATTCATATGAAGAGGCACAACGGTGACAAGACATATCTCTGTCAGGATTGTGGAAAGGGTAAGCACTAGTCTTATTAATGCGCAAATGTTGGGTTTTAAACCATTACTAACAGAGACACACAATATTTTCCATGCATTCTCAAATATTACAATGTACTCAAAGAATTTTTACGAGCGATCGAACCCTCGACCTGACGATTGGAAGTCTCGCATAGTTATCGCTAGGTGAACGCTGCTCTTATCTACGTTTTTTAAATTCACTAACACCCACGACACGAGAGTTTTAAAATTCCACAGGTTTCTGAACCATGATTTTAAATTTTAATTCACTTTTTCAATTTTATTATTTGTGGCCGTTTCAGGTTTTATAATAAAGGCAGATTTAAAAGTCCACCAGCGGGTACATAACGGGGAAAAGCCGTACTCCTGTCACATGTGCGAGAAAACCTTCGCGACTTCTGGCAACCTTTCGATACATATACGAATACACAATAAGGAATTTAGGTATATATGACATTCATTTAGATGCTTTTAAACCCCAATTTTATCAAGAAATATAAAACCAAACCCTAATCCGCAAGTGTTAAGGTTGAAACCACATTGCGCGAGAGGTGCATGTATCAATAAGTTGAAAAAATTCGACGATATCTTATATATTTTTTGATAGCAGAGGATAGACAAGCATACATGAAAATTATAAATATCCTGTTTCAGGTACACTTGTAAATACTGCAACAAAGGCTTCATAACATGCAGTTCCTTCAACGTCCACGTAAAGCGGCACCGGGGCCAAAGGGACTACTCGTGCGAGTGTGGCAAAAAGTTCTACACGTCGTCCGCCCTCAAACAACACAAGGTGGTGCACACGGGCGAAAAACGTTACCAGTGCAAGATATGCGATAGGAAATTTTCGCAAACTAGTCATTTGAGCCGCCACTTCAGGAAAGACCACGCGGAACCAAACAACCCACTGCCCAATTCTGAACATTACAAGATTGTATTACCACAGAAGAGTCAGGGAATAGTCATTTTCGATGCGCAAAAACCTGCCGAGAGCAAATGTGAGTCTTAGTTTTGATTTAGGAAATGAAATTCTTATTAATGAAATATTAAATCACTTAGTTTATTTTTATTGTTTCATTGTCGACGTATACAAGTCCTGCAAGATGTATCGCATTCATTAATTCTAATTAGATGGGGCTAGGAGGGTTCTCAATATATGTATTTGCAAAATTTTATTTAAAAAAAAACATCAAATGTGTGATAAAATACAAGAACTAACTTCGTATAAAAAATAAATAAATGGAAATACATAGCTTTTTATAATGCACAAGTAAATTTAATGTGGTAAGTCTGGCAGCACTTGTATAGTCATTTCTTTCCAAATAAGATGGTTTATAAGTATGCCTTATAATAAATAAAAACATAAAAGAATTTTGAAATTATATGTTTCACAAATAACTTAAACCTATAATAATCTGAATAAGAAAACTAAATATAAACTTTGTTAATGATGCAAGGAATACATTTGTTCCGTTATTCCTTAATGATTTTAATCTTCTAAAAACTAAAACAAAATAACAAAAATAATTGAGCTATTAAAGTAAATTTAGCTATGGAAGTCTGCAAAATTTTTCTTTATTAAAAAAAGATATACTTTTTCAGAGATATGATAACTGCAAGAAGAAAAGACAACATTTGTTTTTATTACAAGTATACATTTAACATATTATTTACAGTAACTGTTTTGAACTATTTTTGTACAACTAAAAAAAGTTATGAATCTGAGAAACCAAATGTTTAGAACAGAATGTTAGAAAAAAATAAATCTCTAATTTATTTACTTAAAATAAAAGTGAGTTCACGTACAAGATAATATTTGACGGTTGTCTTATACTAGGTGCAAAATTCTTAATATACATGAGCTGATATTTCTTTAAATTTTAATTATATGGATGATATACACACATGGTAATTCAGATAACTAAAATCTAAAGTATATCAAGGATACTTCTAGCAGATACAAAATACTGTCATTTATAACATACAGGCATAATTAATTTATACAAAGGTTTGTTCAATTTCCTGTTTGTTTGAACTTATTTTGTATCGGATAAAAATAACCTGTACATAAATTAAAAGTAAATTATATATCTATCTTGGGCCTATACTGCAGTCGTAATGGCGGGTCCCTGAACCTCCAACGTGTCACATAGACGAATTTCAATGTGTGGTCCTTACCTAGTAACTCATCATTACATAAAATATCAATCTGGAAAGAACATTATCTGTTAAAACTGTGTCTAAATAGTGTACTAAGGATGGGTCATAAATTATTTTTGTACATACTACAAAATGGTTTTTAAAATGTCTTGGCATTTCATAATTTAGGACTTGTGTTCTTATGGTAGCAATGACATTAAGCAATGTATTAACCGTGATAGATTTGTGTGATCAAAATATTTTATTTTTCCAAAACATGTTGAATTACATTGGATTGGACTTTCTGGGAATCTGGATATTACATGGGTGAAAAGAATATAAAAGGTCCATCAAAGGTAATGGACCACCTTCTTGCAAATGAAAAAATTGATTTTGTTTCTGAACTAATTATTTTTATGATATAGTTGAACTCATGTAATGGATGAAAGACCAAATTTACTGCCTATTTATACATTTGAATTGAGCAGTTTCAGTAGTTATGAAAATTGAGAAGGATGTTATAATAAAAAAAATGATACAATACTTACTTCCCTATATTTCTCCATACCATTAAGTATTTTCTTAGCTATGAATTTTTTGAGGTGCGTGATGGTAGCTTGAGCTGAACATCTGATGAAACTGCGCTTCAGTGTGCGCAGAGATGTTGATATGCACTCTAAGCACACATTAACCTGTAAGCAAAAGTAAAATTATTGTTTTTATTTATGATGAGTAAGATTGATTTCATTACTTTTTATTAGTAGCTATAATTGTTCCTAATTAAGCAATAACCAAAATCTTTTAGGTACTAAGTTATTTACCTGTTCATCTTTCCTATGACAATCACTATTATCTTGTTGCTCTGGCTCATCACCAGCACCAGGCTTGTCAGCAGCCAATGCAGCATCCTTTGGACATGGCAGGCCTCTTGCCCGATAGAAATCCCTCTCTCGTTTTATTTCATCTATAAGGCAAGATAATTGATTATGTAAGGAATTAGATGGAATTTAAAAGAATTCACCCTAATTGCATATATTATACTTACTATCCTGTAAGTCTGGTACTAATTTGTACACAATATCCTGCATAGTTCTGTCGAAACTGATGTACTGTAATGGGTGTGATTGATGTATCACTATGTTGCATGTTGGACATGTATTATTTTCCTCTAAGTGTTTCACCAGACAGCTCTTGCAGACTGAAAAAAATTGTAATTTGAATTGATGCAATGTGTAATTGAAGAATAGTTGTGGAATAGTCTTAATATCTTATAAGGTTGTAATTTCGTATAAATTAAGTAAAAATAGTTTCTTTTTGGAACGTTTAAAGTCATTATTTTAAGACAAAAATGAGTTACTTACACGTATGAAGACACTCGGTGACCGTAGTGGCGTCAATGAAATATCCACGACAAATCTTACACGTAATATGACTGTTTAATGTTTTTAACTTTATTCTTCTTTCCATTGTCATCCTAATATTAATGTGCGTGCCAAATCATTAGTAATAAATTACCTAGTTATTAGAAAATTACAAAATAACAAAAATAAACTTTTATACAACACAAACGATCACATCAAAAACATGAATGTCATTGACAATTGACAAGCGTAAATTAGCACTGCTTTTTCACTGACACTTATTTTTCACAGATTACTTATAACAGTATAGGCGGCTACAATTTGTGAAATCATTAAATAATAATACAATTAGCATTACAAGATATATTGATTACTTGATTATATGATGTTTGTAATATTTATTATATTACAAATTGTGGTAAAGTTATTACAATTGAAAATATCTTAGGAGATAAAGAGGATATTTAAACATTATACATATACTGCAAAATATAACATCGATGTTATACCCTTATTTATAATCGATTAATTTCGCACAACCCTATACAAACTGTTTTTAAAATTAATTGTGGGCAAATTGTGGGTGAATGATTATTGCGTGTTGTGAATTATTGTTCTGAATAAATGAAAATGTACGGAATTCATTTTTAGTTAACAAAAAAGGTATATGTGTGTTGAGCGTGTCGTAATTCGTCAAGCTGGGTGCCAAAACGGTGGAAAGGTTTTTGCATCTCGCCGACGACAATTTTATTGAAGATGTCAGGGAAGACTTGAAATGTTTTCTTGGAGAAAAAAAAGTTGACAGGTAAACTTTATTTATACATATTCACTCGCCTTCAAGTACATATGCGACAACCGGTTATTGCTTGTTGCATCAAAATTCATGCACTTGTAAAAATTAATGATAGTACCAATATGAATCCGAGTTGCCGAAAGGCCGATGTAACTTTCAAGGTTATGAATCAGCGAACGTAGGACGCATCGAACAAATAGAGCACATCACAAATCGGTGGCACCTTGAACATAAATAAAATATAATCGTGTAAAAACTTGCTTCTTCCAAAGCGCCAAGCTTCTTTGTCTTACTTCTTTTATTTAACATCTTCTCTAGCTTTTTTATAACTTATATTCCTTATTCATTGCACATCTATAATTATAAGGTGCAAAATAAGTATTTTAAATATTAATCACTTTTATAAAAACATGTTATGCTTGAATTATTTTTGTTACTTTCTCACTGATAAAATATTCTGTTCAATAAATCATGAGTCACATGCCTCACTTACTGTCATCTGCCTCTGTTAAAACAATCATTAATAACAAATTTTCACTGACATAAGGCATTGTTGTGGGAAAAATTTATGATTGGTTACCACCAAATAATAGATTTCAAAACACTTAGATTTGTGACTTAACAAGCGTGTCAGGTTTTTCTGAGATTCAAACTAAGGATCTCTGTAAGGTTGCAACTATTGTGCTATGCTGGTAGTTTTTATAGAAAAGGAAGATGTAATACTATTTTTTCCACAGTGTCCTAGTCTTTCCTCCTGTGAGCAACTACCGCCGTTTTCTCATACATCGCTGTGTGGAACAATTAAGTCGACCAGAGCTCACAACATTTTCAATAGGAGTTAATGACGAACGGAGGACTGTTGTCTGCTATCGCGACAAATTATTGAGGTATCAGTTTTAGTTACTTATACAAAGCTATTTCAGTAATTGAAGCTTGTATGTATGTTTTGAAAACATAAAACTTAAATCTATGCATTTTAATATATATAAAATAGATATATATAAAATCAATGTCCAAGAAGGCCAGATATCAGCCTATCAATCCTTTTTTCCATTACAGGTCAATGCATGGAAAAAGCTTATTATCTATTAATTTCTTATTTTAAAACTATTCTGTAAAGTACAGTGCAGGTTACAATGGGAAGACACATGCCTGTTACACTGACAGTTTTTCACCCTTGTGGCATTTCATATATTTTCACAATTTGGCTTTAAAAGTCATGAATAGATTTAAGACTCTTAATGTGTTAAATTTTTCAGTGATGAAGCTTGTGCAAGACCAATCATGGGCCTGACACAGACACAAAAGGGAGATGCGGCCCAAAATGACCACTGTAAGTAAAACAAGTTATAAAAATATTTTTTATTTCATATAAGCTGTTGTATGGTTTACTTTACTTAGAACTACATTGAGGGGTTAGATGTAATGGTAGCAACCAATGTTTAATATATATTTAATTTGCACCCTTTAACTTTAGTATAAAAATTAAAAGAAACAGCATACTGGATTTAAACTCAAGTTGTATAATGTTAATGATCTGTAGTTATGTTTTTATGCTTTACAGATGCATGGTTCATAGATGGCATTTTAAATCGTTAAACAATATTTATATTAACAATATATGTATGCTTTAAAAAACTATTTATATAATTCATAAAACTCCCGCGAAGATATATGCTGTCAGACGCTTGTAATTTTTTAAAGAAACGGGGTTAAAAAGAAGTCAGGGATTTATTCTAGTTTTTAAAAATAAAACAATGCTTGCGTTAATACACATTATTTGGTATATAAGAATAATTTATTAGCAATAACAACATTTTAGTAACTAGGTCAACTAGACTAAAATAAGTAATTCATCACTATCTCATTAATTATTATTTTACGCATTATTGTCTTTAAATATATATGTTAACTTGACCGAGCATTGGTCCTCTATACTTAATTAATGCCGAGGTCCAGGGCGGCGTGGCTGCCCTTCATAGAACACCCTTGGTCTAAATTCTGTCTAGAGTCCACATCCTAGAGGCTTACGTACATCCGTCATCTACAGTTCACAAAGTAAAACATGAACCCGACAAAACAAACTCAAGTACTCAAAGATTTTTTAATCTTGCGCTTTATTGTTCGATCCGATAAGTCTTTAAAATTGACCAATTGTTGATTCTGTTTGAAAATTTGAAATTTCATCATTTATTCAATTTTCGTTGTGTAAAAGAGAAGTCCTATTTTTTCCTTTTTAGGATGTGGACAGGCACTAATCCATAAATATTAATATTAAGAGAAAATTAATGTCTTTTATATGACAAACAGACTCTACTGAAATATTTTTCCTTTGGCTATCTCAACACGCCATACAGTAATCGTAATTCCTTTTTTTGCGATTAGTGTCTTATATTTATGTATGACATTCTAGCATAACATGTTGGATTGTGGTTGCAATGCAACAGTTTCACAAACCAATGGATTACGATAGTTCATAAATGTCGGTAGTGAATTACGGCCTACAAGTTTTTGAGCATAAACGTATAAAAACTATTCTTATATCACAAAACCGTCACGTGCAATTATATCAATTGTAAATTTATTACGATAAAAAAAGCTACGACATGCCCGGAACTTGAAAAGGCGACGGTAGTGCTGCTCTAATACGTTTATCTACCGCGTCTGTTATACAATTTATAATGCCACCATGCGAAAAAACATTTAAGTTTTCAAATATGCAATGATATTTAAAATTAGCTAAATTGAAATTAACGTCGCAATAGCTCTAAGAGCAAGTCAAGCGAGAAAATATATATTTTTCAAATGGTCCAGATTGACAATAGTATCCTTTGCTATGGGTAGCTAGCCCGACTTCGTACGCGTAGAATAGTTATTTGTAGACATGAATGTTTGTTTGTAGACAATTCGCGTCCGTGGTGTTTGGATATATTTTAGATTATCTAAAGAGTAATCATTCTTTCTTGGGTATCGGGGACCGTTTTAGCAGCACACGCAGCCCTCAAAGATAAATATTTTTTTTCCGTTTTCTCCACATTGCCACTGTTTCTTCGCTCCCTTCAGTTGCTTAATGTTATATAGCCTAAAGCCGTCCTCGATAAATGCTCTGACCAACAATTTTTTTTTCTTTTAGAACGTAGTTCCTAAGATTAGCGCGCTAAAACTAACAAACTCTTCACCTTTATATATTAGTATAGATACTCCCGCTGAATTTTACGAGTAGTTACATCGAATACAGTTCGTAAATTTTTAATACCCAGGAACCCTATTTCACAGCCCATTAACTGTTTTACTGCCTCACTTATGTGTGATTAAAGTATTTTCTGAGGAATTTGTATAATTGCCAGAACCATTTTAAGACTTGGAAGTTTTGGTGAATAAACCCAATACGCTAAGTTTCAGACAAATGTGCGCTCACATTTCGTTTTCACGTTTTGCAGTAATTCAACATGTTTTAAAGTAACCTTGATTTAAAGATGAACCTTTGATCGAGTCTAATTTATCTTTTTAATCGTATAAGAAAAATCGATGTGTATATTCAATAAATGAAAATATTAACCTTTAAATGATTTGTGTAAAGTACATGATTACCAAAATTCCAAGGCAGCAAATTTTGTCAAAATCAGTTAAGCCGTTTGGGCGATTTTATCCATAGACAATCTTACAATAAAATACATAAAATTAGATTTGTAAGACTTCTTAAAGCCACCTACAATACGTATTCAAATGCTCATTTGTTTTCAAGATTGTGAAAATTACAAAACTTATATTATAATTCACACGTTGCAACACGGTCAAGATTGTAGTTATGCTATTTACAAACCGTGTGTATGGCGCAATGACTGTATTTTTAGCTTTACATCATTTATCTTCCCGTTTTATATAGATTTGAGATAGTATGACGCTACTGAATAACTATCTAAACATTTCGCACGTTGTGTCCTTTTTTAATTCTTATCATTTAAAACATGGGCAGTTATTAAATCATAAATTATAGTTTTTTTTAATTATGTAAGACTTCCACGGCGATCGTACTAGCCGACGTGATCGAGAAGAGGTTCTCGACGTTAAGCCATCGCGAGCGGGGACGGCATCATCAGGAGACGTTAGCTCCTCGATTGCTCGAAGCTCGAATAATCTTCACGTCAATATGCTACTCTTTCTAGTTGTCGTGTTAAACTTTAGGTATATTTGCTGTTTCTTTCTTGTCGCTGAGTCTAGCTAATAATAATTTATTTTTCAGACCATAAATCCATTTCTTAATTTATTAATTAATTCTAATGTGTGTTAGTTGGGTTAGTAATAATCAACGGGACGGTGGTTCGATCACTTTCAGATTCAACACGTTTTTTATCGATTTACAATTTTTGTGAACATGTTGGACTTAGTCTGCAAATCTGGATACTAAATACATACAATGTAGGTACAATGATGGAACACGATCACAGTGGAAAGCTAAAACATTAAGTTTTAAAATGCTAGAAGTTTAATCACGTTTCAGTCTGTCTGTAGATTTCCTAGTACCCACAATGTTGTATGGTTGGGGTATATCACCTTTTCTCAACCCTATACTCGTTCTCCTCTATCATAAAAATCCCTCTTGCCTTTCTTGTCCTACTCAGCAGTCCTAACCGTGTCTGGTAATTTTGAGTCGTCGCGTTGCCTTTCCATGCATTATTGCACCCGCATTGGGCAAGATTCGTCCTTCACAATGCCGGCTGATCGGTGACATAACAACTGTTGCAAGCAGCAAATGACCAGCGGACGCCGAGGCCGGCCAAAGTGGGCCGTCGACAGTGAAAGTAGCACGTTGCACGGAGCAGGGCATATCTGAACTTTGGTTTTGTAATCTATGATTTAACTATTACCTTCATTTTGTTTACGTGTTGGACCGGATCCAGGTGCAGCTATGCTTAGAGCCTGTGGGGGGTTATCTTTCTTTATTTTCTTCTTCTCCTTGACGTTTCTTGTGTACAATGAGCATATAGAGCAGGTACCTCATAACGCGTTGTCAAATTTCATAGAAGTCATATAATACACATTTTTGTACTACGTTTCTGGATCTCTAAAAATATATATATATATCATTCTCTTGTAATACTAGAGGACTTAACTAAAGGATACATTAAGCATTTTTACCTTGAAACTGTGATGTACTAAAAATTTTTTCATTGAAACATAACAGTCTTATATCTTAAATGATTACCTAATAAGCGAATGTTTTTTGAAGGCTCATGGAACATATAAAACATGATTAACTGACAGCCAGTCTTGCATCTAAATACTAGTAACTCGCTTACCTTCCCGAGTAATATCATGTCCTTATTTTTTATATAAACCCATGAGATTCGTTATCGATAGCGACTTGTTCGATTTCCTACACATTTATGGACCGCATTAGGATTATATTATAGCAATGTTTGTCTTGTAACAGCGAAAAGCGGTCTCTTTGGAATTTTCTCGTAATCGACACGATTTTTCCACTGACCCAACGTGCTTACGTAAACTGCTACAAAGTAAAGCGGATTATATTTTAGGGTTCCCCGCCCGAATTAAAATACAATTCGATTCATTGGAAGAAAAAATATACTCCTAAGGTTTTCATAATGGACGCTTCTAGGCATGCCCGAGTGCCAAGATATTGACCCCGATTAATGAAGTGAGGGATTCAAAAATCATTTATTTTGTTCGTACATAATCGTTGGCATTTTTTATGATAGAGAAGGATAGACAAGCTCGGGGTTTACTTGATAGTTGGCGAAACACCCCAATCCAAATACCATATAAACTAGATACGCTGCCGGCTCATTTTGGCTTTGGATATTCGTCACCGAAGCTGCATTGTGGAGAACCAAAATTATGGACTGAAATTGGGCAAAAGAAATTCTCAAACCATGAAGCATAGACCAAACGAAACCAAGTCGTGAGTTCTGTTGCATGGGAATGTTTACTGCACTGATGTAACTCCACGTAATACACGGTTCTATCTTGATCGAAGCCAAGATAACTGTTGTTTTGTAACTGCGAGTTAACTATATTCTAGAAGCTAGTACCTAAACAGTATTTAAATGCATATTAAAATGAAAAAAGTTCTGGGTTCCTTACCAGCCAGTTTCTCTAAATTTTTATTACGAAGAAACCGTTTGCGCTAGCGTCGCAGATTTGATTTTAACATTAGGGACGCCCTTCATCTTAAGTGCCTCCGTGTGGCCACGGCTGCAATGCATCGGAAACGTCTAGCCGTAGATAAAATAAATATAAAATAAGTTAAATTAATATACTTAGCGTTGAAAACCGTTAAAACTGTTTTATTTAAATATAAGTCAATCATTACTATTAATTAAAGCTTAGGTCTTGTTTAGCTAACTTGTCTCTGTGAAGATTGTTACCAATTATTTAAGAAGTATTAACTTTTACTATGTCGTCGATTCTTGCTACCATTATTGCAATTTATATTGGTAAAGTGGTGGAATTTAAGACCGCCTCGTGGATCAATGAAAAAAAAACTAAATCATTATGCTTAGCACTTTAAGCATCAGGAGGAGGAGGAGGTTGGCCTAGGTTCAAATTCCGAGGAAACATAATAGTTTCGATTTCTCAATTAAATTGATAAGTGAAACAGACACAGAAATGTCTGCCCCATGTTCCACTTAAGGGAAACGTTGTTAAAAGTGAAACAAATTATCTTTTGTCAAGAACACGCCCAATGTGAGTGGAGCCGTGGCCAATCCTAGTTACAAATACATTGTAATCGCTTTTGTAACCAAAACCGTAGAACAAGTATTCGATTACGCTAGCGTTTGGCAATAACTATTAAACTCGGTTATATTCAACAGATTCCGCTTGTTTTCCTTTGCAATCCCTGACATCATGTTGACATTATGTAACTTTGCAGGCCCGGTGGGGAGCGCGGCGCGCGCGCAGCCTCTGGAGAAGCCCAGGTAATACTTCCTACATCTCCTCATTCCTTAATCAACCTTCGTTGACGACGGACGTCTTATCAAACGTGACTGAGTGATTGTGATATCTGTATTGTGATTGTGTTTGTTAGTGACCTTGATTGGATTGCATTACGTGAGTACTAAATACGTTATAAAGATATAAGGAAAACATAGTGAATAAGTTTAATACTTTAAATTATTAAATAACATTACGGAAAGATATTGGTTAGAAAAAGCATGAATTGTTTTTGATGTAGAACCTTACTTGACAAGTAAAATAGTACACTACACATTTTGCATAGTATTGAGAAGGTAAACACGCTATAATGAGCTTTAAAGTTATGCTATAAGCGTTGAATATGCTTTGCAAATATGCGATTATTTATCATACATTGTTCACGTCTTCTTTTCAACGACCATTGTGCCTATGCAAAGCGTCACTGCTGTCGATAGTGTTCAGTGTTGTAAATCAAAATGACATGTGTAAACAATGCTTATCGTAAATAACTGAATATATACAATCTAGATATAGGCTTGTTGTACGTAATGGTACTGTGAACCATGCTTTGCGCCGCCCGTCGATGATATTGTATCAATCAATATAAAATATTAAAGTGTATTGCTAATAATAATCGGGAGTCTAGCGCGTTTTATTTATTTATAATATTTCTGAAACATGTTGCAATATTGAAATTCCATACGGAATGTCATGAATCACTTCTAATCCCCACCAAACCCACAACAAGTCCATATCGCGTCTTGTTTAGATGTAAAACGGCTGGAGTATTCCACTGACAAAGTTTAAAGTGGATCCCATTTGTCTGTCCTCTAGAATTAAAAGAAGATTACTCCTAACTCTGTCCTATGTAAGAAGAGTACCTTTACCCAGAATTAGGACATTAAAAGGTCGCCACTATTGACGGGAGCTCTTTCAATAGTCGTTATTTCTTTTTTTTCATGTTAGTACTTTTAAAAATATGTCGCTGGATTAACTTGCTATTTGGGTTGACGTTGGTAGAGCTCATAATACTAATAAAACACTGGACATCGTCTTATAAAGCTAATAAAAATGTTTGCGATACATGTACTAAATTACGCACAATCCAATCGATAGAATGTTTCACTTGGCCTTGGTACTAATAGCTGACGTAAAACGTCTTATACGCATGTTAAATCTCATTACAAAGAAGTACTTACTTTAGTTATAATTCCTAATCTGTAACTTAGAGACTTGGGGAACTTTTAAGAAACAAGAAACGCGAGTTTACCCAAGTAGTACACATTTAAATAAAACACTTTAACGGTTTAAAACGCGATATATTAGTTAAACTTATTTTTAACTTCGGCCCGACGTTTCGGATGCTTTGCAGCAGCCGTGGTCTCCCCATGGCCTGACTAATATATCGCGTTCTACATCATTCAATATTCTCAGGCCCCCCTTTATAAAAACAATAAAAGATAATTGCGAAGACATTTCATAACCTTATAAAAACCCGGCACAGAGATAAGCAAATAAACAAAGATTAAAAATGCGCGCGGCGTTCCATCGAAAGTGGGCCATAGTGAGAGGTTACATTCGGCGCGACCTTGCCCCGGTTTGTTACTCAACACACGAGAGCAATGGACAGACGGTCCAAATCGAGTGGTCTCCACAATGGGATACACATTTGCGGTAATTGCAATTACGAAACGGGAACATTAGCCATTAAGTGTTTAATACCATCGAAGTTCTTACCCAACGGCAATTATATAGCTCTTTTTTTGGAGACATGGTAAACGGAAACTAAATAGAGTATGTGACAGTCATTGCGACTATATTTCCCCGACACATTGCTGTCAGAACAATAGAGTCATCGCGACTCGAAATTGCCTCACTTCTTACGGAAACGTAATTAGGTAACAGACATAAAACTAGGTTACAAAAACCTCATAGTCGCCTATTTTGTTTTCAGATCCGCTTCCACGAAACCCAGACGACCAGACCGAGCGGTCTATGTGCCGAGGGCGTTGCGAGGTGACTCCGCTACCGAGGAAAATAAGAGCACAGAAAATAAAAGAACGAGTCACAGCGCAGACGGAAAGTGCCCGAAATCTCCCGCGTCCAAAGAAAAGTCCGTTCACGGTACACCCAAACGATCTTTAGATAAGAATTTTTGCAACGTTTACACGCCTCCGCATCTCAGGAATCAAAGATCTCACACTGCACCCGACGAGGCGAGCGACCACCTCGAAGCCCCCAGCGAAAACATAGACGTGCCTTTCAGCTGCGAAGTGCCAAACGGTGATAGTGCAATATCATATAGTGATAGTAGTTATAAAGAATTAGAAGTAGGCGAGAGTTTTTATATAGGAGATTATTTTGCTAACGGACAGCTAGGATTTTACACGCCGGGTCTGTACGAATACACCGGAACTGACGGCTGGAGGACAAATGAAACTGAAGACTTGACGATGTCTCTAGCGGAAACTCAAGGCAATATTATCGATAAGGATTATTTATACGACAAAGACGAGGACATCGAGAAGATCGAACTCAAACGAGCGTCACAAGAAATTAATAGGAGTAGTAAGAGAATTATTAAGCAGACATTCGACTCGGACGTCTTGGTAATATCGGATCCGATCGAAGAACCGAGTTTACGTGCGAGCCCTCAGGAGAAGGAGGAAAACGATGTCCCTAAAGAGCAGAAGGCGAAATCTAAACCAAAACTGGAGGCTAAAGTGTCGGTGAAGCGCGAAGAGAACGATTGGGACGCGGTGTTTGACGACAGCGGCGAATGCTTGGACCCGTCGTTAATAGAAGAACTTACGTCCACAGTAGGGAAGGTCCACATATCGAAGGCTAAGAACAATTACGATCAGTACCAAACCCGCGGACAGGCGCTCTTCAACGGGCCGTACGATGAAACGTTCGCGCATGTGGTGGAAGTGTACGATTTTCCCAGTGAATTCAAGACCAACGATCTCCTCTCGCTGTTCAGTGAATACAAGGACACTGGATTCGAGATCAAATGGGTGGATGATACCCACGCCTTGATTGTCTTCAGCAGCGCTAAAATTGGTGAGTCATTTAACTAAGCTATTATTAGTAGTGTCGGTAATGGTAGTAAACCTCAATTTCTATTTCTAAAGAAAGCCGCGTCGCATATCTTCATTTTCCACCAACAGGTAGTTTTCGATTTTATACAAAAGTTGAATAACCGCACGCAAGTTTTACACAAGTATTCCTAATAATTATAAAAAAACATTTTTAATACGCGAAGTGGTTAATTGTACGGTCTAGAAAAGTGTCGAAGCGTGACGTTAACTGGGCACAACATGCAATGTTTATTGGATACCAATTTTTAAATTCAACTTTGAATATCTTCTTTATAAATTAAAACTCTATTCATATTTGCAACAGAGGCGGGACTTGAACCGCGTCCACATCGTTCCGTATTGCCGCTCGAACCAATTCAGCTACCGTGTCGTATCTTGTTGATGATTTAATTATTCTTATTAAATAATCCAACTAATTTAAACGACTCAAGTTCTGCGCGGGCGCATGACGCAGTTGATTAACGCGCTATAACGCAATCCAATTAAAACTCGCTAGGCATAGAGAAAAGTAAAAGACCTGTCCTGTTCCTCCTTCTCCTTCCTTGTAAATGGTCCTTGAAAATATTTAAGCAATATACCTTCTTTGTAATTTCAGATGTAAATAAAGCCAATTGCATGAGGTCATAGCTGGTAATAGTGACGTAACGTATTACATTATTCGACGTAACGAGTTACCCGCTCATTATCGTAATCTATATAATAGCGTGCGTTTGACTCAATTTAATCGCTGTTTGTGTGCTAATAAAAGGTCACCCGGAACAGTGGTTAAAATTAAGCTTATATTATTAAGAGGTTTTTGAGTTTGAGCCCCTCCACGTACTGTCGGTGTTAGTTTGTGGATTTCCGAATATCCAAAGCCAAAATAGGTCGCATTATGCTTAGATGTTATACCTATGGCTGGCGTATTTCACATACCATCAAGATAACGTTAAGTTAATTAAAAATTCCTAAGATGTAAAAGTAAAATTCATTACGTCCTTATGGGAATGGGTCCTTATGAGATCTAATCTACAGTTCGTATCGCGTACAGTAAGCACCGCGAACTTTCAATTTCGTCTGTCGTGTCCCACTTTTTCTCGTGAACGGTGATATTTATTCACAACGCGCGCCGACACGCCTTGAACTTGAATGTTACGCGAATTTTGTTACTAAATTGTCGTAATCTATTAAATAATACATCTTAGCAATATTAGGGACGTGTGAAAAAATATATATTACCTTCAAAAGTCAAAATATAGAACCGCAAAATATATTTCTGCGCAGGCGCATTACCTATACAAATGTTATAAAGCTAAAGACCGTCTGTTTAAACGCGCTATCTCAGAAATTATTAGGATAGAGAAGACCCTACATTCAGATTGGGTCCACCTATGTACCACCAGAAAATATCCTTTATGTAACCTACATTCATCATTCATCTTTCTATTTTTACTTTGGTGACATAAAACTACGTACACATCAATTGTTCGAGGGAAATCAGCATCGTACAATAGATGAATAGAACCTCTATTGCACAACGTCTTCCAATAGCTAATTTGGTTTCCGAGAAAACATAATTGAATGCGAAGCGATTGCTTTGTTTATTAACTTCCAGGTTCTTAGGCTGTGACAAGTTGTATTGTCTTTGTAGGTAGGTCTATAGGTGAATGCGGAATCTCCCTTCATCGATAATGCCGCTATGAATCTTTTTGTGGTTTTTGTGATTTGTACTTCTGTACTAAACTATTTATTTAAAAAAATATATGACAGGTGCACGACGAGCTTTCCGTGCTCTGACAAACTGAAGCGTATTCCTTTTTAAATATCTTATCTCTAGGTTTGAAAAAAAATCGATTATGACATGTTGGGCGCGGTAGCTCAATTGGTTACAGCAACAGCACGGAACGCTGTGGATTTTTAATTTACTTACAAAGCCATTAATATCATTGTGAAAAATTGTTAAAGTAAGTAAATATAAAACTTAATTTAATCAACTGTGACTGAAAGTTACATTTTTTTTTCTATGTTATATAGGTAGAGTTAATCGCTGTAAAGAATACAGAGACATTCTTATTCTCATAACTGAAATTTGAAATTCTTGAAAAAAGTTCTGAGTTCCCTTCTCGATTGAGCTTTTGAATAAAACTTAGAATGTAGGCAACGTAACCGACTCCCACTCTCCGCTGTAGGTCGAGGAAGCTATTAGGTATTATGATGTAATCCACGAGGAAATGTCAGTAGTTTATGGGTATGCAGTACTAAATGTCTAGGCTTACTAAAGCCTTTACTTTATTATGGTTAACATAACTTATGAAGATGTAATGCTGTCTTTATATTGAAAGGATGTTTTTTAACAAATGACAAAAATTAAGGCTCAGAACGATTCATATAATCAAAAAAATACAATGCGATACAACTGATATACCGGATATATAAGCGACAATTCACCTAGACATCAATTTATAATGTCTAGTTGCAGGGCTAACAAATATGTAATATTAAGGTTCTTTAAAAAATAAAAAACTCAACAACAAAACAAAGGTCACTGAACGTTGCAAAGATCCACCAGAAACATCGGGCCATAGTTAAAATAAGTTAACTAACAAACTTCGCGTTTTAAACCGTTTAAAGTGTTTAATTGTATTTCTGTATACCGTAAAAATAAAATTAAATATATTAATCACTCGCCCTTTATCGCAAATAATTAACTTTGTCTGATACCGTTTTCGGTTAAACAACCTGTTTGGGGTCAATATCCCGAGACTAGTCAACAGTCTGTATTGCTCGATTTGCTTACTGAGTTATTTAAACACTTAATATTATAAAACAGTCTCGTACTTAAACTCGTCTTGTTCTTAATATATATTTTTCATGATTTATTATTATTTCTTTGTATTTTTCTTGATGTTATTCGGGTCCCCATGTTTCTATGTATTAATTTCGACCAAATTTTATGATTCATAAAAACGGTTCTTGCGTGTTCATCTAGATAGACATATATTGTCTTCAACATGTTTATACATCACTGAAAGAAAAATAATTATTGCATACATATTTTAAAGTTTCTTGAACAATTTCTACTAATGGTCTCAGCGTTGATGTTGTAGAGCCTAGAGCCTTCCTAAGTAAAAAGTCGATCCAACACAAATGAAAAATTCTTTTAAACAAACGAACTTTTCACCTTCGATTTGACCTAGTTGTGAAAATGCAGTGATTTCTTAATTATTAATAGATTAATGAATTAAAGTACGATATAAAATTAAATGTTTTAAATAATTTTGTTTCAACGTTTCGGACTTGACAAAATAACTTTATTGTTCTTTACTGTAGGGATATCAACACATAAAGCATGTCAACACGTAGTATTCCGCTAGTGCCTTAGGCGGGGCCCGCAGCCCACATATCGGTAGTTCATCGACACCATTGTTGCAAGAGTGGGCAAGTAGGCCGGCGCATGCGCAACTTGTCTCCACGGTTACTCTACAACTAGACTATGCTATTCAGGAAAACTTAGCATGGAATGCGATGCTTGTTATAGTAGAGACTTCTAGGCTTTAAACTTTCCATGATTTTCTATAATATATACTAGCCTTCGATCGCGTGGAATAGTTATTTTGGGCATCTTTTTTTTTGTAAATAACATCTCAGCATTTTTCATCTATGTGGGTTCCAGATGCGTACGCTGTGAAAACAGCGTTTGTTCACATTTCCCGCTGTATTTTCGCTTCTATTAGTCACAGCGCGATGTTTTTTGTAGCCTAAAGCCTTCCTCGATAAATAATAATAATAATAAAATTATTTATTGCACAAACATAGACACTTAGAATTATATATAAAAAATAAAACACGTTTGTGCAAAGGCGACCTTTTCGCCTGTGGCGATAAATGCTCTAACACAAAATGATTAATTTTTCAAAGATTTCAAGAAGAAGAATTTAAAGAATTCGAACCCGTAGTTCCTGAGATTAGCGCGTTCAAACAAACAACCTATTCAGCTTTATATATTAGTATAGATTACGATCTATGGCTTAATGTTGGCGCCTTGCTGAAAGCCTTGTTGACTAAACTTTTCGTTCTAGGACTACATTCAAGTCCTTTATAAAAAGTTGACTGTGCATATTGATAAGTAGGTATCTTGATAGGCCCGAACCGAGGTCAAACTTTTAATTGTGGAAGTATTTTGATCCTAAATAAGATGTATAAGGAATTATTATTCGTATTTAAGTAACAATATAGTTAGTCTTAGATAGGTAAATAAACCAACTTGTTTTAAATGACAACCGCACTTAACGAAACAGGTTATCGCATAATATACGAGTTAGTGGTTCATTATCTAAGATCGTTGAATATCATATATGCACGGATCTGTATAGTACGATACTTAGTGTGTACGAATGTGCTTATTTGGTTTATTAAAAATGTAAATGATTTCTATAAAATCATTCACATGTAGCCGTGGTCACGGGGGGAAGAGACCTCACTTGCCATGTCAGCTGTTCTTCAGTTCTTATCTTACGATTTCGGTCGTATTCTAAGTATTAAGTAATCCTCTCCTACTGAATTTAGCCAAACTTTCAATATCCACATCTTATTTCCAGCTGCTGAAGTGCTATCAACCCAACGCTCTCTGGCCAAGTGCCGTCCACTGCACGCAGCCACTCTCGAATCTAGGAATAAGGCTAAAAAATGCGCGGAGTTCCTTCAGCCATACAGGTTTGTTATTTTTTAAATTAAATTTTTCAATTTCCTTCCTGATATTAGGACCCCCAGGTATAAAATACGCTAATATCTAAAGTTTATCCCATTTAGCCTATGTTATTTTATTTATACATTATTTATATTTATCAGTACGAATATTATACATTATGTTTCCATAATACATATTTGAACCCAAATTTATAACCATTTGCAAAATCAATAATTATTCAAATATAAATTGATAGTCGATTATAGATATAAAATTTTATATTATAACGAAATTAATTAAGTAAACATTCAAGTCCTCTGGAACCGGCATCCACACCGTTCCGTGCTGTTGCTCTAATTGAGTCTTTCACCGTGTTATTTCTTTTAACCTATTGATATATGCACCTCTCGCACGATTCAATTAAATTTAAATATATACCTCTAGATAGAGAAACTTATTCACAGCGGACGTTATCTCATTTTAAGGAAATAAACATTGAATTAAAACGTCGTAGGATATTCCCTTTTTTAGTTAATGCCTGTTATCTAATAGATTATGTGACGTTTGGTATATGTATATGTATACTGAGTGCAAGAGTATATTTGTAGTCTTATAAAACCTGTTAAAGCTAATCTAATAATAAAACAGATATATTGTCTGTAGTTAACGTGAGTAGTAAATATTTGAATAAAAACTAATTTTATAAATAATAAAACACGGATTTAAACGGATATGTCGCGTTTAATTTATTTTAACTAGAATCCGACGTTTCGGAGCTTTTCCGCATCTCATAATAACAAGGTATTGCTTACGTCTTCTGACATTTACAGACAGCGACCGGAGACGTGTACGGCGCTAGCGCGGCGCTTGGTGTCCGGGGCACTCGGAGTTCGCCTCAGCACGGCGAGGCAAGAGAGGGACGAAGAACGCAGGCTCATCACAATTGCTCGAGGTTTGTTTGTTTTATGACACGTTTGATTGATCTGGTAACTTAAATGCGCTAACGACCTCTTTCTTTTTACCGCGCTGTTATTTTGTTTCTGTTCCTTGCGAAAGCCGTTCAAGATACCCAAAACTAAACAACATTTATTCCTAGTAATTTACACAAAAATAACAAAAAATACAGCAGCGGCCCCTCCGGCCCCCTTGCGTTTAGCAGTAAGAAACTTAAAAGAAAATTATTACAATACAGAGTTGGAATATGTTGGAAAGAATTATTCTTCTTTAAATAATCTACAAAAATGTCGGCTACAGTGTATATATATCTTATGTATAAATATAACTTTATTAATAACAGTCACCCCCGGCATAGTTTACACTTTACATTCATAAAAACTTCGTTAAAGATTTACTTTAAAATTTTGTTGAAATACCTTATAGGCAAAAAAAACGTTTGCCAGGTCAGCTAGATAGATATAGCGTAAATACATATGGGTTCGGACGAAGTTACAGAAGATGACATCAAAGAACTACAGATGGAAAAAATAATAAGATTCTGCAAGCAAACCGGAAGGTTTAAAGGGGACACGGGGAGAGTTGGATGAGCCAAAACCTCTGCAAGGAGGAAATGGGTGAAATGGTCAGCTGATAAAATAATAATGATAGATATAGCGTAGTGTTTTTCTCGGTAAATGGTTTTCCAACACAAAAATATTGTTTAATTCAAAACAGTGGTTTTGTGTAAAAAATATTTTAGTATAAAGATTATATCTCAGTCTAAATTATTATATCTACTGAGCAAGTTTGTTTAGAAGAGTACTCGCCAAGTCCTTATGTTTATTATAAGCTATGTCTCGGTATTCTTATTCTAGCTTTAAGTTTTAAATTAAAAAAAAATCGCTGCCTATATAGCGTGTTGATAGTTATATTTTTGAATTTCAGAGAAAAAGCGTAAAGCAGCACTCCACAAAGAAGCGGCGTGGGACGGCTCGCTCGCGAACACACTACAGTCTCTCGACACCTGACTGCGCTCGCCTAAAACACGAGGTAACTCTTTTTCTTTTCTCTTTGCCCTTCTTTTTTCTTCTTTGTAAAAAGTGAATGTAAAAATCACCGCGTCGGGTCTAACTTGTGTCTAATGAATTTATAATATTTCTGAAACATGTTAGACTTCTGGAAATCTGCATATTAACTGGGCGATAGTTACATCAAAATTCCGTCCGGATTACGAACTACCCTCCATAGATAAAAGCCACGAAGCTTAATCGCGTTTCGCTTAATTCTGTGGATTTCCGATTATCCAAAGCCGCAATAGGTCGACAGCGTGACAGCGAAAAATATGTTAAATGGAATGAGGTCGAATCATAAATTAATTTATGTTTCGTGTTATGAACCGTTTGAAATGGTTTTATTTAATGAAAATATGTTGGATATTTCAGATGAATTATCACGGATGTAGGATCAACGCGCACGGACGTGATATTGCAGTGTTGACATAGTTGATATAGTTTTAATTTTTATAACTATACGAAATAAAAGTTATTTTTATAATTGATAAATATTCATAGCCGTGGGGTTTTGATCGATAGCTTAGTTAGTACTATTTAGTTTAATTTTACGTTGATTCTTAGTCCAATTGTTAATGACGTAATCCAATGACTGGAAATTGTAGTTTATTATTGCCGTCTTGTACTAAAGCGATGTTTATTCGTTTTAGTTGTAAAACGCGTCGCAAATCTATGTTCTTGCGCATTTTAATCACAATATAGCATTTATATATAGCTCTTTTTGCATAGTTAAATCACGACGGGTCATTGATTTATTGTTCCAATCCAATGCATGTCTCTCAACAGGTCGTGGAATCGATTCCCGGTAGTCCAACGTGCTTTTCAAAATAAATGTATACTTTTCCTGAAACATGTTAGGCCTTATCAGGTGGAAGGAATAAAGACGTTCCGTCCGAGAAACGAACCACCATCTACAGATGGAAAAACGGTTAACTGTAAATCTGTGTTTCAGTCTGTGGATATCCGAATCGCCAATGACGAAATAGGACTACAGGGCATCTTGTTTTTTTTTTGTTATTCGCCAGGTGTGTGTCCAAAAATCATTTTAGACCTGGGCTAAATGTAGTCCAGTAATGTTAATTTGCCTTAGAATGCCTTAGCACGATGGTAGGCAATTTTTATATGTTCATAATAATATACCAAATGTTATTTAAGCTTGGGGTGGCACCTTTCTAGTCTGCTTATACATAATGATCAAAATCTCCACATATATTTTTAAGCGAATAAATGTCTATGCGTTTCACGGACTACATGAAATTGTCTATAGGTTGTTATAGACTAATTATCTGATAAAGTGTCCATTTTATTTATTATGTGCATCTGATAAAGTTGTGTTTAAGGCTGCGGTCTCCTGAACATGCTATAGATAACGTATAGCTTAAATTAAAAATCTACTTTGATTGAATATATTCACCTACCGTGGTTTATGATTCAAGTGACTAGAGCACGGAACGCTGTGGATGCCGGTTCAAGTCCCGCCCGTGACGTCAATTTAATCTAAGTTGATTTTTTATTTATTATACGCATGTGTAAAATAATATAGTTTTCAAACGTATAGCTTACTATTAGACTTATAAATGGTTTAATTTTATGAGTTCTTTACCAAAAATGGGAACAACGGAGCTCCCGTTCGTATTACCTGTGTCGTTGTTTGGTTATCTGTCAGTGAATGGGCTAACGGTAACGAGATATATTTTCGTATCTATTACTGCTATAATAACAAATATTAAAAACACAAAATTAATGTTTGGTGCAGATTTATTTTTAAATTGTATGATGTCAATAAATGGTAACAGATCAGTACCCGAAATATCGTAATGAAGGTAGAACTTTAATATATGTTTTAATTTAAAAATCGAATTTTTTTTCGATTTTTAAATTATATGGTGCCTTCATGTGCAATAACATGTGAAAAATATTAATGTATTCAAATATGTTTTAATTCTTATTATTATTTTCCAAGTCTGAAAGGAAACTGACATTAACTGTGACGCTGTGCAAAGCTTTCATGGGAGATTATAGCCTAATATTTTTTTTACTATTTTAAAATCGAAGCTTCTTAGCTGATCGTTTATGCTTTGAAAGTAGATCATTTGAGCAATCTAATAAAATTTATTTTACACAGAAAAGAAACCACGTAGAATAGTGTATTATCATATTTAACACAAAATCTTAAATTAATTAATTAATTCTTTGAGCAATCGAGGAGCAAAGACAGTGATAAATTAAATATTGTTTTACCAATCTTGCCCTATCTTGCGCCGTATATTTTTTCATAAGAACTATTTCGACCCAATTTTATTACCATAAAACGTTTGTTGTGCGGTCTCTTCAGCTACATAATATTATTATATATTTTCTCTTACGTATATTTTGCAACCGCGTATAATTATATATACGGCACTGCACTGCTGAGAGACCTCGTTGGCTCGTTGTTCTATTTTAGTGTAAGACAACGGGTCAGAGGTTCATTTCATACCGGGTCCGACATTTAAATAAAAATGTGTTTATAATTTTTCTTCATCTAATTCTGGATCTGGACATTAAATGGGTAATATGGAAATTCCGACTAAGTCCATCCATTCCCGACTTCAGACCATGTATTTCCGGATCTCCAAAGCCAAAACAGGTCGACAGCGCATTTTGTTTAATATCGAGTGATCATTTTATATATATTAAATCACGTTTTGGCGTAATACTCAGTATTCAGTTAAGTTAATTTTGAAAACGAATTTAAACTACGGCTTATATGAACTCTGGTTGATTTTATCTTTTTCCACATTATAACGATTTGTGCTCTTAAAATGGTGAATGTTGTGATGTGTCTTATGATAACTGTAGAGGAACATTATTTTTGTAAATCGAAAAGTTGACATAATAAATAAATTGTGAACCAACTTGTTTTTACTGTTCTCATCGTCAATAAATATTGTGAAGATTGATGAAGATGATTGAAGATTGGCAATTTTGAGAGTGTGTTTTTCATTCATTATTCGTTACAGCTCTGGTATCGTATCTAAGTTAACAACACGATAAAAAACTTTGAAAATTAAAAGAGTACAAATGACATAGTATAGTTAAGCAGTATATTACGTATGTGTAAGTTACATTGAAGAGATACCTAACTAATATTTTAAAGTATTAGTTATAATATCTAACTGCAATTGTAGATCCATAAAGATATTGCAAAATAACTAAAGCGAAAATCCGTCCCGTTGCGACGGTAACATGATAGGATATGTCTCAACTATTTTGTTCTATTGTCTTAAAGAACAATGTCCGTAGCTACGAACAATAAATATAAACACTGTCTGATAGAATTTCAGTATTCGTCGATAGCTGGAGAAAACACAGCTCATGTAGACAGCGATGCGACGAGCAATTATTTTCCTTTACCTCTGTACTGCTAATTCGGAGTTGAGCTATCACCAAATGTTCGTGACGAGACGAACGCGCTCCAACGCACTGCCGATACAAACTAGTTTTTATTACAAACGAACGAACGGTCCTCATGCGATATCAGTGTTTAATACCAACCGTGATGATAATAGTGCTAAAATAAATCAAGATCCTAACGGACTTAATAGACCACCAACCCAAGCAAAGTGTAATAGCTCCCAAGAAATAGACTCTCTTATTGATAAAGATCGTATTTCCTTGTTGGACTCAAAGGTTTATCAGCATGGAGAACGAAAAAGATACAACAGGAATTCGGAGTATCATCTAGATGATGACGACCTAAGAACGGATACAAATATGTACGACGGCTGGCCATATTCATACCGGAGTCCTTATGAGTATAACATAAATTATGACACAGAGCGTGCAAAAGCGAAGGATAAACGGTACATTGACGAGATGATTGAAAGAGTGATTCCCGTTCACGAAAATCACGATGACGATATTCATAGAAACTATGATAGTACAGTTTCTGAAAAATATCGAGGGAAAGAAGAAGATAATCCTATGTATGGAAATCAACCATTTTTTTCATATATGCTCGAGGATTATTTTGACAGAACTAACGAAGAAGATCCTGTTACATTCAAAGGATTAAACTGGAATAAAGATTTCGATCATTCAATGCCATATAAAGATATCTACGATAGCAACAGACGAATTAGGCGTATAGAAGCATATGATAAGGATACTCCTACTAGATATAAAGAGTACAAGGATAACCATGGTTATAATACCAATGAAAACGGAGCACTTGCCGAACGGTCGTACGCAAATGTAAAAAATGAAGGCGATAAAACTGTTCGAGAATCTTCAAAAGAAAACGATAAGGCGGGGTACAAATATGACGGTTTGAATAGACGAGGATTTAAAGACTTTATTGATTCGTTTGTAAATAAGTTTGGATCAGAGGACCATCACAGAAACAATAATTTGCAAACGAATATAACACGCGATAAGGGAGAGAAAAAGAAAGGTTTTCGCAGAGTGTATCATAAGGACGAATACCAGGAGGATAACGAATTTTACGACAACACCAACAACAAGTCTACATTGACAGAATCTGCTGGATCGAAATTCAATGTTGGGGGGTCGGAAGCTGTTTTGGGTTCAAGTGCGTCTTCTGCTATAGGAGAAGAAGCAAATTCTCTATCCAAATCTAGTAATAACGAAAATAAAAAATTAAGCGACAGTAATAATATTGTGCAAAATAATAGCGGTTATGACGGACAACTTCATAGATACAAACAAATCGCACAAATGGCTGCTAAGCAAAACAATGCGGACTATTATGACCGTTACTAATCATTGTATAGAATATATATTGGTTGTTTTATTTTTAACAAGATTTCACGTGGAGATTTAAGAAAACATGAGAACACTTAAAATGACTGTATAAAATAATAAAGGAAATAAGATTGCAAACAAATTTATTTTATTTATACTGATGTACAAAAAAAACAATAAATTTTAAATACATTGTTTTTGTTTTAAAAATTTTGTAAATAATAAAATGTACCAACTTTTACAATAAGATAAATATTAAAATTACACCCGTGCATTCTTTTTCATTTTTCTAAGATAACAAATTTCCACTTATTCAGCCTCTAAGCGGGTTTTTGACTGGTTTGTCCAGCGAAAGGATGTCGTCCTTTTTTTCGTAAGGAACTTGGGGAAATATAGGCAAATGGCTTAATATTTTAGACATCATATTGACAGTTCTCTGACCAAGTTTTTCTACGTAGTGCCCTATTCCCATATCCCACGGTGATCGAACTGTTCTAACCGAAGAAGTCCCGACAAACTCTTTACTGTCTTCAAATTCGTCACTACCCTCATCATCTCGTTCGTGTGTGGTTTCTTCTACCGATCGCGTCGTGGTAGAAAATTCTTGATCATAATCTTCCTCACGCATTTTATCGACTGCATTCCGTGGCGCCTTTGCAGGTACAGTTATTTTCGGGAATACTACTTTTCTTTGGAGCAACGAACGTGGCAACTTCGGCTTTGATACTTTTGTTTTGTCTACTTTTATATTAGCTCTGACTTTATATGCGCGGGGTCGGTTGACAGCCAATTTTGTTCTAGGCTCTAACGGTTTTCTACCACTCGCAAATTCGTCATGATTTACGTCGAAGTCATAGTCGTTAATATTGAAGTCTTCGTCCTCATGCTCAGCGGAATCTTGATTTTGGAACCATTTATATTTCGCCTGGTAGTCTTCATCACTGTTCACTTCATGATATTTAGGAATAGGTTTCTTGACAAGAACCTTATCTTTCATAACTTTAACATTAGTAATTGTGACATTTTTCTCAATTGTTTTTGCATCTACAGCTCGTACAGTGCGTCTGTAATTAATATAATTTTCATTTTGGCTTCTCTCTGAGAGTGAACTTTGAAGGTTAGCTCCCTTTAATATTTCTATATTCTCAGTAGTTTTCGACAAGAGTTTCGCGTTACAAACCGTTAACGATAGTACAATTAATAAACAAAACAGCTTCATTGTGAGCGGTTGATTCTTAGACTAGCAGCGAGATATTGTGTGAGGTATAATGTAAACACATCATGTTTTTAGTTATTGTCTTACAGTGTTAAACAATGATGCTTAAAAATATATCTAGCGATTTATAGAAATTGTTATTATAACAAACATTTTAAAATATTTTTGACATAGGGAGTTTTTGTAATGATAGCAAAGATTTTAAAATATATATAAGAAAAAGCCAATCTTCGTCCTTGAGATAAGGATTCAGAAACTCTCGATACGTGTAATTTTATTGCCTGCCTAAGTCTGGGAATTAAAATCCGATTAATAAGTGAATAAAATCCTTTTCACAGTTATAGCTAGAGAACACACAGATACACAGACTATTTACACTAAATCCTAAGTAAAAACGTTATTGTAGCAGTTAAGATAAAATTTAAATTTAATAAACCCTATATAAGTATATGAAATGACATCAGTTCTTTAATATTTATAAATAAATATTTGTTTGCTTGTTTACAAATGTTCAGTTAGTAAATAACAGTAACCGGATGCATATATAAAATGTTTTGTCGGTGTGTTAAACGTCAGTCTTTAATCAGTAACGATGGAGATCTATCTCGGAATTCTATTGGTATTCCTGTTTTTCAAATCAATTTCATCGTTACCCTATAATTATGTCTACAATCAAAACCCAGATTTAGGATACGTCGCGGCTATTAACGGAGCGACCGCTTACAGCAAAACAAAACTCAATGGACCAAAGCGATATTTTGTTGGCAACACAAATCAGAAGTATATAAAATTGGTCAACGAAGAGGCTATCGATTCTTTGTTTACTGTGAGAAAGGAATCTCCAAAAAGTTTTGCTCCAGTTATTGATAGAAGTCATATCAAAGATCCAAGGCTCATGGAAGTAGACGATCAACGGCAAACGGGAAAGCCCGAAAGTGATACACATAGCGACAGTACAAACGTTCAGGTTCCACCAGATGCCAATATAAAAACAATTGAAATGCCTAATAACGAGAACATTAAAATACCTTTAAGGTCTAACGATGACAACCAACTTCTAAACTCGCAGGGTCAGCATTACGAATATAGAGTTCATAAGGACAATTTGATGGCTACAAACTTGGAGACGGTTCCCAAGAGACAGTTTGATTCGAATCAATCAGCTGTTAAAAAACCACAATACTCTATTCAGAAATACAACGAGAAACCGATGCATATAGGTAACAGGGAAAAAATGAAGCCTAAAGTTCATCACTATAAACAACATGCACAGGCCATGGCAAGTGTCCTCCATGATATGACCAAGAAAGCCATGGAACGTTATGACGAAAAACAAGAAAACAGAAAGCGCGAAACAATAACCAAAATTGACACTGATGAACTTTTCACACCAAAAACAAACGTAGACTTTCCGAAGGAGAATAGTGTAAAATTTCTAGACCATTCCAAAAACGTACCAGAACGAATAGGTAAATACGACGAGAGGGGGCAGCGGCCGTACGCCTTGTTCTACCGAGGCCTCGAAAACTTGGACCATCGGGACTTCTACACCGGTTATGTCGACGATCAGTCGGTTGACAATAACCTTATGGACTTGGAAATTAGTATTAAGGATAAGACCGCAGATTCTGGGAGGGACAGGAAAGCTCGAAAAATATCAAACATTAAATTTAACAGAAACAATATAAACACCGATTTTATATAGTAGTAACTGTTTAATAAAATTACTAATGTCATTTTTTCTCTAAATGCAATATGAGATTTGTTTAATAATTGTTATGTCTAATAAGTTGTCTACAACTTATTAGACATAACAAATAAGCTTTAATGAATTACTTTTCTTTTTAGATTGTTCCTATTTTTGTAGATATCTTTAAAAACTAAATATTCGTTACAAGCTAAATATTATTTTTTAATCGCAATTACTTGTGCAAGTAAGAATTTCCACCTAATGTAATTTAAAGATTCAATATATACAAATACGACTAGGTATAATAAAGTATTGGGTATCGTGGATCGGCATTGGAAGTTTTTTATTTAATTTAATTAAAAAATTAATATTATATATTTATTTTCCATTATTTCCAGTAAGCGGAATAAAACGTGTTCGGCCGATAAACGACTATGTATAAAATATGCAATTTGCATTCTCTCGTCAACTGACACGTGTCACGCTCTATTTGCTGCAGGCAATAATAAATAGTTTTAATTTGTAAAACTTGCCAATATTCATATCTATTTAATTAATTTCTATTTACAAATAGTAAAGGTTAGGCAATAATTTTGGCAACACCTTACAATATAAGGTACCTAACAATAGACACTTATAAAGTTCTTATTTTAAGATAAATAATTTTGTATTGGAAAATCATCTTATACATAATTATTCTACATACAAATAATGCAACAGCCTTATATCGATAAATGCATTGTACGATAAATAGTTTCTAATGTGTATAGAAATCGTATTACTTACTTGCGAAAGAAAAACGTTAATTATTTTGATTTTATACCTCGTACTCTACCTTTTTCTTTAAGGTGTTTTAAACGTGCAGATATGCAGCGAACGAATTAAACTATATTGCTTTTCCTTATCATTGACACAGAAGACTGTTGCCTAATCAACGGCCCAAGTCTCGGGCCGTTTACGAATGTCATTGCCCAGTACTTCATCGCTATATAAATATTTGCTATGACCTTTGCGGTCATTTCTGCAAGAAAACGCCCGAAGCATGGCGCGTCTTGTAGTTCTTTTATTGATTATTGCCTATGGCTCTGGAATGAAGATGCGGGAGACGGTGGAAAGGACCGTGATGGTCCGGACCACCGGTTCAGATCTTCAGCCAGCCGCAACGGGATTCATATACAAAAGAGGTACCAACGGCGAAGCTGTTGTTACTAAATTGGGAGAGAGTGAGGTGATGGAGCAGTTGTCAAAGTTTTATAATCCCAAAGAGTTTAGAGGCGAAGAAAACGCCCCAGTTAAAAGTGAGGAGAAAGTCATCCCTGTGAAAGAGGAAAATGACGACGTAGATGGTATAGCAGATGAAGACTACAAAAAAGCTATTGATGAATACTCGTCAAGCTTCGATGATTATATAAAGAGTTTGGGAGACTTTAAGGACTACAATAACAAAGATTTCAACTATAACGATTATTTTAATAAAAATGTTAAAGATGGCGATAAACATAATGATTATGACAACAAAAAATTTGAAAGTTACTATATGGCTCGAGAAGAAATTCCCTTTAAAGATGCTTACGGAAAGAACTATAATCACGAAGAGTATAATAACGATTATCACAGCTACAAAGTCCCACAAGGTGTTGGATTTCGCTACAAACAAAACGAAAAGGATAACGCAGATTTTGTCAGAGATGAGCATCGACATGATGGAGGAAAAACAGGAAACGTTGAACATGAGCAGTCTTCAGAGCACGAAGGTTTGGGCAATGAAAAAAAATCTGACGAACATGGAACAACCAATTCCGATGAGGATAGTACTACCAACGGTTATATCGATTTTGGAGCCAAAATCGGACCATCTGCTCGCAAAAGCTACGCTTACGACGTCAAACATTAAATTGGAACTAGTGACTGCCTCTTTATTAATTTTCACCGTTTTGTAAATATGTAAAATACGTTAAGTTTAATATAATATTGAAATAATACCTACGTTATGTGTATATTAAATATTTAACTTTAATTATATTTCGTTTTACTAAAAAAATCAAGGAGTTTCTGTCAATATCCCTATTTTAATTACAATAAAATTTAAATTAACTGTTGTTAATAAATATATGTCAACGAAAGTCTAAGCTGTTCTTTTAAATTAACAACTTAAGCGTTTACAATTAAATATTTTATTCATAAATAAATAAGAAAAACTGACTTAACGGAAGGGATTAAAAAGGTTTTTGTGTGGTACTTTGTATCATATATTATTCTTATCCACTGCTCACTCTTCTGTACACATTAATTCAAGTATTCAAAGATGGACTTTTATTATTTTTATTTTACTGAAACCGGGTTGTCCAAAATTATTTTTGCTAAAAATGATTGATAACTATAGCCACCTAAAATTTTAAAGTAGCCAAAAGGATAAATTATGTTATAAATGGATAAGACTCTAAAAACGTTATTTTACATAATTACACTTTTACTAAATTGTTTCTCGTAAAGTAACTTTTTTTTAAATCAGTTGTAACAGTTTTTAGAGAAGAAATTGCTTATATTTCCTAATTTGTATGAAATCCCGTTTGCTGTATGTGGAAGATGGAGCTATGAGGTTTTTCTGTTCGTGTCGCTGAACGATATTATGTGCAGGTTGATCAGACTCATGTATGTTTTGCCAGACTGCAACTACATATTCAATTTACCTGGATGCAATGTACCTAAACTTTTGCGTTACTTAAAATGCCACTGAGTTATAGAGGTAAACATAATATTATATTTTCCATAATACTCGTACGCACGTACTCGTAGATGCAGTGGCCTAGTGAAAATATTGACACATACGAAAGCCTTTTAAACTTAGTGAACTTAACATCTTTGTTACCGATGCGTTTTAAGATTAAATAAAGCGATTGTTAAGGAATTATTATGAGTAGTACATTATTATTACATATAAGTTTTCTTATATTAGAAAAGAAGAAAATATATTGTTAAAGTAAGAATACTTAGGGTCATCTACGATGACATAGAAATCTACGTTTTATAACGACTTTAGTATGTAAGTAGGTACCGAGTAAATAAATAGTTGAAAACTACGAGATATATAAATTGGCACTTATTTGTAGCAAAACCTATATTATTTATGCCTAAACATTTATTCTTGATATCCCTGCAAACTCCCTTAACTCCTTGGGTTTCCAATACCGGGTTTTGTACACTTATTTGAACTTTATCGCACCTCGTCGGTATACATTTGTATAATGCAGTATTTTAAATGTATTTTTATAATAATTATTTTGTATATATCTCTTTAGTAAAATAATATTTTTTTTTGCGATAACTAGTTTGCATAACGAAAGACGCAGTTTTTTTCATAGAAACTTCTTTGTCACCTCTAACCTCGCGTCAATAAACTGTTACATGGCTACAAGAAAGGCGGGGTACACTCATGGTCCTTCTTTAACTAACCCAGATATAAATATTGAGCAATCGAGTTATGAAATTATTACAGCACAGGTTGCAGTACAAGACACAAGTCAAAATGAAGATACCAGTTGCAATTTTTTCCCTTGTATCCGCCGCAACTGCCATTCAAATCGGAGTTCCGGCCGCATCGAGTTACATCTACAGAAATGATCACAACGGTCCTGCGAGCCTTATTCAGTTGGGAGGGAATTATGAACTTCCTATTGCGCCGGTGAAAGCCTTCGAAGCTTATGATCTAGCTCCACTTCCATTACCTTATATCGCGGCTAAGCCCATTGCTATAGAAGATGCTGAAGAAGATTCCGAAGAATCAGATGAAGGAATTGCACTTGGACATGAAGGCGCCGCTGGCAGTGATTTCGAAGAAGAGCATCATAAAGCTCACGGCGAAAAGGGAAGCAAAGGATATCATTCTAAAGGACATTTTGCAAAGGGGCAGTCCGGCAGCTACGGCGAAGCTCACAACGAAGGCCATCACAGCGAAGGTAGCGGAGAAAAAGGGGCCCATCATGATGAAGCTGACGCGTTTGGAAAGCACCACAAAGCGGGAAAGCACTATAAAGGTGAAGACCATGGACACAAGAAATATCACAGCAAGGGTGAGGATATAACCGGATACCATAAAGTATTTAACAAGGATGAATTCAAAAAAGATCACGACTTCTACGATGTAGCCGATAACAGCGGCCATTATAACAAACATGGTTCTGAGAAGAAACACTTCAGCGAGGAAGAGGGAGGCCACGCTGAAGGTGCTAAAGGATCGGCCGGATATGATAAGGGTGACTTTGGAAAATCAGGTTACCATAACAAGGGTCATGTAGATGATGCTGACTCTGAACACGAAAGCAAGGAAGGCGATGAGAGTCACTACAATCACCATGAGGGATACGGCAAAAAGGGGGGAAACAATCACGAGAAAGAATACGAATATGAAGACGTTGACCACGAAGACGACGAATGATAATAGTTCTTAGTTATATCCTTGTATTTTTGTTATGTTTGATACTAATAACCCTGTGATATTATAACAAATAAAGTTTTTAATTGAAAATAATTAAATTGTATATCTTTTAGTACGCATAATATCTTTCTTTAGATTTTTTTTAAATATTCAGCGAAAACAATCAAAGCTAAATACTGTCTATAGTTTACGCGAGTAGTACACATTTAAATAAAACACTTTAACGGTTTAAAACGCGATATATTAGTTAAACTTATTTGAAAATGATTTTTAACTTCGGCCCGACGTTTCGCATAGAGCCGTGGTCACGGGGAGACTCAAAGCTAGCTTAGGGATTACTACTGTACAACTAGAACGATCTATTGATTTACCTACATTTTTAAATAAAATACTTTTAATGGTTTAAAACGCGAAATATATCAGTTAACTTGGTTTTAATTTATTTTAACTACGAACCGACGATAAGTACGTACTAACGTATTTAATGTTTTAAACCCTTAAAATTGGTTGATTTCAATTTATAAAAATATGGAATTATTGTCTATTAACACATGTAAAATATCTTCTTTTGTCGTATGTATTATATGGTTGTAAAAAACAAGGGGTTTATTATAGAAGAGAAAGAATGTAGACAATGAAGTACACAAGTCAATATCTATCTAAATTGAAAATAGATTATTATGATAACTTTCATAGGTATAATGGTCGTTAACTAAGTATAAAGTTGATAACTATATTATTTTTTTCGCCCTGCTACGGGTTCATTTCCCTATATGAATAATTAACTACGATGTTTTAACACAGACATCAAATACTGCATAGTAGGTAGGTACAAACGATAAACATAAAAGAAAATAGCGTTAATTTAGTTGGTAAATTTTACAACAATTAAATTAGTTTTCCTCGTTATAAGAATTGAACGCTGAACAAGATAAAATATTTTTAATTAATTATTTATTGTTAATAAAAGAAAACAAACTACTTTACGCTGATAAAAGATTGTAATAAATATTTTAATTTCACTGATTCTTCTATTTGTACGTACAGCGTCAAGTGAAACATTACCTCTATCTACTTTTATTGTGTGTTTGTTTATTGGAAATATATTAAAGCAATAAAAAGTATTCAAATTTTTTGGCGTTTGACATTGAAAAAACGATTTCTAACAATTTGTCTACGGTTTGTAATATACAACAGCGCAACTAAATCAATTAGCCGAATCATTCAATTACGACTAAAGATTTTTTAATGACAAAATTTTACTCGGTTGTATTTCAAAAGCTATATTTTTTTAAAGAATAACGTTTAAAAATATAATTTTTGGTTTATTAAACGCATTCGTCACTGAAAATTATTTATATAAATTAAGTTAGTTATGGGGCAAGGAACAATTTAGCGATATATTTTTATTTTAATAGACTCCTGTCAAGCTCAAATATCTACGAAAGTTTCACATTAAAATGTTATATTTTTGTATCTTTATCATTTTCACTTATACAAAAATCAGTTATTCTACGGATAATGTAGCTAAATTACTCAAAAGAATTATTATTGTTTATTAGAATTTATATTAATATTAAATTCGCAAATGCAACTTTTCATATTATTTTATAAAAAGTCAGTTTACTTATATTTCTTCTTTTTAAAATTCTACTAATAACTATATAAACCTTCATTGAAACATTTCGATACGCGATTGGAGGTATTGATTACTTACAAAGCCACTGGGCCATAAAATGACAATCGGTTCATCTCGAAAAAACACCCTTGACCACTAAACAGCTATATAAACTGCACAATAGGCATGTATGTCAGTGTCGCAATCCATTCTAATTGCGCAAGATCTTACAAAAAATAAAATGCAAAAGAAATTATTGGTTGTGGCATTGATCTGCTATTGGGTTGAAGCGACGCCCCTGAACGATGCCTCGCTTGACTTTAACACAGACATATCCAATTTAAAATACGATTCTAATGATTTAGAAGATTACCTAAAATATATCGAAGGGGATAACGAGGATAAAAAGAAATCTATGACAAAGAAAAAAATTGCCAATAAAGGAGCAAAAGTGAACTATAACATAAAGGATTTGAAGAATTTCTTCAAGAGTCTTGGATTAAAAGACGACGGTTCGTTTGATGACAGTGAAGTGTATGGTCTCACTGAAGCCGAGGCAGCCAAAAAAGTGGGTATCAAGGGCAAAGAAAACAGAACATATAAGAAGGGAACAAAAACAAGAGGATTTCACAGAGTACAGCATAAAGACGAATACAAAAAGGACAAAGAATTTTATGAAGATGATGAAGTGAGTGGTTCAATTAGCAAAGTTGGAGCAAAAGGTTTTGGTTACGATATCTCGGCGGGTTCCGGTTTCGACAAGGGGCAATTTCATCATTTACGAAATAAGAGTTTAAAAGGAAAGCAAGGATTTTCGGACACAGGCAGTGCGGAGAAAAATTTTAGTGGATATAGCAACGCAAAGGACTTTGATGAGTACTTTGATAGTGAAAACAAATGACGGATTTACGTGTAACAAAAAAGTATTTTTTAAATAATAATGAATGAATAGCACATGGAGATCAGCTTCCTCTACCAACTATACCGTTGCTACCCACTGAAATAGCGTGCTAGTTGAGCTTTTTCAACAATTCTTAAATACTTTTTTAAAGTTACATTATTTCTTATGACAATGTGTAAATTCATAAAGGTTAATGTTAAAAACAACTTATAAGTTACCGCTATTATATACGTAATATCTTTCAATTACTTGTTCACACTGTGTAACGAATTAAATAAAACTATAAATTACAAGTGACGTATGTAATTGATTAATTTGCAATCTTGATATCCATAACAATTCATGATACCCATATAGCATCTATTTAATAAGACCTCTTTGTAATGTAGCAATACTGTAACTTAAATCACCTTGTGTAATAATGTTTTTATATATGTTCATGTGAGAAGTAGGACATAATGGGTGTTAATATTAATGTATTCATCTTCTGTTCAGGTACGGTATCCTGCTTATTTAATGAATCTTTGAAATCACTGGACAAGATATATAATAATACCATTATCGTTATGCAGTGGTATTGTTTTTTTTTACAGTTCATAAAATTTTAGTTTTGTGTTCTTTGGCATATTAATATTTGCGCGTGGATTTTAAGTTGGTAAAAAATAATTGATTTATTTAAAGATATTTTCTAATACAATCTTGATGCTTAAGTACATAATATATAAATCTAAAAAATATTTGTTTTTCTATTTCAGCTTTTTTATTTATAGTTAATATTAAACAAAGTTTTCTTTATAGTCTACCAGGAGAGTACTCCGGTAACTCTATTACTCGAATTAAAAGACAATTAGCATACTCAGATTCCTTATATTTAAGCTCGGAAACTGATCCGTACTCTTCGAGTATTAAAAACTTTGGTTTGATAATATCGCCCCCAATAAATTTTAAAGACTCTGAAGCTACAAAGGCGTATAGCTGTTCTCTCATGGTATGCCGACCAGAAGACGATACCGGACCCGTTTGCGCCTGCAATTTTAATACAGGCAATGTAGTCTCGTTTAAGAATCAGTGTGATGTTCTGAAACATAATTGCAGATTTGACACAGGTAAACATATTTTAAGATTGAAGTATTATAGGTGACACACATACTAATTTAAAATGTTTGATTGCTTTCAGGATTTCGTATCATTTTACACGAGATTTGCCCGTGGGAGTTTCAGTCAAGACGAAACAATGAACCACATAAGTTCAATTACACGAGCTCAAAATATTATAACTAGAATTAAATATGATCGTAAAAGTTCACCATAAAAACCTGTCTATCATGTCATGAATGAATAATAAAAAAGAAATATCATTTGTATCAACCTAATTTTAATTATTTATTGGTTTGTTAAACCTCATTATTAGAGTCTGAGATAAACCCATAGTCTAGAAAGCGCTGCATATATATTTTTTAAATATATTCTATTATGAAAAACTATGCATCGTATATTATTTTGCTGTACGTATATAACATCTGTGGTACACTGTTGTCTATGAAATTGACAACTGTGATTGCTTTAAACGTCACAAAGTAAATTTTTACTCTTTCAGTTTGTAGTCTTTGGTTTTCATTTGTATGAATCAAAGTGTTTGTGTTAATGATTGTGAAACAAAGAATTTTTAAAATACAAAATAGATGAGGCTCGATATAGCTCTATTTTTTAACATTACTCATGAGTACGGAAGAGACTCTGTTGAATCTCGACTTCGACAAACCGACCACAGTTATTACGCCTCCCGATGACGGCGTGGTTTCTCTCTCAAGTAGTGCTGAAGACATTTGCTTAGTCCCTGAAATTGAATTCGAGGGCACCGTGGATTCTCCGGGCGTGAACCGGGAGTCGCAGCCGCTTCTGGGCGGCCGTGGCGACTTGGAAGTATCTTTCAATCATTTTCCAGGTAACAACAAAGTCAGCTTCATTAAATACATTCATGTTTATTACGGTCAATCTTGCAGTATCGGTTAAACGACGATAAAATTTCCCGTATCACATTTAAAAGTCTTCGTTACTTGTATGGCTTCCAGATTCTGTTGAAAACTGATTTGTATCTATTAATTAGCTGACGATCACGAAAGGTTCATTGTTTCGTTACCTTGACACGAAAATAGATTTTCCTGTTCTCATTTTAGTGTCGAAATTCTTTTAAAATTCTCCATCAAGTTAAATTTTTAGGCTAAGATATTAATGTATGTTTACAACATGCCAGTTGCCAGTAACTAATGAGTTTAATTTCAAAGAAAACCATAATTCAGTTAGTTACTTGTGTGAATATAGTTGCAAACATTATGTCAATTTTCAGCACATTGTTACAGCTGTACAGTGTGTTTTCAGGTGTTGTTTTTGATACTTAATTTTTATATTTATAATGGAGTTTCCATTTCTTTGCAGTAAGTTGATTTTATTTCTACTGATATTTATATAAATTTGGATAATATTTTTACAATGTTTGAGTAGCAAGAAGTGAAACATATGTTACTGTTTGTAGGAGGTGAATTGTTTTGTATTTTAGAAGTTTTTCACTAGTTTATATCTTATCATTAATATTGTAGAATTGAGTAATAAAAAATAATTTATTATACAAGATAATTAAAGTTTATAATAACTGTCTTAGCCTATATTCTATATGTTACAAGTTAGTTTAATTTAAAGTGTTTACCCAAAGGTTATAAGCAATCTAAGTAAAAAACATATGATGCTTATTTAATAAAATTTTTGATTTAAATGGTTTTAAAGTGCTTAACTGTCAGTAGCTCAATAATTAAATGCATTGCCTAGCATTACATTAAAATAGAGATGTCTGGAAATACAAACAAAAAACAATTAATAGTTTCAGTTAGGCTGGGCAATGAAAGATCTTTATATAACTATCACTCCCTACTTGCCTGTATATATACAAGCAATTGCATAAAACACATTTAAATATGTTTGTCACATGGCTCATGGGGAGACTCAAGATTTCCTTTCAGAATATTCTACATAAGTACACGCACATTCATCTCTATTTCTAGTTTATAAAGTTAATTATCACATGTATCTAAATTCACATAGTTTTTGAGATCTATTGCATTAAATAAATTATATGAAATGTAAAAGCTTTTAAGGTTAAACAAGTTTGTATGCAAATTACCTCTTGTGACTGCTGCCTAATGTGGGTTAATATGATGATTTTATTGTGTTCAAGATCAATAATTTAAGCCTAAGCTTCATTATCTATAAATATGTTTTTTATAGTTTCCAAAATCCTTCGTAACTGTTAAATTCCAGATAAAGCTAGTTAAAATCAATACAAGAATTTACAATGTTTAATTTGATACTAGAATTTTAAATTTGTGTTAGAAGTTGGTGGTTCACATACACTTTAGTGAAGTTGAAACTTTTTAGTGACATTTTGTAATGGGCAAAATAAGTTGAACAACATTAAGCAAATAAATATTGTATAATTTTTGAAGATGGAGAGAACAGTAGACAATATTAAATGTCACAAATGCTACCTGGATACCTAAATTCATGCAAAATTATTCGCTTCTGATGATTCTAAAATATCTAATTTTTACAACATCAAAACTCTAGTTTACACTTCTGCTAGCACTACAAGTTAAACTTAAAATAAACAACTATTTTATAAATTTACAGTTATTACTTAGTAGAGAGCTAAAAGACTTTGTATTTCTTATTCTTATTGATAACATTAAGAATTTTAAACTCTATCTTATTAAACATATTATTATCCAATGCCTAATGATAAGCATGGAAAACAGAAAAATCATTCTAAATAAGTATCAGTAACCTTGAAGTCAATATAAAGGTTCATTAACTACTTGTTTTAGAGTTGTAAATGATTAATATTTCTAGGTCAAGTGTTAGCTACACTCTGTCAATGTTAATCAGTTTTTTATAAACTATGTTTATTATAATATTGAAAAAAAAATATGCCTTATAATTTTTTGTGAAGTAAATTTAAAACATAACATTTTTAAATTGTTCGAATTTGTACAATGCCATTAAGACATAGTCTAAAAAGTAATAATAAGGGTATCCAGTAGATTTATTTATTTGAGAGAGGAAACCAAATGTAAAACTACCCTCACATTAAGAAAGTTATATTATCAAAATTTCTGTGACAATAGCACATTAATTAGCTTCATATCATTTTAAACATTCGTAATTGAATGAATGGAAAAGCAAAGTAATATAATCTTTACGTGTATTTCTCAATCTTTCTAATGTACTTAGATTAGAAAGATTGAGAAATCAATGACAGTACAGTAAAACAGTGTCGACTTAAGTAGTTACATTGTTACTAAGTGTATAAATAAAATAGTTCGTTTTCTTTCTGTATACATACATAACAAGATTTGGCGAATAATTACTGTAACAAGTTCTTTAAAATCTAATCTTAGTTATATGATAGTGGTAAATATTGGCCCCAATACGCCGATCTGTCGAGTGCCGATAAAATTAACGAAATCAATATTGAATAACAACCAGACATGTAAACTGATAACTTAAGTAAATGCTAATCCTGAAACCGCACTCGCCGCTCGACGGCCTTCTTCAAGATATTGCCCCCGAGGTTTCAAAAATGGTTCATAAAATTTACTTTGTTATATTGGCAAGTTCGGATCAATAAAATATTTTTCGTATTGAAACATTAATCAATGTCTAGGTTCGCTTAGAGACGCTTGCGGCTCCACAATTTATATGGAATATTTATATTGAGGTTTAAAAATGAAAATAACTTGAAAAAATGTTGACTCCATCAGTACTTGAATCGCATGTCAGCTTTCTGATGCTGTTGCTCTACATAGATACTGTGTCCGAGAGCAACACTCGCTAATTATGGGTTGTGATTTGTAATCAATTTTCATTTATTTTTAAATGATAGTGTCTTCATTGTATAACGTACGACAATACTTGTTCAAATATATTGAGGTTACATGCAAATGTGAAAGTCATTTCGAAGATATTGATCGACGGATTTTTTGTAATTAAAATATGAGGGTCTTCGTTTACGTACGACAGACTCGTTTATACACTTGCTAAGACCAAAAAAAGGCGCCACCTTGTCCAGATGTTATATGGCAGGGATCACCTGCCTTCAAGTAAATCCCATCCTTTTATGTCCTCTACAATAAAAAAAATTATTATAAGCTGGTAGGTAGGTAGTAGTCGACCACAGTTTTATGGCTTCCCGAAACTTTCAAGTTTCCCTCGGTTTCCCCGGCAACATAATAGTTCCTTTTTGTAATCTTTTAATTGAGTTACCTTTAGAAAAATCTAAAACTAATTCAAGTATTTTAGTAGTCTAAACATATACATAATAAGTTGTGTGATCAATGTGTACGCAAACATCTCACGCTGATAATAAAAGTGTGCGTCATCGACATCGATTAATTTGCATTACGAAACAAAAGAGTATCGAACGCTGCTCATTTACTTTAAGTAGTCTATGGCGGTTTAGAGAGACTGATTATTTGTTGCTTTATTACTGGCAATTTAAATTTACTATATTAAAAAAGTATCAAACAATATATGTTGCATCTACCGCCATTGTGCTTTAGTTGAACAACACTAAGACTTGGAGGACTACATACAAATTCCAGTTCAGATAGGGAGCAGAATCGTCTTACTTATGAATAAAAACTGTTCAAAAAAGGGCCATAGAACTGTGTCTCTCCCGTTGGCCTATAATAAAAAAATATAATAGTTTGTTTATAGTTCTATAGAAACAACAACTTTTTCTCAGATGACCCTCAATTTAGCGAGTTGGTGTGGCAGGCTGAGGTAGCTATCGACAATGGAATATTTCCCGAGAGGATATACCAGGGGTCCAGTGGATCATATTTCGTCAAAAATCCAGGAGGGGTAAGAAGCCATTCTATAACTTATTCTATTCCTTTACTTAGATCAATGATAGAGACTAATTTGTTGGTGTGTTATATAGTTCTACAAAAACATAATATTATAATATTAATTTGTCTTTAACAAACGTGGTTCCTTCAATTCAGTCTTTCAAATATTCTAGACCAAACATTATCGCCATAAAGTTAGGCCAAGGAAGCGGTTAATCATTACTGTATTGAGTGTGTTCAACAAAATAGTTTTGAGATAGAAATGTAGACCATCGTAGAATCTAGGTATAGTCTAGAAATACCTTTTTACTTACAACTAGCAATAAACTATATACATTTTAATAGTAATATTATTTAGAAAAATCTCTATAACATAACTACTTAGAATAATAATTATTTTTATTGAAATTTTGCTTCAATAGTCCATTATTGTATCAAACGATATTATTGTCTGTTTGATTCACTAGAAGCATCACAGCAAATCCTTCGCGGGGTTTAGGAATTCTGAAGGTTTGATTCCTTGTTTGGCGAAAGGAGTACAGTAGTACTTTATTTTAATAAAATATATACTACTATTTAAGAGGTAGTTAAGATAGTAAGTAGACAAATAAGGATATTTTTGAAAAGACCAAAAAAATGGTGGGCTACTTCTTAGGTTCTCGAGCTGTTTGTATCAATGAATGGCACCATTAGCTTAATTGGGATATATTCAATTGACAAAGAAGATTATTATACATACATACTTAAACCTTTACAGAAAATTATCGGCGTGTTCAAACCAAAAGACGAAGAACCATACGGCAGACTGAACCCGAAGTGGACCAAATGGATGCACAAGCTATGCTGTCCCTGCTGCTTTGGCAGGTCGTGTCTCATCCCCAACCAGGGGTACCTGTCAGAGGCCGGCGCCAGTCTTGTCGACTCGAAGATCGGTCTCAAGATAGTTCCCAAGACGAGGGTAAATATAAACTCCTGTAGATATCTCTTATGTATAACTTATGCTACCTGCCTCTTAACTAACTATACGAATAATGAATTGCAATGGTTGCTTAGTTAGACCACGAAGTAAGGACACACATTCGAATTTCAAATATTTGTATGGATTTTTCTAGCTACCCTCAAAAATTTGCATATTTTGTCCATCTATATTTGTCTCTGTTTTGAAGATTTTCAGTAATGACACTAAAATGATATATTTAGATTTATATAAGTCAAGATTATTCTTTGCTCATCTTATTAATAAGTCTATATTTATCTCGAAATAATTTCATTCAACAACGATGCAAGTTGAGGCCGTGAACTTCGCATGTTCATAAATAAGTCAACGAAACTTACTATCGTGTTGTTGTGTGAATTGTTATCATTAATTGAGTTTTATACTTTTTACTTAATACCAGTTTAATAAGTATTTTTATCTTGCTAGGCTAAATTTTAAGATAATGTGGAAATCTCAGACGAATTTGGGATCACGAAAGAAAACTTATTTATCAAGTAACACACATAGTATTTTTAGTAGTTGATGCAAAATAAAACTAAATTGTAATCGATTTAAACTAAAATAAAATTACAACACGGCTGGCACGTGAACCAACATCCACAGCGATCCGTACTGCTTCTCTAACCAATTGAGCCACCGTGATAGCCATCAAGTGAAGTTTCAAACAAACTGTTTAAAACAAATTACTATGGTACTGATTATTAACTACAACCAGACGTTTCATAAACGTGCATGGGTTTGCAAAAAAACCAATTTATTCGCTTTTGCCGTCCTCAGGTAAATTACTGTAATATTCAAGTCTTCACTTATTTTTCAGGTGGTAAAGCTAGTATCGGAGACGTTTAATTATTTACGGATAGACCGTGAAAGGTCGAGACTGAAGCGGGCAATCACAGAACAGTTTCCGAACCTTCGGTTCAATAGAATGGGATTGCCTCCCAAGGTATGGTATATAATATGTTTTTTCTATGATAGTGGAGGATGTGCATATAACATCTAAACCATATGTTGTCCTATTTTGGCTTTGGATATTCGTAAATACCGGACACGAAACCGTGGTTCGTTCATTTATTATCCAGATATCCAGACGAAGTACAACACTTCTTTTGATGATACTTTTTTATATAAAATAAAATAAAGTATGTTTAAAACTTATTTAGATTCAGATAAAGTCAAAAAATATTTGTCTGTCAGTCTGTCGTGATTCTATACTTTCCGTTGTTATATTTGCAGCACTGAAAGTATTTATGGGCACCCTACTCTATATATCTTTACGTATTGTCACACGAATGATTCATTGATTAGTTTAAAATTAAAAATTTATTTGAAAATTACATTTCAGGTAGGATCATATCAATTATTTGTGGAAGGGTATAAGGACGCCGACTACTGGCTCAGGAGGTTTGAACAGGATCCACCTCCTGAACATGTTATGAAGAAGTGGGTATACCTTTTCGTTAGAGCGATACGGTCGACTAAGGCACTAAAGCTAACTTTATATCCACGGCAGTACATGTCTATCTTTTAAGATTAATTCGCAAACATTGTTTTTATGATAATCAAATTCTTTTATTCTATAGCTCGTCTTTGATTTACAAAACGGCCGCGAAATCTTACACGTTTATTCAATGTATAAATATTTAGATTTCAGTTACAATTCGAGCGTCTGGTTGTGCTGGACTACATAATTCGCAACACGGACCGCGGTAACGACAACTGGCTAATCAAGTACTCGGCGCCGTCGAACCGGGCGGACCAAGATATGACTGAGCCTTCCGTATGTTCATATTTTATATATTACTAAATATACTTTTGCTTCGAGAAGCTAGGAAATACTTAATAGTGTGAGCTACAATCACTTAAAAGCTCCGTCCCGTTTCCATCACTCCTCCTCACAATCAATCACTTTCTAACACACATATTTTAAATGACATGAATATAATCACATTTGGTTAAGGTTAAGATATGAATAAAGTAATTAATTTAATGATATCGAAGAGCTGGAAACTCTTGCACAGGTATTATTTACTCAAAAGGGTTTCCACATCAAAACTAGATTGATGTAAAAAATCTGTTACTTAAACTTTTTATTATATATACTACTAAATAACCGAAATATTTTAAAACATATTGCTTCAAATAGATTAACAAACATACAATTTATATGTATGCGCAACCATATAAAGATGCCAGATAATTGAAGAGGCGGCCATTTTGTAAACGTTACGTTTCATATGCGCACGCGTGTTTAATCTAATAATGTTGAAATGTTATATGCTGAAGTAATGTTCGTGTTGGGATTGTTGTATTTAGAATTATACATTGTACAAAATTTTCTTCTAGTTGGATTTTATAGAAAGTTATCAGTTATTCCACTTGAAAGATCACATAAAAGAATTGTAGATTCTGCGCTTTTGAATTTTTGCCTTTTATATTTCATAATGTTTGGATAACCGACATCATAGACTGTCTATAGTTTACGCGAGTAGTACACATTTAAGTAAAACACTTTAACGGTTTAAAAACAGTCCCCCCCCGCCCCCGGGCCGCGCCAAAGCCCCCCAAAGGGGGGGGGGGGGTAAAAATTTTTTTTTTTTTTTTTTTTTTTTTTTTTTTTTTTTTTAAACCAAGTTTTATTTAACCGACATCAGTAACTTTATACAGAAAACAGAAAGTTTATTTATTATTGTTTTCATGACAGAAGAGGATAGAAAACCACAAGTTTCACTCGATGGAAGATGACCCCTGACTATTACATTTAAACAAGATGTGCTCTGGGCTTTTCTGGCTTTGGTTATTTTGTAATCTATAGACCAAAAGCTGAACCGCGATTAAACTTTATGCCTTTTCCGTGAATTTCAGTATTCCTACTACCTACCTACCTACTAAAATTTTCAGACATTATGAAATATGTTAGATACATGTTGGATCTGGTAGGAGACGAATCCAAGACCTGTTGATTTTTACCCATACATTACCAATTGAACCAGCGACCCCGTCATTTGTGATTTCAGGAATGGAACGGCGGCATAGAAGTGCGAATAGCTGCCATAGACAACGGGTTAGCGTTTCCGTTCAAGCACCCAGACTCGTGGCGGGCGTATCCCTACCACTGGGCGTGGCTGCCGCAAGCGAAGCGGCCGTTCAGTGCCGAGACTAAGTAAGCTTTATTCTATTACTAGCTGTGTTAGCGACTTCGTTTGCGTAGAAATGTTATTTTGGGTAATCGATATTTGTTTTTTCAAACCTTCTGTTTAACTCTATAAATTTAAGCTGTTACCCACTACGTCACTCTCGTCCCATCGTTCTTGCGAGTTAATCTTAAAAGATAGAATTATATCGCGGACATTTTTTTAGATAATTTAAAGAGGAATCATTTCCTTTATACATGTTTTTGGGTATCTTGAACAAAGAGATTTTTCAAATCGAACCAGTAGTTGCTGAGATTAGCGCGTTTGAAGAAACAAACAAACACTCTTCAGCTTTATATATTAGTATAGATTCACGTATTGGATACTATATGTTAGTCCTTTCCTCGCTATTCTTGAACATTGGTCTAGTGTGTACAAAAGACTACAAGAATAGTGATTTATGAAAGAGTGGCTGGATGCAAAAGTAAAAGTAAATTGCGTCTTAGCAAAATCAATGGTAAATCTTTTTGTTCGCAGAGAACTCGTACTGCCGCTTCTCTCCGACATGAACTTTGTCCAAGAGCTCTGTGATGAGCTGCACCAACTTTTCAAGGTTTGTTTAGCTTTCTACAAATAGTTAAATCGAGAAATATGTAATAGAGTTAATTAGGATAGAAAATTCCAAACCAAATTTGTTTCATTTTGTAAAACTCAAAAAAAATTTTTTTTTCTTCATCTTGTTAGTATAAATCGTAGGTTTGATTATTTTACGTATTTACAAATTAGATTTCCTTATCCCTTTTTCATAAAAATAACCATATACGCTGTATGTATACGACAAGTATAAAACACTTGTACTGCAATGATTAAGATATTTACAAAGCCATTTAAAGCCATCACCCACAAAACCAACAACTTACTAGCTACCATGTCAAAATATTTTTGATAAGGATTTTTTTAAACAAAGTTTTAAAACGAAATATCTGACATGTGATATAATTATGTTACTTACTCACTTATTACACTACGATGGCAACGTCAAGTCGTAGTTAAAATTAATCCAAAATAATTCGTTATTTTGGACATTTCGCATTAAAAACGGTTTTATTTAAATAATAAACTTAAAATTTTAGCAATTTAATAATTTTTCTACGTTCTCACGGAATCCGTACGCGTAAACGCTAAGACCGTGTCTCCAGACGGTATCTCCTAACGATTGTAAATCTTTTTGCAGCAAGACAAAGGTTTCGACAAGCGCCTCTTCGAGCGGCAGATGTCTGTCATGAGAGGTCAAGTGTTGAACTTAACGCAAGCTCTTAAAGACAACAAGAGTCCGGTGCAGCTCGTGCAGATGCCTGCTGTCATCGTCGAAAGGTATGACTTATTGATTTCAACTGCATGCTTGCATTATATTCCTTATCACACAACACGGCCAGTACAGCATCACATCGTTTCTTGCTATTGCTTCCTTTTTTTTTCCTACCTTCATATGCAATAACACTTTTAAAATATTAAAGCTTACAAAAATCTTTAATACAAAATTCTATTGTTTTCTATTATATTTTTTTTATCGTTGCCTTTTACCAAAAAAGTATGGTAATGTAAAATATTTGGAAATGACAACACGAACTTCGCAGTATTTCGCATCCGTAGCGACATTTGATGTTTTTCGTTAAAAAAATTTTGGCCCAAAAATTCCCGGAAATTTTTAAAAAAATTTTTAAAAAACCCCCCAAACCCCCCCCACCCCCTTTTTTTTTAAATAATTTTGATTTTTTTTTTTTTTTTTTTTTTCGCGAGGGGAAAAAATGGTCCATACTGACTTTCCATGGAGTAATCAACAAGGCTAAACAATTGAGGGTCGGACTTAGGAAGGGTACTTCCGTACTATTGACTAGGTACACAAATATCAAATTGTAATCTTTATATATTTATAGGGCTTGTTACCATTTATCAAGCGAAAATAGGCAAATAATCTCGTTTTTGTATGACATTCAAAAACGAAATGTAAAAGATTTTTTATAAGTAAAAAATATTTATGATTTTATATCTAGTTATCGCGGCGCTCGATTCATAGCTTTTCGACAGACAGACGGCAAGGTTTTAATAATAGGGTCCCGATTTTACCCTTTGAATACGAAACTCTTAAACTAGACTATTTTGCCTACTAATGTACAAACTACTGGCGTATTAGATTTTTCTATTGGTCTCTTATGTTTGGTCTTATGTTAGTCATTTTGTATAAAATTTTAACATTCGAGTTTTCTGGTGTCTAATAAAAGTGTGACGATTTTTCAGATCAAAAAGCGGAACAACGTCATCGCGCTTCTTCGACTCTTTCCAGCAACGCTTCCAGCAAAAGTCACCATTCTTCTCCTGGTGGTGAATTTTACTATGTCTGTTTATGTAATTCTGGAATATACCACACCTTACTTATAGACTAGCTGATAAGTTAAGGCTAGCGAAACGAGATAAAAAAGGAAATAATCGGACTTTCATAGAAGTAGGATTTTATACTCCAAAGCAGTCACTCCTGCAAAAGTTAAAATTAAAATAAGACTAGGAAGTTATTTAAATTAAAAGGTTTTGAATTCTACATCATGTAATGCATTCATTATTTTTCTCATTTCGTTAGTCTTTTCTTTTTTCCAAAAAGTGTATAATAATTTTAATTTTAAAATCGATCAAAAAATTCATAAAATATGCGCGTGCGCATTGCTATTCATATTTATATGACTACGTTAACACATTACTAAATAGAAATGGATTTTCTTCTTTCTCTTAATTTGCGACTAAACTATTGACTTATTCGTGTTTTGTACTGAAAATTATCATATTCTCGTTCAGCTACAGGATTTTTGGCGATCGCTGATTGTGTAGAATTTTGTACGTTTTAACATAGCTCTTTAAAACAGACGTTGATAATATCATTCCAACTCAAATAATCTTAACTTAATCACAAATATGTATATCATTGGAAAATTATTTACATTTGAAGCCATATTTTGATACAAATCGTACTTCTACTTCGGTAAGACTAGACCAACAGTAGTCAGAACGTTGCTATCCTATTTCTATGTTATACCGTGTTGTTAAACATTTCTTAAAAAGGTATTTTAATTGAAGGTAGTCTATAACTTGATGACGTCACTACATCAATCAATTTTCTTTACATTCGTTTATGTAGAGACATGCAAACGACTTTTCTAACGTCATTATATAATAGTTGCGGATCAAGCTAGTCGATTGGATTCATTGTTATATAAAATAGTATAATTAATAAAAACACAGTTTAATGATAAAGGCTTCAATCGAAACATCTGAAGCTGAAATCCGTAAAATATTGTAAGTTGGTGACGATTATAAGGCTGTGCAGTATATGAATGTAACGTTTCTTGCGAGTTAGAACCAAAATCATTTGTCTGGTAAAACAATTCTTTTTAATGCGCTTAGCTAGTTGATAAAATCTCTTGGCAGCATCATTAATAACGATTATTTTCAAATTCTACATCTTTCTATATAATTTATGTCCTATCTCGTTTCGTCTTATATCTTGCCTATTTTATTCGATTCATTCATATCTCATTATTTAAGACCACTTTTTTAATATAAGTTAAATTTTAATCAAACATTGTTCGTGTTGTTATATTATTTACCTATCTAGTGACGTATATACATTGAAATACGTGTATTATTATGTTGGAAACTAAACCTTCAATAATTCTAATTCGAGCTTTTCACATTTTGTTTATTTAATAGTAAATTTGTGATAATTATTAGGCTGTGGTTTCGTATAAATGCTGAAGGCCGTGCGACAAAATGTGCAAGCATTTAAGGCAAATACCAAAACTCGATATTATTCGTTTAAATAACACATTCTTTGTGGTTTAAAAGGCGAAATGCATTCTTTACCTTATTTTTAATTTAATTTAACTTGCCGTGACCACAAGTGCTGCAAAGCATCCACAACGTCGGGCTGCAGGTAAGATTAATTAAAAATAATCTATATATCGCGTTTTAAATCGTTAAGTGTTCTATTCGCGTAAGCTATGGGAAACGATTGATATCATTCGTGACTGTGAAACGTGTTAAACTCATTACAATGTAAGAGTCAAAGATACATTTGCAAAAAGAAGAAAGTTACTTTAAAAGACGAAGAAAAAGTAGATACGTGGCGCAAACCGTTTATATGGCACGAACGATTAAAGGGTATTCCATATATTATACCGCGAAGACAGCGTTTATAGGAGACCACAGCCTTTAAAAGACCATGTTAGAGTGACCTGCGCGTTTGGCATAATACTGTGACAACTTATGACTGTGATACTCATCAAGTTTTAGGAATGAGGTCTTTCTTGATTTTGGTAAGTCCCATATAGCTCCTGTATTCTAATTAACGTTTGAAAAGGTAGTAGATATTTTTTAGAAAATTTTGTGCGAGAAATTTATTTTCCATCGTGTTTTTGTTACCTCAAGATTTTTATTATTTGTAGATTATAGAATCACGGTGGCTTTGATGTTACGTTGTTATTTTTGTTGAAATTGTAGATTGAATTGACTAGGAAAACGTTTTATACAGTCTGTATTGAAGTGCCTAAATATGAAAGGATGGATGAAATGGAGTATTTGTGGTCACCGCTAGAATAAATATTTATCTTTTATTGAATACCAACATTAAAATAGTTTAGACGTTTCTACGTTAGTAGTTGTGTATACTACAGATGCATTAGCGCGTACAACAAATGTTTTGAGTCCGTTGTATTTTATTTACACCATAATGCGATTTCTAACTTGTTCTGTCGGTCCAATATATCAACGGGCGTTACCATAGTACAATACGGCCGACGTAACTTGGCAAGCCTGATCTAAGCGCGAAACGCTGCGCAGCGAGAGGCGCGGGACGAAGATTTAGGCTAGTGATTGACACAATGTCAACACAATCGACCGCTTATTCTATCAAATTTTGTAATCGATTTAGATTATGGATTTTATATCGTATGAGATATTGTACTAAATGGATTGATGAACACAGTGAATGGTGTTGTTAATAAACAATACCATGATTACCTTTAAAGGAAAATAAAATCATTAAAAACTTTTTTCATTATTGAACTACCTGATTAGTTAAATAGTAAGTTTACGCGAGAACACATTTAAAAACCACGGAATATATCGCGTTTTAAACCGTTAAGTGTTTTATCTACCCTATTTAGGTAAATATAGGGCTTCTTTAGGGCTTTTTATACAATTATATTTATACGATCTAATTTTATCTATTTCAATAGGAATCGATTAAACGACACTCTCAAGGCTCGCGTATGGACATCTCTATTTAGTTCTTTCGTAAAGCTTCGTACATATTCGGTAAACAGAGTGTGTCTCGGTCACTCCTTGGCGTTAATTTCGTTATCTCAGTCTTGAGCGCAGTCCGTTAGAAAAGTGGTTTATTGTTAAATTTAATATTATTATTTCTCTTTTATTATATTTTTCTTTTGTCTCTGTATTTTAGTGAAAAGAAAGTGTCCCGCGCCTCTCGCTCTTACCACCGTTAACATCCAAAAGAACGTTTCTGCGCAGCGTTTCGCGCTTAGATCAGGCTTGTCAAGTTACGTCGGCCGTATTATAACATTAAAAAAAACATTTTTATCAGTTGATACTGAATTAACAACTTTCTTGAATATATAGACATATTATATGCTCTGAAATTATTTGAGCGATATTATTATGCGTAACTAGGAGAATTTCTTAACAAACAAATGTGAGACCTGCATTTTTATTTATTTATTTAAAGCATAATAATTTAACCTTAGGAACAATCTTTGTTTTTGGCCAACAAAAAGTTACGTTACGAAGTACAATGCAGACAATAGGAAAGGAAAACATTTGGTCCGCCACATATTGAAATAAAAATGTTTTAACCTTGACCGGGCTTACATTATGTCTTTTCGTTGGCCTTACGACATACCTTTTGCATTAGGATCATACAGTGTATCTGAAATCTAAAAAAGAATATTATGTCGTTTTATAAAACAATGTTTATTGTAGTCGAGATACGACACGAAGTAGTTACAAAAATAGTTCCTCAGTTGTGGAGACTTCGATCACTTTGGAGGTCATTTTAAACGGATACCAAACAAATAAAAGCTGACAACATCAGCTCTGACCAGTAACCGCCTCGGCGGCTTATTGGTTAAATATCTTCGAAAGCAGTTGGGTATGGCTCAAAACTCTAATTTGGTCAGGTCTGTCTGGTAAATAAAATTGTTTAAGTCTATCTTGGCCATTTTGCAAAGCTGTTTGGATTTTAGATTCTTGACTAAGCGAAGACTGAGCTAATTTTTTTTAGAGAAACAATAAACTTGTCTCGCCCCACCTAGCGAGCGTGGCCAGGAAAAAGTAAAAAATATTAAAATGTATTAAGTAAATATTTAGAACCTCAATCTGTTGCCACACTCGACAGCAATACGGTATGTCCATAAAGGCTTTTTATTACCTCCAAAAGGATTCAGAAGTTGCATGTTTTATAATGTGTCTATAGTGATATGTTAAAATTTGATAGTTTACAAGAAATAGCTGAATTCCGTTTGTACTAAGTAGGTCGAATTGAACTGTGCCGGGATACTGGATTCGAAATTGTTAAATAATATTAATTCGATTATTTATAAGTCTCCCAATGTATAGAAGTTAATAGGAATTTTGTAAATAGCTGTAACAATCGCATTATCATATTTATAGTAACGCATTATTTAATTGGAGAAAATATAATCGTCATTGCACTTTTGTGTTTCTTATTATCTAAGAGTTGGTAAAGTTGTGTTTAAATAAAACTCTAACATTTCAGTTCATGTATTGATAGGTAAACATAACATTAAAATAAATAGTTGTGCGGTAAAATATAATCTAAAGCTTTATTGATCAGAGTTACTTAGTAAGTTTGTGACGGCAAATATTAATTTATTAAATCAATAAATTACCTAATTGTATGCAACATAAAATAATGTGTTAGCTACGCTTCGACTAGACTTTTTAGGATAATTCATAAAAGTTCATACAAAATGAAATGTATGCAGTTTTTGGTTCGGCACTGAACTTTTCAACTTTAACAAATCTGTTATTTAAAAGAGTATTACAAATTTAAAAAAAACACTCCATATGGTTTAAAACGCGATAAATAACACCCCAATGATTTCGACTGCTGCAAGGCAAACATTGGCCCGTAGTTAAAGTAAATTAAAAATAAAGTAACGAATAAATATCACGTTTCAAACCGTCAAGTGTTCTGTAAATAAGACTTAAACGATTCTGGACACTAATCAATGGAATTATTCTTTTCATAATATAAACGAAATCTATTCGAGCCATTCTAGTCTTATATTTCACGAAAAATTTGTAATGAAAAACAATAACATATATTTTGTGAACTATAAAAAAGTATTATGTAGTAACAATTAGTAATTCGAAAGATCGGCTAAATTTTATTTTTAAATGAAATACACTCTCAACGCGACTACAGTTACAAGGCAAACATCTTTAACAAGATACGTTGAGTTTATATAATTATATAACATTTTTTATGTACGTCTGTAAATAATTTTTTATCTGTGCATGTGAATAAGGTGTTGGTACTTGACAAATGCGATGGCAGCCAGCTCCTTGCAAAACTCTTCCAATACGATCAGACTCTCCACAAGCTGGTTGTGGTCAGTGCTGCAAATCAAGTTAAAGCAAGGCTTAAACACTAAGACATAAAACTACAAGTCTCAAAGAAATTTCTTGACTTCAGAACGGGTAGAGATGGAATGTAAAGCTTCTTAGGATACCACATCCTTTGATATTTCAGTTGACGATTTTAAACTCTCTTTACAAATCAGAAAAAAATTCATGGTTTTAAAAATTGACATTAAAAAAATTTAATCGTAGAAGAGGACATACAAGCATGCAGTATACTTAATGGTAGACACACCCCAGCCACATAACATCTAAACAAAATGAGCTGTCGACCGACCTATTTTGGCTTTGGATATTCGGAAATTTAGAGAGTGCACGATACTTGTGACCCGGTCGGAATTTCTATATTCCTACCACCCATTTAATATCCAGATTTCCAGACGTAGTCCGAAATGTTTCAGAAACATCGAAAATTGTCGACTATTAGCCACACATTACACAGACGACCCTGCCATTTATTCGATAAATAACTATCGCATAACAGATGACTCACCTTTCATCGTAACTTGGATCTTCGCTCATAAGCTGTTGCCTGGTTTGCTCAATCACTTTCTTATAATTCTTCAGCCTGGGAATCTCCAACGTTAATCTTCTAGCGATTTCTTGCAGCGTCTTGTGCAACGTCCGCGTATTTTTGGCCGTCGGCAGAGTGGGGTTTAAGAGAAATTCGTGTAAGTTCGGATGCGGTAGCAAAGCTAGCTTGGAAATAATCGACGTTAAATGCAAATTGACTTGGTACGGCTGATCTGGCATTCTCGCTAGCAGCTTAAAGATCATCTTCAGGAACGGGCCCTCGTCGAACTCGTCTTCGATGTAGGTTTGAGAATCGCCCGAACGCATCACCAGAGTTTGTGAAAACTTACGCGTTTTCTCACTATTATCTGTATTGCAACTTTCCGATTTATTTTCTGTTTGCTGTATGGTGAGTGGGTCATCTATGGAGTTTCGAGATGTACGTTCGTTTGTTTCCTGTTTTGTCTTATTCTTTGTGTCTATATGTAGGGTGTCGAAGACTTCTAGATGGATGTCAGCTTCGGGTCGGCTGTCGTAGCTATGGGTCGAGCTGGCTGTATTTTCCATCCAATTTGGCTCGGTCGGCCAGTGGTAAGAGGCTGTTATGTCTAGCCACAGCTGAAAAATATAAAACAAATCAAACACGACGAACATTTATTCTATTTGTAGCCCGCGAGCATCTGAATTCAATTCCCTCGGAAGAATTACACTTTGCGAATATAAAAAAAATATTTGCATTAAACATTTGGAATATAAGAACGTAGCTATCCATTTTCTAGATAATAGACTAGTCAGTACATTGTTTATGATCCCTCGTGACCACGGCTGCAGTCTGCAGTCAAAAATAACACGTCGTTTAAAACCATTAATTGTTCTTATTTTAAAAATGTACATGCGTAATCTACAGACAATACTCATTGTATGGTGTGACAAGAAAAATTCCTTTTATATGTACCGTACGGTATATTCATATATATTACTTGTCACGTTACTTTCAATGTACTGTACCTGGTAATGACGTTGTGCATCATGGATATAGTGCTCGTAATCTGCTCCTACTGGGTCAGACAACAGCGCGCGGGGCAACACCAACAGGAAACTGCAAGAAACAGGGAAAAATAAAACTAATACATCTATATTCAAACGTTTATTCACACAATTACAAAATACAAAAATAATTTTAATATACAAAGACAATAGAAAATACAGATATACAATAAAAGCATTGTTATTGCACGTGGATAAAAGAAGTTTTGGAATTCAGCATTGAAGGATAAGAAAGAAAAAAGTGTGCAAAATAGAAAAAATAACACTTAGACACTATACAACGCAACACTTGGTACTTATTCACTAAAAACAATAGTTTCTCGAAATTTTGCTTAACTCAGGTACTTTACTAGAATATCTTTAATAAATAACTAATATTAATAATATATAATACTTAATTAATTAATAACTTTTTACACAACAGAGAATATATTTCGTAAGTTTCCATAATACGAAAAGTATCAAAATTTGAGATTGACTAAGATTCATTTGTGACAACAAATGAGGTGTGACAAAAAATATTCAAATAAAATTTGAACGTATAAGAAAACGCTATTAAATAAAACCGGCAAGGCGAGCAGACTACCAATGGTTTAGAACCCTCGACAAGGCTCGTACTAACTACGAGGAAATTTGACATTAGGGACACCCTCCATCTTTAGTCCTCCGTGACCACGGCTGCTGGAAAGCATCCAAAAGGTCAAGCCCGTAGTTGAAGAAAATTGTAAAATAATCTAACAGTTACCAAATCATGTTTTAAAGCCTTAAATTTTTTTATTGAAATGCATGTGTAGGTAACTCGCGTAAACTATAGACAATACCGAATAAATAATTGTTTAATTCTGATTTTAGTATTTGTTATTATGGCGGCGAGAGAAATATTAAACTTAGGATCTCATCGTGGTTTTTAATCGGTTATCATTTGAAATTGATATGTTAATTTTGTACAGAGATGAATACTATTAGCGCTTAAAATTAGTAAATTACACTAATTAGATGGCATCTTTGAATTCTCTAGCTCCATAATGTCCTCGATTCGTGACTTGAGTCGCAAGAGGCGTCTAAAAATATTAAATGTTTATTATGTTTTTCTGTTGATCCCGTGTTATGAACGTGCAACAAGCGAGGGCAGGAAAAGCTAGTTTAGCAGGCGGCGGAACAAGGTTTTGGCAAGGGTAGTAGTCCGAATAAAAGAAAAATATTTCGGTCGGACAGGGCACAGTATTGTGTTCCTCCCATGCCCCCCTTGGAAATCAGTTTATTGACAGGTCAAATTGATAGAAAAAGTATATCTATTACATTTTTTATTCTTCAATATTAGGACAACATTAGTTCAACGTAAAAATTTACCATTTAATACTCGTATTAAGAAAAAACAACTTTAAACAGAACTTTTATGCTACCCTGCTTACACCTTGTCACACATTGTCTACTCGATACTCCACAGTCTATACTTACCTATTGATGACCCGATGAATATTCTCGACGTTTTCCCCTTGCTCCTTGCTGTCCAGACCCTCGTGCGAGAGGATATCGTGTATCTGCTCGTTGATGGCGTCCTCGTGTTCCAGCTGCTTCATCGCTTCCCTGTAAGGACCGTTAAATTTATATCTTCAACTATCACTCTCTAAATTAACGTAGAAATAGCGTTTTATATAACTGATAAAAGTTCATATGCATTTTGACACAGAATAGTTAAACGTGTTGTCTGAAATAACCTCATTCAAGGTTCTAAATATATTTGGTTCGGTACAATTTTTTCGGTCGGGCAGGGCACATTAAATATTAAAATGCAATTAACTCACCTATTCCAATCTCGCTCCCGACCAAAGGAGAGGTCGTTAAGCCTGTCTCGCTCCGCGTTGTCCACTCTTCCGGGCACTGGGGGCGAGAAATATCCCCGGGACACCACCCGCGACACAACTATCCGATCCATGCTGTGCTCCGTTCCCCGCTCTATTATTGTCTATGAAAAAAATGTTCAAATTGTATTATATTAAAGCCACACTAATTAACACTCTTTTCAATTTTGTATACAATGTATTTTTATTAAGTTATAATTTCTATGATTATATTTTTTTTTCCTTTTCTTGAAACCCCCTTTTAACTCTACAGTATAAGTTACATTCTAGAAAGATTTTATATTATTTATTTTATGGCAGAGGAGAAGGTATGAACATGGAGTACACTAGATAGATGGTGATATATCCTTGCCATATGACATAAGATTCGATCCAGCCCATAAACGTGATCCTTAGAGATGAGTCAGAACGAATTTTTTCGTCTGTAGACAGTGGATTCAGATCTTCTAGTCGAAGTCTAACATGTTTCAGCTAAATAATAAATAGAATTATATAAACATGTTGGATACGGTGAGCTTCGAACCCACAGCTGTTACGATACCATTGGTAGCTTTGAATAGTATCTGTTGCGGACAGCGCCATCTTCATGTGTTCGATGAAAACTATTATCAATCAGCTCCATTAACCCATTTGCAAACCTGTATGTTGCAGAATTGTATCAACATCAGTGTCCACAACTTTACCAGTATCCCTAATAGTTTGACAAGTTCGTCGGAGCAACTTGCCTGTCAAAATGTTTGGAGTGTATTACTTACCTCGAAAAACCGCAGCGTCTCCAATGTGAGGTCGTAGTCTTCAGTTAAGCAGTTGTTGATCAGCGCCAGCAACAAAGGCCATTCCGATACTTCGCCGTCACCTACCAGCCAATTCGAGAACTCTGGTAGAAAAATGTAATTATATTATTGTTCTGCCTGCAGTTTGCGCCAGTAGTGCAGATTTAAATAAAACACTTGTACGGTTAAAACACGAAAAGTATTCGTTAAACTTATTTTAACTACGGCCCTACGTTTCGGATGCTTAGCAACAGCCGTGGTCACGGATCACGCGTCTCCCTGTATGATATATTTCACGTTTCTAAACCGTTGAAGTGTTTTATTTAAATGTACCTGTCCTGTGTATATGCAAGTATTACACGCATTACATAAAAGCGTGGTGACAGGGGACGGCTGCTGTAAAGTATGCGACATGACGAATCGTTGTTACAAATAAGTTAGCTAGTATATTACATGTCTAACCGTTATATTATATTTCTTTAGTATAAGTATTACACAGATTTAAATAACAAACCAAAGTCGCGTAGAGTCATAGTTAAAAATACGTTAGGTAATATTACAGATTTAGAACTGATAAAAAAGTTTTATTTAAATAATAAACTGCTTATCTTCGCGGTAACGCGTAGTTTTTTGGAACTTAGCCGCACTGACATTTGATTTTACCAAAATTGTTGAAAAAAATTTTTTTTTTATTTGAAGCCTATTGTATAATGTAGCGTGAAAATAGATTATAAATAAGGTTTTTTACTTACCATTAATGAGATCTGACGAGTCAATCATCCGCAAGCACTTGGCTAACAACGCAGTTGTTAGTACAGCGTGATGCATAAACGATGAACTGGTGTTCTCCGGTAGTAGCCAACTTTCTACTCCTAACATTCAAAAATGTATCAATGATTTTAAACAAACAGATTATTACGACATTAACTTGGTAGGTCAAGAACTACTAGGTTTTAGAAATTAGGTCGTTAAATATAATGCATATTATTTTATGTCTCGTGTTATATTCTCATTTTTCTTACCTTCTAGGAAATTTGAGCGAAACGTCCGCGCTAAGTGGGAAGCAATGGTGGGATGACATTCCTGAAATTTAAATATTATACTTGAATTGTTATGTAATTATTAATTTGTAGTCCAACATGTTTACAAAATAAAAAAAAAGGTTTTTCTACAACTTTTACTTGGATTGTGTCTCGATAAGCTGGACATCAAATGGGTGGTAGGAATATAAAAAATTCCGTCTTTTGTCCCAAAAAGCATGTGGAAATTTAAACGTAAATCCGCGTATCGGCTTCAATCTGTGGATTTCTGACCGTCAAAATCAACAGGTCGACCACGCCCTTGTTCAAAGGTTATCATGCATGGAGTTATTGCACCTTCCACCAGATAAGCCTCATGCTAGTTTGTCCTCCTCTATAATGAAGAAATAACACAGCTACCAAAGAATTCAAGGAATTACCTTCATTAATGTATCACAGTAGTCTAACCACGAGAAAAAGCTTGTCAACTCCCTGTATCCATGGAACTTGTTATAACTCTTGTCACCAAAATCTTGCGCTACATATCTGTAATATACATATATCTTTTTTAAATGCTTCTTAATTACATACTCAATTATCAGACCTTGTACCGGCTATCACGCCTGATTTAGCGCGGTGACCGTTAAAAGATGCCAATTGGCACTCGGGCAGAGTAGTCGAATGGGTAGTTGTGGGTCTAAGTTCTTATCCTCTTGCATGCGATAGTGGTGCTGGGCACAAGTATCACTTATTATTCCTTAGTATTACTAATATGTAGAAGTACTAAGGATTAAAAGAACAATTATACTTACGCCCAGGTAATATTTAGATGGTCGACGTCATTTGGATCAACATCGTTTGGTATAGCTCTATATTTACTGCACAGTTTGTCGACAATTGTCTCACAACATGGGCTGCAACTGGTCACCAAGTTTGCTATGTCATCTTCAGGGAGGGAAGAGACTATCATTATACCTTCGCAAGAGCGAAGAACTACTTGGTTATCCTGTAAAATAAGTTAACAGTTAAGTATCGTCTGTAGTTCACAACCCTTGACCACGGCTGCTCTAAAGCATCTGAAACGGCGGGCTGTAGTTAAAATAAATTATAAATAAGTTAACTAATAAATATTCCGCGTTTTAAATAGTTAACGGTTTTATATAAAAGTCTAAGGTTTATATATGTCATTAAAACACAGCTTATATTTAAACATTCCTGTAAAAAGGATATAATAAGTTATTATTATAGTTTAAATTGATGTCTCTTTATTATGGCTTATAATTACTATATTAAAAAAAAACTATGTAAATCTTGTCTGAATAAGTTCCTTCGATAACAATAAGTTTTTAACTTATCAGAAAAAGTCAAGAAAATAAACCAGAAATAATGTTTATGCAATGTAATACACTTACCGCGCTATTTAAATATGACAGTAGTAGGTCAATTAATAGAAACTTGTCATTATCATCATACACGGTTTTTTGACTTTTCAACGATGCATTATCATCAGCCACAAAGCTATTTGATGTCATATCTTCCTTTCTTACAATCGCAACACTTCTTAATGGGGGTGTCATATCAACATCAAATAAAGGATTTTTCTTTGGAGTATTTACTTTTCTTTTGATAGGTATTAAATGCTGTATATCTTCTGGTACCGACATTAAACTCACTCTATCCTCAATAAACGGTGTAGTAAATATATTGGCAAGACCTGACTCTTTTCTTACAAGACCACAAATTGTAAGGAGAAGTTCTACTTCCTCTTTTTCTGTTGGTGATGCTGCACATTCATTGCATTGAACTAGCATTCTCTGTAATATAAAAAATAACCTTAAGAAAGATACTGTAATTTATCTATTTTGTAACCTGCTTTGTGACTTTTTTTACACACTTAAGATGATAGATTTGTAACTTAGATTTGTTGTCTGGGTAAGCATGAATTGACTGATCACATTTGACCTTACCTGTAAAGGCCTATAAACATGCACACTGTTGATACATGGTCTTTGGGTCCGTCTGAGTAATGTGGTAGCCAATGTTAACGCCATAGCTCTAGCTCCTGGTGGTCGATCAGAGACTGCAAGAACTGCAAGAGCATCTAACACTCCAATAGATCTTTGTACTACGGCTTCTAAACAGGGTCCTACTGTGCCACCTTGCTGTTCCTTTTCTTCATCAACTATTAGCTGTAATAAATATTTATAATTTCCTAATTTGTCTTAATAGAATATTGGATTTAATTTATATTTGGTATACTATATAGATTAAATAATTTTACCAATACCAATTAAATTAACGAAATGAAAATTTTATAGTTCTACTTTGAGCTAATCATTATACAGAGCTATATTATGTGGCCTTGTACTAACCTTCAGCAAATAACAATGCACTTTGTTACAATTCTTTATTACATAATGGTTAATTATCAAACTAAACTTTAATTAATACATTTTTCAGAGGCTTAAATTTGACCTGACCTGAAACATTTGGTGCAAATGATGTGGTACCCTTGTATCTTCAATGTGGACTTTACAGGTCTCGTCATAATTTTGATAGAAATTCACAATCATCTTCCAATGATATTCAAAGTCTTCATATCTTGTGGCTGGCGGAGCTAACTAAAAATTTTCACAAGAAGAATAGTAAGAATTACTAAAACTGTGTCAAAAGTAAAAGCAACTGTATTTACGCACCTTGCGGAAAATATATTCATGTAAAAAGGGGCTGATCTTAGAAACGGTAATGAGGTTTCAAATGTATTTAATATAAGATTAAATATTTGTAAATATACTTACTACATCCGCAGCGGTCTGCAGTACATCAGAAAATCTGCTAAGCATGGTAGCCAGTTTTAAAACATAATTACTTAATTATCTCCTGGGTTTAGATTAACTTATATTCAAAATAAAGTAAATTATATGTTAAAAGAAACAAACGAATATAGTGTGTTTTCGTCAAATATATTTTCGGGTATTTAGATTCACATATCAGTAAAAAATAATATCATGTTTACAATTTAGATTAACATTTTATCAAATTGACAATTTACAACTGACATATTACAGATAGATTATTCTAACCCACAGATGCACTTAGTAATTGTTGATGATCATATAGATTAAAAACATATGTATGATTTTTATCTCTGTCAATTGTTAATTTCTTGTTAAAGACATATTATGTGTCAGTGCATAGATGTCAGTGGTGTGTGCACTGTGCAGTAAAACAATAATAAATAGAAACAAACAATGTCTGACGACGAAGTTATACGCTTTGAGATTACAGACTATGATCTAGATAACGAATTTAATCCTAATAGGAGTAGGAAAGCTAAGAGGGAACAGCAAATCTACGGTAAGTTTACACTACTGCTAATAAATATTATTTCATAATAGGTAACCTACATAACTCCACTTCGTACTCAGGTGTTTGGGCAAAAGATAGTGATGAAGAAGATAATGAAGACAATGTCAGACAAAGAACTCGTAAACCGAAGGACTACTCGGCACCTATCGGTTTTGTGGCCGGAGGAGTACAGCAAGCAGGCAAGAAAAAAGAAGAAAAGAAAGGTAAATCTGTTTTAATATTTCTGTCTCAGCTGTTTAAAAATTTAATTTTATGTCTTTATAGCACAGTTTATTTTTTTTTTTGCAACATCATTACAGAATTGGCTCCGAAAGAGGCATCAGTATCTAAAAAGTTCACGGACAGTTCAGATGAAGATGAAGTTAATAATCCTGATGAGAGTGAAACAGCTGGGATTAGGCGAGCTGGCCAAGGGATGAGGCCTCCAAGCCTTGGAGGTAATGTTGGTTCATGGGAGAAGCACACTAAAGGAATTGGAGCTAAGCTTTTATTGCAGGTAACTGATGTACCAAGTATTAATAAAAAGTTTTAAATGAAAATTAATATAAATTTATAGGTGAAGCAGGTGATTCCAAAAAAATTGTAACATGTAGATGTGTTTCATAAGTAACCATTGGTGAATTAAAATAATCATGGATATGATTTATACAATACAACTTTTAAGTTTCCTGTACAGTCTTATGCAAAATTAAAAAGGACAGTGGACCGATGGTGACTTAAACCAAACATTGAATTCCACAGATGGGTTACCAACCTGGAAAAGGTTTGGGCAAAAGTCTCCAGGGTATATCTGCACCAGTTGAAGCCACTTTGAGAAAAGGTAGGGGAGCTATTGGTGCTTATGGACCGGAGAAAGCTGCTGTAAGTATTTTTTATGCAAGATGAAGTATTTCCATTCAGAACGTATGATCTGTTAAAGAAGCAATCTTGTAACAAACTTATTGTTTATTTTCTGTTTTGATGTTATCTATGTCTATAGTTAATGCTAGTAGTAAACATAATTAAACCTTTTTATCGGTTTAAAATGCAAAAAGTATTACCTAAACTTATTTACAAATTATTTTAACTATACACTGAAGTCTCATTAACGTTAACTAATACATTTCAACAATTAAACAATGTTTTATTTAAATCAGAGTATCATTCCCTTTTAAGCAAAAAGCTAAGAAAGAAGAGGAGAAACGACTAAAAGAAAAGGCAGAGCAGGATAAAGGAACTGCAGAAAAAACATATAATTGGAAGAAATCTCACAAAGGGCGATACTTCTATAAGGATGCAGCTGATGTCATACAAGAGGGTAAACCCACCATGCACACTATAAGCAGGTAGATATTTGTAATACCAAATATGTGATCCTCTTTACTATGGTCCTTGCTACTAAAACTTAGTTTAAAAATAATAATATCTATTATATCTGACGAGTCCTTGGTTTGAATCCAAGAAAAATTATACATTGTGTCTGGTTAATAAAATGTTCACTGCAATGCCCATGGGGATATCACATATTTACATTGAATATTACACATATGTTTCAGTAATGAGCTATCCAGAGTACCAGTAATAGATTTGACTGGGAGAGAAAAGCGAGTTCTTAGTGGTTATCACGCGCTGCGTGCCGCCGCACCTCGGTACGAACATGAGCCCAGACGGGACTGTACCAACTTTGCACTACCAGCTCTTGCGCACAATCTCCAACTTATGGTTGAGTGTTGCGAACAGGTGAGTGAAAATGTTTAGGACTCTTGAAGGCAAGGCCAAGTAGGTAGGCAGTGAATGTTGGTTCGTAGTGGAAAATAAAACCAGCACTGCTGAGTGTGTTCAGCAGCAAATATTCAGCAGTACAGCTGAGACTGGTACTGAATGCCATTTCCTATCTATTTAATATTTATATACATATATAGTATACTGTAAATTTGTTAAAAGCGCAATAAGTTGAATGTTGCGTACATTAAGTACGCGTTTTAAATTGTTAACAGTGCTTTATTTAATATGCATTTATATTTAAGTTCGCATTTTTTTACCCATTAAGTACTTATTTCTACCTCTTGTTGAACTGTTGGTTTAAATAAAACACTTTAACGGTTTAAAACGCGATATATATAAGTTCAACTTATTTTAACTTTGGCCCGACGTTTCGGATGCTTTGCAGCAGCCTTGGTCACGGGGAGACTAAAGATGGAGGATGTCTCTGACGTCAAAGTGAAAATTGCTACGCTAGCGCCATCTATTCCGTTGAAGTTGGTATTTGGCGAAACTGGTCGGTTCCTTGCAGAACGGTTCTGTACTATTCGCGTAAACTACAGACAGTAATGTACTGCTTGTTTCCTGAGCAGACTACTATAGAATGCGATATAAAATGTGAAATATATTACTTAACTTAATTTATATATTTTGCGTTTTAAATTTGTATATATTATTAATTATCGTCCCCCGTGAAACATGTTGCCGAATTCAAAATTTAGAGTCAGCAATTCGACTAATATATATCTCGTTGTAAACCGTTAAGTGTTGTTAAAATGTGTACTACTCGCGTAAAGTACCATACTTATTAAGATACTTCCATGACTCCTTTAAGATTAAAGAAAATTACAATCGAGGTTTCATTTATTTTAGGACATTATCCAAAACGCAAGGGAACTGCAGCAGGCCGAAGACGAGATAGTTGTCCTCGAGAGAGACTTAGACGAGAGCAATGCGAAGCTGCATGAGCAAGACCAAGTTATAAACCAAGTCCAGAACATCCTGATGAAGGTGGAAACGTTGAACAAGGCCGACGTGTCCTTAGAAACGGCTTTTGAAGTGCTAACTGATTTGAAGGTATCATCAGCCCTTTGTTTGGTTGTAGCAAGTAAATTGTTTGCCTGCTCATTTTTAACTTCGTCTAGAAACCTGGTAATTAAAACGGTGAAAGAATAATCGAAATTCCGTCTGGCTCACAAACCATAGTCAACAGTGCAGCTTCCATCTAGTGATCCACATGCATGTCCTCTATAATTAAAATTACAACTGTATTCAAAATTGTCACTCAAACAAGCATATTAACTTCGTCATTCACTTACCCAAATTGCTCTTCTGCAATTGCTTCACCGCTTTGTTGAGTCGTTCCGCATTATAGAGTAAAAACATTAAACATTGCTTTTCAGGAAACGTCTCCAATTGAATTCGAAATGTTTGGTCTTGGCGCGATTGGTGCAAATATTATAAGTCCGATGTTCAGCGCCATGCTAGCGAAATGGGAGCCTCTTCAAAACCCGGATGAGCCCGTGGAAACGTTCCTAAAATGGAAGCCCTTGTTGCCAGAAGATTCTTACAACGCGTTGCTATGGCAACACTTTATGCCCAGCGTCACTGCTGCAGTTGAGTAAGTATTATTAAATTAAAAGTATATTAAGATTAAAAAAAAAACATATGCGCGGGACTTGAAGCGGCATCCACAGCGTTTGGCCCTACTGAAGAACTTCATATTAAACAAATTAATAAATTGTAAGTGTTGTGTGGTAAGAAAATAACATAGTAAACATTTCTTTAAGCAATAGACCAGACAAAGAATTTAAGCTATTACCGATAATAATGAGTTCTTTTATACGTACCATCTTACGTTACAATATTCTATAGTAAAGAGAGAGCTAAGAGCTTATATCTCCCCACGAACAAAATGTATGTTTACTACAGAAAAGTATTGTTAAATCACGAAAAGACCATTGCTAAAGATATATTCCCAACAATTAAAGATTTAAAAAATCTACTTTTAAATTTAGTCTTTAACTTTTGTGACATTTATAAGTCTACCTAGTTACCTACCCGATTAAAAGACTTTTTACTTTTAATAAATTTCAGCATATGGAACCCACGTACACCGGACCCCATGCTCCGTATATTCGAGTGTTGGGTGGAAGTGTCTCCTGGCTGGCTGCTCACAAATTGTGCTGCTAAATGTGTGACACCGAGATTGCTAGCAGCCGTACGAGCTTGGGACCCAACGAGCGACACTCAGCCCTTACATGAATGGGTGCTGCCTTGGCATCCATTAGCCGGTAAGAAGAATGGAAAGATGAGCCTATCTTTGGTTATGGTAGCAATGTTTGGCTAATTCAACTTGTCAAGGATTCAAAGTCGAAGTTTTTAAATTACAGGTGAAGCCCTGAACGCTAGCGTCTACCCTCTGATCCGGTCGCGTTTAGCTAGCGCGCTCTCCGCTTGGCATCCCGCAGACGCGTCCGCTCGTCCGCTCCTAGCGGTTTGGAAGAACGCTTGGGGCAGTGCGCTAACTGCACTGCTGCATCATCACATTGTTCCCAAACTAGAACATTGCTTACAGCATGCGCCTTTGGAACTTGTTGGCAGAGAGAATAGTAAGTATTATAATTTGTAACAAACATGTTTAACGGTTTAAAACGCAAAGTATATGATCTGTAGTTCTGGTCACGGCTGTAAAGCATCCGACACATCGCGTCGCATAAGTTAAATAAATAAAAATAAAGATCTTACCAAATTTTATTTCGTTTTAAACCATTTAAAATGTTTTATTAAAAAAACAACAGCCGACAAATAATGCATTGATAATGTTTCGCTGCTGGGACAAAAATATATGGGTAAGGGTATAATTTAAAACATTGTAATGTTTTATTACTTCTAGTAAATTTATGGATTCTTGAATTAAAATGCAAGGCAATCTAAAATTATTCAATGTATTGACATTACCGAAATGTACAAACTTTGCCAGTGAGACAATTAGTTTCTGAGACAGTGGGGCTAAATAAAAATTAGTTTCTTAAATGGATCCACAGATGGCGTTGTTCGCAACACGACTTACCGTCGCACTGGCTACGTTTTAATTGTATACTGGTAAAATAATCTTTTATAATAACGAATTTCAGCCGCGTGGCTGTGGTGCGTGGAATGGGTCGATCTTATAGGAGCGCCAACAATAGCGGCGTTAGCTGGGCGTGCCCTTCTCCCGCGCTGGCTCGCTGCTCTAGCGGCGTGGCTTAACACTGCGCCTGCGCACTCTACTGTGCTAACTTCATATACCGATTTTAAGGTGACCAGTATTTCTATGGATCTTACTAATATGTAATGATTGTAATAATATTGTTTACCCAATATTAAGAAACATCATTCAATTATATTAAGTCATTTTAAATTAAAGTCATTATTTTTCACCATATTCGTTATGACGACAATCCTTGGGGCCCAACTTAGGAGAGCTTCATACAATTAAATTAACAATAAAACATTAAAATAATTTAACAATAAAGAGTATGTACTGCTTTTGATATCTTTCCACTTATAATACTCATGTTAAATCTATATCATTGTGTTTATTTTTAGAGATTGAATCAAGCCAGTATTATATATGTTTTTAATTCCTAAAATATTCTTACACAGAAAATGTTTCCGGCCGATGTGCTCAAAGAGCCGGTGGTTCGCGACGCATTCAGAAAAGCTCTAGACATGATGAACAGGAGCACGGATATGGATGCAGTAGAACCGCCACCACCACCACCCCGGTTCACCATGCCAGACACCAAGGAATCTTCTAGAATAGCGGATGTCCTAGCCAGCACAGCACAGAAAAGCTTTTCCGAATTGCTTGAGAGTCGTTGCATAGAAAAGGGCATAACGTTTGTGCCGATACCGGGAAAGACAAGGGAAGGTAGACCGATCTACAAAATTGCTGAGCTGCAGTGCTACGTTATTCGCAATATTGTTATGTACTCGAACGATGGGGGGAGAAATTTTGCACCGATAAGTATGGAGAAATTGTTGAAAATGGTCGAAGAATAAACATTTTACTTTATTTGGCCCTCGTACCTCGTGGAAGATCTTGAATTCAGTCCCGGGATAAAAAGAGTATTTTATTGAGGCATAGCACATAGGGGGGGGGGGGGGGTAGTCATTAATTGTGGTTACAGATGTACCATTATACCATATTTTCACATAAAATAAAATACTTTCCGGGTAAAATCAAGATTGTGGGCATATTTAGACGTAAAACGACACAATGGACATTCAAAAATAGATTTTCTGTATTTTGTTAATTTATTTCTAATAAACACTATGTAACTTGAAACTGTTTACTTACAATTTACAATATCTATCCATTTAAATAAAACAGAAAACTGTTTAAAACGCAAATATTAGGCTGTAGTCAAATGTTAAAGTCAAATTTGCTATGCTACCGCCATTTTTACAACCAGATTTTGTGTTCGAGTTTAATATATTTAGCATTTTAAACCGTTAAACGTGTTTGTTATTCTTAAACTTGGAAAACTAACTGTCAACAGGATATATGAGGATATTAAAGTATAATTAATTATTATACAATTTTATTTTTTAAAACAAAAATTCTGCTTAGTTGATAGGAGTTTGTTAAACATACGAAAAGGTTCACAGCGAACAGAGTATAATTTTTTGGGACAATTACCAAAGAATATCGGGACCAAATGAGACCGGTGACAGCTAAAGATAAACTTTGAGACAGGGAAAGGGCTTCGACCGGACGATTTAGATCGCCTAAGCCAGCGAACACCAAACCCTGCAAAATATTTGACTTATAACTGATGGTTTATAAAAAATGACCGCCTCTGAGCTAAACGATTGAACGTGTTAAGAACAAAAACTCCTGGGTTCAAATGCCCCGCTGACAGTATCCGTGCGGCTGTATCAACTATGGACCATGGTTTGTGACGTGGAGAGTATTATCATAGTCCTACCACCCATTTAATATCCAGATTTCCAGACGAAGTCTGTTGTCGATTAATGAATTATCAGCTATACACTCCTAAGATTGGACTAATGAGCCTGTGAAAGTCTAATCAACTACGAGAAACGGACACAGAATTGAACTCGCCCCATGCCCCAAAAAAAGGAAAAGGATCGAGTTAAAAAACGGAAATGGAATACCCATTTAAATGCTGGCGCCCAGAAGAATATTGTTTTTGGTCCTAAAACAGTAAGACGTAATTAGAGGTAGAAATTAAAACTAATCTTGCTATTTTGTGCACCTGCTTCTTACCTGCTGGGTGCTCCCACATCGGTCGCATTCTTTGCGGTACATAATTATCAGCATAAGCAATTATGCTCTTGTATATTCTTGACATGTATATGTTAATACAAGAAAGACAAATCCTTATACTAAAGGATAATCTTAGAGTTTCTAATATTTCTATGACAGAGTTGTCACTATGAGGTTGTATAAATCAACAGAAGTGGTATAAGAGACTAGAGAATGTTACTAATAAAATTCCCATAAATAACGTCATAGACACTATTCACACATTAAATGAAATAAAAAAAAAACTATTGATCGTTTATTTTATGTTAAATACAACATGCAACAAAAATAATGTTTAAAGTTACGATTAAGTAAGATGGCTAGGTCTACATATATGACTAAGTTACGTAAAGAGGGTTATAAAGGTTAATGGGTAAATAATAGTAATTGAGTTATGGCACAAACGGTGGTCTGTAAGTAAACTTTAAGCTATGTAAGTAATTATAGCCGCGTTTTAAACACGTAATATTTTAGTTAACTTTCAAATACGACCCGACGACTTTTATCCTTTGCAACAGCTGTGACCCCGGGTGGACGAAGTAAACTAATATTTACCGCTTTTTAAACCTATAAAAGTTGTATATAACAATAAGTACCTACACATTACCTAGATAGGTATATAATAATAGCTGTCTGATAAATTGGAAAGATTATCATTAAATAAAATAAGAATAATGTTATGTAAGTTTTCATAATGCGTAAATGACTTGTAATTTAATGTACTAGTAACGATGACAATTAGATCTATAATATTCGCGATTGTGTAGGTATGAGTATTTTTCGAATATTAGTTTAATACTAATAATTACATAAATTAAATAACGTTTACAAAGGTCCTTTGATATAAGTACTATGATCCTTGTAAAAGGCCATTAAAAAGTTGTATGTTTCATTCGTAATGAGTATGTTTGGTCGACAAAATGTAACATAAAAGTAAACATTTGAAAGTGGCGAAAAAACGGCAGAAGATTTGGCGGGATATCCTCATTTTAGGCGGTCATTTTCCTCTGATAACTGTAAGCCCTGTAACACTGGACTGCGTTTGCAACGCCCAACGAGAAATTGCAAAGGGACAAGGCATAGTTTATGGGTCTGATTACCAAACAGTATCTGGTCCAGATGAGGCCAGTAGCTGCAAGCGTAGCGGATTGGGTTGGAGACACAGTGTCTAATGGACGGCGATATTCATCGACAGATGCCGCTACTAGTGCCTGGAACCCACATTTATTTTAAGAGCATTCAGAGACAGTATGCTGAAAAACACAGACAAATCACTAGTGATACTTAATAAATATAATGTGTAGTAGTGTATGTTATCTCTACTTCACAATGAGTCTTTCAATATTCATTATGACAGTATGTTTGTATGAGGTAAACAAGATGGCATCCATCTTCATACAATAACATTCTATTGTTTCATTTTCTATCATTATTCAAGCATTGTAGTGTTACATTCCATACCCATGCTATGAGAACTTGCACAATACGACTCATGCTACCATGACACCATGCACAATCGTGATTATGGATAAGAAAGAAAAGAAAAATATTGAAATAGAAAAATATATATTTCCCTAATAACAAAAGGTTTTACAAAAATAGTCAACTTTTTTAAAGTGTGTTTATTTAACATGATAATATTTTACCGATACATTAGTGCAATACAGTGCATAAATTAATACAAATATGATTTTAAAAATTTGGAGTAACATTTAATGACATAAAATTTATTGTAATTTTTCTTCTTTGTTTGGCACAAATACGAATTAATCTTCTGATTTGACCGTATCTTATTTGCTTTCAGATTTCTGTATGATAAAATATGCACTGTATTTATTTCATAGTACATATCAAGAATTATCACAGATTGACAATATTTTAAATACCGTTTCGAGCACCGTTATCTTGAGAGCCCTAAACATTTGATAAGTATTTCCTACTTATGAATCTACAGATGAAATTGTCTACTTGGCATAAAACTTTAATTCTCCATTTGAGCTTACATTACTTTGTAACAATAAATTACCTATTCACAACTGAGATTGATTCCTATAGTCTACCGTGTGTAAATGGAAATATTTGATATGAAACTTTTTCACTGGCAGAAAATTCTACAAAAATACTGGTCATGAAGTGTCATATCAAATGGGATGATTACCCTGTAAAGTGACAGTCAAATTCATTCATTTGCCTTTTCCTTAAGAGACTGCTGATATTTAAAAGCTCTGCCTATCTGGTAAAGGCTAGTAAATGCTACAAACACATTAACAGCAAATAAGCTATAGTTTTTAGGTATGATAACAAGTGAATAACGTGACCAAATGATACCAGTGGCAGCGAGTGAGGCTGATTGTGGAATTGATAAGGTCTCGACGGGACGTTGTAAATCACCCAAACCAGCCATCACCAAACCCTGAAATATGATTAAGTGGTTCTGAAATATTTATGACCTTGATTATTGTATTTCATGGTATCAGTGATGGAGCAGATGTTTAAAAGATTATTGCACATCACTAATCAATAAATTTTTAATTAAACATACTTTCATTTATGTTACATAAATTGTTTATGGTAAACAATTCCCTTATTACGTTTTAAAATTGCCCTTTTCAATGCCGCATATTGTATAAGTTGTGACCTTGAACACATATGATTATATTAGACATGATTGATAAGATACATACCCATTTAAACGCTGGAGCCCAGAAAAAAATTGTCTTTGGTCCTAGATAAATGGAAACGAAGAAAAAGTTAAAATTAATAATAACGAATTGTACGCATGAATATAATTAATTTTATATTCTGAATGATTTACCTGCTTCATGTTCCCACAGAGGACGTAATTTATTTGGTACAAATCTGTCAGCAAACACTACCACTGTTTTATACACTTTCGACATTTTTAAGTAACAATAAGTTCGATTATTTAGCTTTCGTTCGTTGATTACGATACAATTGACTATTGGCGAGCCACGACGAGACCTATATTATAATTATTAGAAGGAGTTGTGAATAATTTATTGCGACTAGACTTGTGCGATTTAAATTAAATCCAACTTTTAGATTAACGCAATGTCAAAATGTCAATTGTCACCATCACTGTGGACTTTTACTTAAAACAGATAAGAACATATGGAAAAAAGTAAAATAAGTTTTCACTTATTTTTTTTATCGCTAAACTTAATGGAATATTTTCCAATAATTATAACAGTTTGCCTTTTTAAATATAGTTTAATTTACATATATACGCGTTTCAATACATGTTTTTTGCATTTAAAATTAATGTGAACGCATCCAATAGTTTTTAATAAGACGATTTAAGATAGCTGCGGGGAGCGGGTAGCGGGTCTGCGTTTGATGAATGTGACAGTGTAGATAATTTTCTTTTTTCTGTTTCTTTGTTTTTCTTTTATTTACTTTAGTTTTGTGCACTAAAATACTAAGAGCGTTACAGTGTTTTCATACTTTCTTATTAATTTATGCCTTGAATATGGGTACAAGCACAATGGGAAGCGATTTACATTCTGATAAGCAGGACAAGCTTTTGAAGCTTCAAGCACGAAAGAAAGAACTTGAACAGATGCTAGCAGCTAAAAATGAAGAACTCTACAAGTTATGCGTGCAAGAAGTACAACTTACAGGTATAATGCCGCCTGAAGCGCCGTTGAGTCCGGAAGTGCCACAAAGAGAAAGATTAGGTAGTATACGAAGTGTTGACCGCTCAACAGACGGAGCGGACGTTCACGATGGGTCAGACACAGCTTCTAGACGACTAAAATCCAGTTGTCTTGATAGGCACGATGGTGAACCAAACTTACGTAAAAATCTTTCGCACAGGCTGTCAACACCATCAATATCTGGAATGTCTGCAAAAAGTGCCCAATCTAGACAAATGCGACGTCCAGAAACTAGCTGCTCTAACTTCTTTCCGTCTCCACCGCAGGAACGTAATGCTGAAACCTTTTCAATACACACTTCTCACACATATCCTGCCTTAGCTAAGCCTAATGAAAATATTCATACTGAACTGCAGCATGGCCCTGTGTATCGTCACCATAACATGGCCACCGAATACACAAATAAAATCTATTACAATACCCATGCAGAGCCACATAATGTTTCTCGGTTAAGAGAAACACATTTTAGTTCGAGTCATCCAGATATTACAACACATTACACACATGGCTCTATTGCACCTCATCCTATTCCTCAGAATGGAATGCGCAATACTCCTCTTTTATACCAATATGCATCACAATTAAAGGCGCAGAGTCAGCACCTTGGTCCATTAAATCATCACCACCAGGTGCAAGCTCAGCCTAAAAGAAGAAATGAAGGTGTTAGACGAAACACCTTACAAAGGACCCAGACTTATCACCTTACATCTCACAGTGATTACAATCATCATCTAGAAAACATTACGGACGCTTATAGACCTCCAAGTCAAGTGTACCAACACAGATCTCAGCCAGATATTCAGGACCAGCCTATGGACAGAATCCATGTGCCAATGGAAAGAAATATACCAGTTCCTAATACCCTGCCATTGAGAGAGCGAAATGTTATCCGAAATCCTCTACACTTACAGTTACAAGTGTCCACTGAAGACTATTCTGATGAACGTCGCCATTATACTGATGCGTTAAGTCCAGTAAGTCAAATGTCAGGTTATTCCCAGAACTTTGATTCAGTTAGTATGAATAAATTTTCGCCACTTTCTCAGGACTCAAAGAAGGAAAAGCAATGGTATGAAACATCGCTGGATTCACCCACTAGGGAGGCTCCTACTCTTAAAAAGAGTGCAAGCTTAAAGAGGACACCCAGTCTAGGGAACTCACAGCCTTATGAAATTATGATTTCGTCTGGTAGACACACTGCTATGCAAAGTCCTAATCATGTCCCAAACAGCCCTCCAGTTCTGTCTCCCAGCGCTATATCTTTGGAATCCCCCAAAAATATGACTGTCATTGAACAAGGGAAATGTATACCCTATAGGGAAGAAACAAAACCTTTCGAGATGTCCGACTTTTATAAATATTCTACAAAGTTCCGTCAGTCGAGTGTGCAAAAGCCACCTCCACCACAGCCAGTACAAAACATGAACAATGTTTACAACAAGTTGCCCAAGGAGTTGCCGCAATATAGTCAAGAACATTGGCACGGAAGTAGTAACTAATGGTTTGAAGTATACATTATTTATATTCTCTATAAGTTAATTTATTGATAATTACCAATTTATCATTTAATGTTGTTTTTTGCTACTATAGGTACTTAATATAATTTAAAGATCTCTAGAATGTTGCATAGAGAAAGATTCAAGATTTTGTATGTACAAACATTGTATTCAGAACACTTTTTACTAGCAAATCTTTATTAATATGCAGACACTAAAACTTGACTTCATAATATATAATTTATGTAACCGCTTTTATCATATGTATTGAGTAAGTCAAAAAGTTATTATATTTTGAAAATTGTTTAGCTTATCTATCTATTGCCAGATTTTGTTAGCTAATTTCTTAGATTAAACTATCCCACCGCTTAAATCTTAGCCAATTTAGTTTGCTCAATTAAAACTTTTAATATTTTTAATACTGTTTGTATGATAAAAAAGGTCAATTAGATAAATGAAAAATTCATTACCTTTTTAAATGCTCAGAAAAATTAAAAGTGCCTTATAATTAAAAGATATTATAACAGTACATCACAAATTATAACTAAATTATTGCTAGAAACAAAGAATAGCTTTTTATGATGAAAATTTCAAGTCTTTATATAGTGCCTTGTCTGTTTGGTCAGTAGATTTATAAATAACTTGCCAAAACTTCTAAATCCCGCTATGCCTTCTGTATCGAATACTTGACAGTCGATTGTTACTTGTATAGTATAAGAACTTATGCATTACATGTGTGTAACTAATAAACTATGTTATGATGTTAGCAATTTTAAATTGCAAATTGGACAACTAAAAGAGGTTTAATATTTTTGTATATTGGTAGAGGAATCAGTGCATTGAGCACCAATTTATTTAGAATCAATAAAGAGTTTTATTTCAGAAATTTTAGTTTAATTCAATAATATATTTAATTAATGCATATTCAAAGCACCGTAAATATTTCCCCTTCAATCGTAGAAGAGTAATAAAAGAATTAGACGTGTGCGCACATTTATTATCACTTACAAAGATGATTGTGACATGATCTTACGACATTTTTTATAATTTTATTAAAAAATGTTAATAAGTCAGATGGTAACTTTTATTCATATGAATTATAGATGCATTTGCGCTAATATTTCAATTAAAGCAATAATTTGGTGAAAGCTTAAAACTTAAAGAATTAAATTGGAAAGGGAATGTGGATGAATAAGGAATTAATATTTTAATTTAGTTAGACTTGTTAATGTTGACGCTGTCTTTCAAACGCCATCAATTTGGCTAGAACCTCTCCTAGTGATCTTTTACCAGGATTGAACCCTCCGTTCACGTATTCATCGTCACCCCCTGAAAATTTCAATAGGAACACTTAAGTCAACGATAACGAAAATGGAGAAAGTTATCTTTTGTCAAGAAGAGTCAATCAACGTTTGCATTTTGAACATTTGCGGATTATTTTCCGTAGGCGCAACAAGTTAGCTATCAGAAATAGATAAGTTCTACGAACGAATTAGATCTTTTAAAGTTTATATCACTGAATGAATAACGTAGTACTTTAAAACTTAAAATAAAAAGTCGCCTACTTAGTTGTAAACTTTGATGTTAACTACAAAACACTAAATCAGTACTTAAGTTGAAGACATTATATTATATGTATGAGTGACGATACTTTTTAATTAGTTATTATTTTATAAGTCATACATCTCATGATTAAGTCAGCAAGTGGCGATACTTTTATTGTTGATTTTTGTTCGTTTTATTAACATAGGTAAATGTTATTACTATCTAACCCAAAGCGTTTGGCGTGGAATCTTTAAAAAAATACACTATAGCACCTAGTAGCACTCGTTATTTTTGTTTGAATTACTAAGATTTATATGAAGATATATTACTTAATAGTAATTTATTTTAATTCAGGATTGCTTCAAAAGATTTGGAAGGCTAGCAATTGAAAAACAAAGCCATCGACAATCGTGCTCAATTAATAAAAATTCAAACCTGCTCCTTGCAATTGGCCATTAACACACCCTTCATCCCACAGATTGACACAGCGCTTGCCCGGGGTGAAGCCCCCATTGAGGTAGTCATCATCATCACCTGCAATATGTTTTTGTGTGTCTGTCTCTTGTTTAAGCAGGCAATAGAGTACCATACGTGGAAAATAACAACTCCATTGCATGCATGCATTGTCTTGCATTTCGTCACAATATATACTTAATTTAGTATTCATACATAAACATTGTTATATTCGCGAGTAAATTTTTAAATAAAATAATTTTAATACATAAAAGGCAAAATATCTCTGTGGGCTATGGGGAATGGAGGTTATGTTATTGAGAGACCCTCTATCTTCAGTCCATCTGAAACGTTGGACAGTGGTTTAAATGTAAAATGACTGATATATTTCGCATTTTAAACCGATACGTGTTCTGTTTAAATACTATATGTTACTGTACTATTACTGTTAGAAAAAGTGCAAACGCACTCGACTAGTTGATTTTTATAAAGACAATAATAGGCTTCATTGTTAAGAATTGGGAAGTTATATATCTATGTATATGTATATACATAGATACAATGTTTAACTTTGTATTTATCTAGTAGTCTATCTTGACAAATGTATAAACTTAGTCTTATTGAATATTTTATTTAAAGAGGACGAATTACTATGTTTCTCCTGAAAATATTTGGTTTTTTCCTATACATACAACTATAAATGCAAAATCAAATTCAAAAGTATGTAAAACATCGTTGAAATTATCAATCACCACAAATATATCTAAAAGAAAACAAAATGAGTTAAAACTACCGCGTGGTGCAATATCGTTTTCTTGTATTGTTTAGCTCTTTGAAGGATTTCAACTGCTAATATTTGTACCAATGTCCTTCAAAGAATAAACAGGAGTGATTAGTACAAGCGAATTGATCGTTGGAATGTTAGTATCTTGCAGTTGCATTAATGACATTCGCGCGTGCGCTTGCTTATCTCTACTTTAGCGACGAGAGATCAAGATAATACGGTTAATAAAAAAACTAAATTACACTTCCAGTGACCGTATTTAATACATGTTTAGTGGACTTAACTTATGGTAAGTGATACGACTGACTTATCTGTATGACGAGCCTACAAACAGGTTAAAAGTACTAAAAATACTCGTACTAAAGGAAATGCTTTGCCGCAGGTTTTGTGGTCACTATCCTTTTATAAACACGACATCTGCAAAGCATCTGAACGTCGGCCCGTAGTTTAATTAAATTAAAAACTAAATGAAATGAATATATGGCGTATTAAACTGTTAAAAGTAAATTAGGTATTTATATTTGTAGGTTATGCGTAAGTACTACATGAACAGACGATAACGAATCTTGTTGAATAAGTGTGCATTTCTGCGAATATATTTGATATAAGTAATACAGAGAAAAATCATTATTTTATTTTTATATTCTATATCTCAATTTAGTATGTATTAGTTTAGAAATGTGAGACTTTAGTGTTGCGGGTACCTAATCTGTCTTTAAAAAAGGTCATATTAAGTTAGGTCGGTTTAAATGAGTACCGATAATTATTTTGAATATAGATATAGTAAGATATACTTAGAAAGATTAAGACAATTTCCGATATTCTATGTTGAAATGAATTATTAAAAATAATAATTTAAACTGTCGTAATAATAGTTCATTCGTATTTTCTATCTTATCTAAAATACCTGCTCCCGGTAGCTGCCCGGTGCTACATCCATCATCCCAAACGTTCGCGCAACGCTTAGAGCCTGAAACAAAAAGTTGCACATATCAATTACAAGTATATTTCACTTGCTTAATCTTACATTTACATAATGTAAAGGTACAGTAACAAAAAGTCTGAACATAAAAAGAGACTTCAAGATAAAGAAAGATCAAAATTCTTTAGTATCTTAGATTATTACCTCGGTTTTGCTTTGCTCTATTATTTATATTTATATACATACTAATAATTAAATAATACTGAAAAACATAGAAATATCACATATCAAACAAAGAAACACCTATATTTGTAATTATTGCCAATAAACGTTTTCTAACAAGTCTAAGTTCTTCAAACGATTCTATGATACTGTCTATAGTTTACGCGAGTAGTACACATTTAAATAAAACACTTTAACGGTTTAAAACGCGATATATTAGTTAAACTTATTTGAAAATTATTTTTAACTTCGGCCCGACGTTTCGGATGCTTTGCAGCAGCCGTGGTCACGGGGAGACTAAAGATGGAGGATGTCTCAGACGTCAAAGTAAAGAATTGCTACGCTAGCGCCATCTGTTCCGTCGAAGTTGGTATTTGGCGAAACTGGCCGGGTCCTTACAGAATTGACTAACGGTGTCTTCGCGTTTGCTGGTATGCTGTTTATTGGGATCCAGAGTTTTTAATATGGGATCCCAGGTGTTTGATAGTTTGAGGCCGTCCTCCCTATTGAAATTTCGGTGTTTTTTGATTTCAATTGCTTCGCGTACCAATCTTGGAAAAAATCGACTCTCCTTTGCGAGGATTTTTGGTTGGTCAAAGCGAATGTAGTGATTGGGCCCTTCTGATGAGTGTTGGCATACCGCAGATTTGGAGAGACGTTTATGTTTTATATCCGCGACGTGTTCTTTAATTCTATTTGAGACGCTACGCTTTGTTTGGCCGATGTAGGATAGGCCACAATCACAATCCAGTCTGTAAACGCCTGCATCTTGTAAAGGGATAGTACACTTGCTTGGTTTCAGGAATTGCTGAATCTTTTTGTGCGGCTTGAAAATTGTGTCAATAGAAGCTCGATTTAGGACTCTGCTAATTCTATCTGTAACTCCCTTCACATATGGTAGGTAGGCGGGCTGACGTTTGACTGTGGGTGGCTTGTTCCTGTTCCTGGGATGCTGCGGGGGGGACCCCCGCCTTGTTTTTGCCAGGGGCCCCGCGGGGCTGGGGGTACCCCCCTTGGGTTTTTTTTGGGGGGGGGCCCCCCTTTTTTTAAAAAAATTAAAGGGGGGGTTTTCGGCGGCCCGGCGGGGTTTTTCGCGGGGGGCCCGGGGCCCCCCCCCCCCCCCCCCCCGGCGCCGCCCCCCCCCCCCCCCCCGGCCCCCCCCCCCCCCCCCCTTTTTTTTTTTTTTTCCCCTTTTTTTTCCCCCCCCCCCCTCTCCCCCCCCCCCCCCCCCCCCCCCCCCCCCCCCCCCCCCCCCCCCCCCTTTTTTTTCCCTCTTTTTTTTTTTTTTTTTTTTTTTTTTCCTTTTTTGCCAAACAAAGGTAGCATACGCTCAAATAGAATTAAATAATACTGATAAAACATAGAAATATCACATAGGACGGCCTCAAACAAAGAAACACCTGATCATGTTTGTAATTATTGCCAATAAAAGAAAAAAAAATTTTCTAATAAGTCTAAGTTTTCAAACTTAGATTCTATGATAACTAAGTAATTTTGTTAATAAATTGTTGACTATGTTACCGGAAATGTATGAAATGGGTATGTATAAATCTTTTAGGGAATGTAAAAAATGTTGTTTCAAAAGCTATTTAATACACAAATGTCCCAGGAATTGTAAACAATCCCGTTATCGTATCAGGTATTAAAATAAAGCTTTCTGTGAAAAATAAACATCTATACTAAAATTATAAATGCGAAAGTAACTATGTTGGTCTGTCTGTCTGTCCGGCTTTAACTCCGAAACTACTTAACTGATTTAAGTGAAATTTGGTACACAGATATTTTAGAGTCCGAGAAAGGATATACTGCTACTTTTTAGCCACTCCCACTCCCAACCCCACTCCTATTCTCAAATAGCCAAAGAAGAAAGTTTCAATGTTCTATCTTCAAAACCACGAATTTCCATACAAACTTTCACCCCCTTTTTTAACCCTTTACAACCCCCTTTTCGCAATAAAAATAATAAGCCTATGTTCTTTCTCAGGGTCTAGACTCTAGACCATATGTGTACTAAATTTCATTCAAATCCGTTTAGTAGTTTTGGCGTGAAAGAGTAACAGACAGACAGACAAAGTTACTTTCGCATTTATAATATTAGTAAGGATTACATTACCACTTCGAGCGTGACTTGTCATAGTGCAGAGCACTATTGCCAAAACGCAGCTCATGATGAAAGCTTTCATGTTGCAATTTGATGTGGATATCACTTTTAATAAATCCCTAAATATTATTAAGTTTCTACGTTTAGTTGGCCCTTTTATATACGAGTTATGTGACTATAAGTTAATTAAAAGAGATAAATAGCCACTTCAATTATTAATATAGATATTGTTGCTGGTGACAATCAAAAGCCACCGAATTTAATAAGGACGCAAGCGGAAGTTGTTTTTGATCGTATATTTCAAGGGTTCGTGGAATTGATATCAAAGTTAATAATTTTCAAGCCACATACATTGATTCTAATGACTACTATAATTAGCCTACCCCTTCTTTCAGAATATGCGGTGGACAATTTTATTTTGTCTTTTGAATGTATGTAGCTGCTACAAAGTGCTCCTAGTCTTTCCGTTCCCTTTTAAGAGTCATAGCATTCTTGGAAGAGGATTTGTACGGAACCTACTCAGCGCCGGCCATGAGGTATATTATCATTACTATTATTATCTAAAACTAAAGAGTTTGTTTGTTTGTGTGGCGCTTGGAGATTTAGCATTTATTGAAGGAGGCTATAGGCTATAACATCGCACTTCGGCTAATAGGAGCGAAGAGAAGAAGAAGTCGCTGACACTGTTATAAATAGATTTTTAATTGAATAATTACTTCATTTCCTTGTATACTACACACTGTGGTTTGGAGTTTTCCGCAGGTAACCTACGTCACGCCTTTCGCCTTAAACAGCTCTCATCCAAAGCTCTATCAGGTCTCATTAAATCTGTCTAGTACTCATTTTGGTAAGTTTAATAAAGCCTCATACACATAGCTTTGTTTATTTTTTAAAGACCTCGTGAATCGTAGCATTAAGCTCATAACGTTTTATAACTAATGGTTAACGTAAATAAAAAAAAATATAAACTGAAATTTAAGTGTTTATTAGATTAAGTTTTAATTGTCAATGTTGATTCTGAATAAACGTTTTTACTCTATTCTAACTGTGATTGAATCATCTGTGGATCATGAAGTACAAGATGTTATAGCTAAATTGTAAATTGATTACTACCCTGGGTGACACGGTAGGGATCCAGTCTACGGCCTGACGATTATTAGGAAATATACAGCTAACATTAGATCTTAATATATGTTTATAGTAATCAATGTTTTGACTTCACTTTTAGAGAAATACCTGGACATAAAACCATTGTTAGAGAGAGCTGAACCAATGAATTATTGGGACGTTTTTGGGCTTATGCGGGGCGTGACGGAAATGGCTGCCAAAGATGTGACTCTTCAGAAGTTTTTGGAAGACACTAGTCAAAAGTTTGATATAGTAAGTTCTTGAATGGATGGATCATGAGATTTACAGCGGGTAAGATATATTATATGCATTAGTTACTAATGATCTGAAATTATCAAAAACTACGATTTAACGTATGTCACAAACTTTAACAAACCACTATTTACATATTAATGAAAATGTATTTTAGAGAACCGGCATCTACAGCGTTCCGTGTTGCGCGGTAGCTCAATTGGTTAGAGCAACAGTGCGGAAGCCGTTTAAGTCCTGCCCGTGTAGAATTTTGTTATCAATTTAAAATCAATATTTAATTTATACACTTAGTTCCTCATCGCATCACGCGCAATAACATGTTAAAATATTCAGGTTTACAATTATTTACATATTGTTTTCTTTTCATTTCAGTTTCTCCGCCTTATATGACTGCCCGTTCATCTGGTTCTTCCCTTACGATCAGTATTTGGAAATATTTCGTGTAATGCACACTCCACCTAACCCAGCATACACGCCAAACTTAAGAACCAGAAACATTCCACCTTTCACCTTCCAGCAGCGAGTTCAGGAGTTGTGGTATTCGATTACCACCTTATTTTACAGAACTTAGTAAGTATTGTTTTTAGCAGTCTTTTAAATCTCAATAACAATTGCCTTTTATTACAAACTAAAATTTCGCCTGATGTTTTAGCCTAACTGCAATTTTATGACTTATTTGTATTTTTATAGTCTAAAAAATTTAATCTACAAGAGCACAGTGACCGAAAATTGTTACACAATTCTTACACCAATAATAGTACCAATTAATTTTCGCCTAAGCATTTTTCGATTCCTCCTTATTTAAAATCATTCTTTGTTGTTAGGCCACTCAGCCTCTAGCAGCCTCATATTATTTGTAGTTTTTACGGTTTCGTTAATATAGAGTTCATTTGCAGTTACAACCTGAGGTTTTAAATTTTACGCTTATTGTTTATAGTGTGAATGAAATTGCAAATATAGAGTAAATATAGCTATGAACGCATTTACTTGTCTGTAAGCTAATTTATTGTGTTTCAATGCAATGTAACTGCAATCGTGTTAAAGGATAAGTATATTTCACCTAATCTAGTGCTGTTAAGGATTCGTAGAGGTTAAAGAAGATAAGAGCAACGAACCCACTTATATTATATATTTACCGCTATTGATAAGATATGACGTAACGTTAAGATACAGTCTGCAATTAACGTAATATAAATTAAATTAGTTACTGTAAAGATTATGCTATCAGCGAAATACTGTAATATTTTTTTTTAAAGTCTGTCTAAGTACCGATCTCGCAACACTAAAATCTATTTCTTTAGTATTTAACAACCAGTGTTGTATACATCTTTTATTGGATACAAGTAAGGATATATAATGATGATGAGATTATGTATTTTTAATACGATTTAAAGTTTTGTATGATCAGACATGGGAAGCATAGCGTCGAATTAAAACCGTTCGAAATGTTTTATTGAATCTGTACCTTCGTAATAATAAATTTAGTAAGGACACTTTCCTTACTTAGTTTTTGGGACAGCAAATAAAATGGAAAAAGAAAGAAGACGTGGCTTGGGGCAGGTAATTCATTATTTGATTTTATAGTATCGATGCTTGTACACACAAGGAGTACAAGAGAAATGTCTTCGATGCCCGACCAAAATCTACACTAATATTATAAAGCTGTTTGTTCAAATGGGATCTTATGCACTACTGGTTCGTGGTAAATTATTTTTGTGTTCGATAGACCATTAATCCAGGACGGTGTTAGGCTATATAACATCACGTTGTGATCCATAGGACAGTAGAAGCAGTGGAAAATGTCAAAATATCGGGGAAAATTACAAATTTTTGAGAGATTCCGTTGCATGTGCTGCAAATTCGGTTCAAGAAACATGTATGAAAGAACGATTTCTCGTTAAATTACCTAAAAAAATTACGACCAACGTTTTTTTGGTAATCAATGTTGGTCGAAACTAATACATTTGAGTTGTGAGTGAGTCATTATAATAATAATCTTGCAAATAACTAAACAAAAGTGGCCGGATCAGCTAGTAATTAAATAAATTGGCACATTTACATGATTAAGAACTTCATTAACACAATCAGTTTTATTTAATTAATTAACAAAATTAAGAAATACTGTCAATTTCAGTTACTATACACCAGTAGAAAAGGGCATCTATAAAAACTTCTTCGCATCAGCTATGAGCAAACGTGGTAAGAAGTTGCCAGATTACGACGCCGTAAGGTTCAACGCGTCTCTAGCATTTAGCAACGCATACGTCACCATGAGAGATGTATCAGAAACTCCAACCGCCTTAAAGAATATTGGCGGTTTTCATATTGATACAAAACTGGAATCATTGTCACAGGTGAGGTGAAGATAAGATGGCGGGTGATTGAAATAAACACTTTTAACGATGTAAACGCGAAACACATTAGTTATCTTATTCTAATCACGGCCCGAAGTTTCGGATGCTTTTCAGTAGCTCTGGTCACGGGGGGACTAAATGTGGAGGGCGTCTATGATTTATGTCATGGTGGACGAGGTAGAAATCACGCTTGTACCGCTCTTGGAGACTGACTAGTGTAGCAGATTTGACTTTGATATTAGAGTCGCCCTCCACCTTGAGTAAACTAAGCTAACTAATGTGTTTTATCAAAATGAATTGGGTTTTAATCGGAAATGGTTGTGTTGTTTATATCTATTGATTTCAAAAAGTGTTTTTCGTAGGGCCATATTAAAAAAAATAAAGCTTCAGATGATTTAAATAAAACACTTTAACTTTATATTAATATATCGCGTTTTAAACCGTTAAAGTGTTTTATTTAAATGTGTACTACTCGCGTAAACTATAGACAGCTTGAGATGATTCCTCTTCTTCTTAAGCATTCTCTGATTATACAATGAATTGTCAATGACGAATATAAGTTGCAAAATTTGCGCCCAATTCAAACGTATACGCAATGCTGCACGCCACAAGATTTGCATTCTGAACTACTGTAGGAATGTATCGATGGGGTATAGGTTCGATCCCCGCCGCTTCCAACCTGCTTATAATTTTTCAATTTTCCTAAAATATATTGGACTTCGTCTAGAAATCTGAATATTACGTATGTGGTAAGAAAATCGTAAAGATGATCCACAGATGAAAAAGCCTTTAAGTTTAATAGCGTTGCAGTCTGTGGATTTGCGAATATTCAACGCCAAAACAAGTCGATAGCGCATCTTGTTCAGACGTATTTGACTTACGATCAAGCGAACCCTATGCTTGTCTGTCTACCTCTATATTGAAAAAAATATTTTAATCTTAAGTAGTTGTCATATTTGTATAACAATTATTTTAAGAGGTGGTCTAAATTTATTTCGTAGAAATTGCAAGACATTATGGATAGAAGCACACATGGAGTTATATTGTTCAGTATGGGCACTCATTTGACTTCACGTGGATTGCCGAAGCTTGTCAGTGAATTTGTGGAAACCTTCAGAAGGCTAAAGTACACAGTTTTATGGAAGACGAATGAAGCAAACCTGACCTTACCGAGTAATGTTATTCCATTGCAATGGATACCGCAAGTGAGTGTTTTGGGTGAGTGAATTGAATTTATTGCACCTGGCATTCAGTATTTAGAGAAGAGCCGAATATCAGCCGAACATTCGGTTTTAAGAAACAGTTCGGTTAAAATTTCACTGAGAATATACACTCACTTATAACATGTAACTCCCGCCTAGTTCAACGGAAAGTTTTGCCGCGCTCTAAGAACAACAAAAAAAATATATTTTTTTAGAAAGTTTATAATAAAGAATTGTAAATATTATAGTATTATTCGTAAAAAATGTATTGCGGCCAATATTTATTTAAAAATATTTTAAATAAATTACCTACCTATAATTTTTAGCGCATCGTTCGCGTTAGTCCACGAAAACATCTACCGTGGCCCGCGTCAAAGGTATATTAAACATTTCTTGTATCGAATTACCGTTATGTTAATTGATTTAAAATGTCAAAATTGTTAATCAAATTCCGGTCCAACCTTTTTTGCCACGAAGGCAGACAAATGAGCATACAGATCACTTAATGGAAGATGACATACCCCAGGCAAAAAATATCTAAACGAGATGTACGGACATTCGTACTGAAACCGTAACGTAGATTAATACGACTTCACGACTTGATCGACTGTGGACAGAATTTTGACAATTTTACCACCAGTTTAAAATCCAATAATTATGTATTTAGTTATAGTAACAGGTTGTTTGTACACATTTGGGAATCGAATCAATAACCATATGTTTATAAGATACCTTTGGACTAGCAAACCATAATTTTTGTTATCTATTCCATCTTTCCAGATCATCCAAATTGCGTGCTTTTCATAACACACGGAGGTCTCATGTCAATCACGGAAAGTGTTCATTTCGGAAAGCCCATCGTCGGCATACCAGCCTATTCAGATCAATTCATAAACGTGAGGATTGCTGTGAAGAACGGTTTCGCCAAAGAAGTGAAGTTGTCCTTGGATTTGGGGAATGAGTTGTTTGACGCGATCAACGAGGTCGTCAATAACCCTCGGTATTAAATATTAAATTTCAAACATAATTACTATCAATATGTCAATTGATTTAGGCTTTCTTAAACGTTATAGTTGTATAATTTTTCATTTAATTTAACTACGACAATGCAAAGTATCCAAAACGTCGGGTCGGAACATTTATCTACGAGAGTTCGCGTTATAAACCGTTAAAAGTTTTTAAATTCCATAGATTAATATGTTTATTATGCGGCCGCACTATATTCTGAGGCTTGATAATCGGTAAAACATAAATATGTTTAGATGAACTAATGTCTATCTGTTTCATTTCAGGTATACTCAAAGAGCGAAAGAGATGTCTTTGATCTACCATTCGAGGATAGCGAAACCTGGTGCAGAGCTGGTGCACTGGGTCCAGCACGTTATAGAAACGAAAGGAGCTCAGCACCTTCGATCAGCGGCACTCCAAATGCCCCTATATCAGAAATGCTATCTAGATCTCATTATTATTGTTATAATATTATTAACTATTCTAAGATATATAGCGCGTAGAACATTCGAACGTTTAACTAGGAAAACAAATGGTATAAAGAAAACGAATTAAATTACTAGAATTAAGATTTTTCTGTATATCTGTCAGTCTCAAGGTTGCATCTTAAGAGAAGTGATAGCAGATTTGACAATTTACTTGTTTCTATTGCCGGGATACCAATTCCATAAAAATTGAGGGGAACTCGCATATATCATGAAATTTTAGGCTATCGACTCGATATAACTTTCAAAATGAGTAAAAAAAATAACCCAAATGATTTTTTTTTACCTAGTTTATGGTGCACTATTGGTCTAGGGAACCCTTCATGGAGTCCAATTTATACTTGACCTTTCATTGTAATAATATAAAGCAATTTTGTCGATTGTTATAGTTTTTAAGATTCAAAAGAGACTTTCATATAACTTAGTTAATAACGTTAAAATTGATACTGTATTAAAGGAATATTATGTCACGGAAAAGTATATAATCTCATTTAAGTATTGGGTATATATGAGATTTGGACCATAATTTTAAACTGTAGCTTGTAACATTAAGGTAAGACCTAGACTAAGTAGTTATTTAACGATTCACGATTAGGTTGTAAATTTCAATGACGCAATAAACTTGTAAGTTAAACATGCTTCGGTTTAAAGATATTTATTGTCTAACATGACTTAAATAAGCAAAGTACAAAATGTTACTCAAGACAGTCCAACTGATTTTTCTCTTACAAATATCATATGCTTATAAAGTGTTACTGGTTTTTCCTGTACCGTACAGAAGTCATGCGATCTTGGGTGAAGGATTTGTTAGACATTTAACCCGAGCTGGACATGAGGTATTCACCGTGGTTTTTTTTTTAATTAAATTTGCCGTTTTCTCTCAGCTTATAATAGAATAGCCTATATGTAATAACCTCTTGTCAATTTGTGTATAATAATAAAACTCTTAATGCACAAACATATTTACTACCGAAGTAGAAAATAGACACTTAACATAATGTATACAAATAAAAATGTTGGTGCAGAAGCGACCTTATCGCCTATGGTGATTTCTTCCCAGCAACTATTGCATATAGAAAGAAATATTTGTAAAAGAATGTATATTTCACTATAGCAGTAAAACCACTGCACATGTTTTATAAAAACACAATTTAAGAGTTAGGTGAATATTGTTAATAATATAATGTGACAGAAATATACCCGCGAATGAATTGTTAAGATTATAATTCCTTTTTTATTATTTTGCTATTTAACATTTTATAGTTATATTCTGCTTGATGATAAGATTATGTACCCTTTATAGGTGACCTATGTAACACCTTATTTAATAGGAGAAGCTCATGAAAATCTACAACAAATTGAAATTGGTACTAGAGGACTATTAGGTATGCGAAATTAAAAAAAAAAATTTCAGGGGATATTTTGTTTTCATCGATTTGGTGAAACCATATCTTTATGTATTATTTTTTATGATAGCGGAGGAAAGAAAAGATAAAACACTTTAACGGTTTAAAACGCGGCCCGACGTTTCTGATGCTTTGCAGCAGCCGTGGTCACGGGGAGTCTTCCAGCCTGGAGCTTTTTCAATTGAGTTTGACTAATATATCGCGTTTTAAACTGTTACAGTGTTCTATTTAAATGTATAGTACTCGCATATAGACAGATATTTTAAGTACTTTTCATAATTTGTATTCTGTTCATGCATAAGTTTATTGAAATTAAAATTGAAATTTTTTAAAAGTAAATGATATTTTTCCAGATAATGTTGTAAACCTGAAAAATATATTAAATAAAGAAATGAATTCCGCTGAATTATTCAATGTCATGATGAAAATTGTGAATTTAACGTTGACAGATGCTAACGTCACTGAATTCTTATATAACAAAAATAACATTTATGACGTCGCAATTATTGAAAGGATGTTTATTGATGTGTTTAGTGGGTAAGTGGTTCAAGATAATTTTTGACCTGTGGGTTTGATATTTGGCTTAGAACAAAAGAACACTTAGAAAAGGATGACGCCGTTAAAAGAAAGTAATAATACGAAATGAGGTTTCTTTGTAGTTCCTTGCCTTATTTCGTAATCAAGCAACAACTTAACCGAATCTCCTTTTGTCTAAGAAATGTAGATTTAATAATCAGCCTATATGTTTAAATAAAACACTTTAACGGTTTAAAACGCGATATATTAGTTAAACTTATTTGAAAATGATTTTTAACTTCGGCCCGACGTTTCGGATGCTTTGCAGCAGCCGTGGCCACGGGGAGACTGAAAAGGAAAGATCTGCCTCATGTCAATGTAATAGTAATGGCGCTAGTGTAACGTTGGGCCGTAGTAAAGTAAACTATAAATAAGTCAAGTAATCGATTTTGCGTTTAAATCCGTTTAAATTGTTTTATTTAAAACTCTAGTTTTGTATTCCACTCCTTGCTTTTTATTATTAATAGCTTGCTTTAAGTTTTTTTATTACAATATTATGTGACCAAAATAACTGTTAGTATTATTATAGGTTTGCAGCTGTATTTAATTGTCCATATATATCATTCTTCTCCTATCACGACGACATGGATATCCTAGAACTGATTCATGAGGTACCCAATCCAGCTTACACAGCAAGCGTAGGGACAACTTATATACCACCACTTTCTTTCTTTGAGCGCCTGGAACAGCTGTACCTTCACGGCTTTATGTTAATTATGAATCAATAGTAAGTTTCGTGTTTTGAAAACAAACTATGTCAACATATCATTGTCTTTCGGGCTCAAAGTCAAAGTCAAATTCTTTAAAAAAGCCGCGTCGCATCCGAACCCAATGGTGGTCCGGGCCGACAACTACACCGTTCCCGTCAGTACACGCCGGCATAGGCGAGGTCATTCGCTACGCGTACCGCTCACCCGGGTGAGCTTCCGTCCAGCTCCTCAAGCTCCCACCCGCATTGCGGCGGCCCAAGCCGAGGCCGATGCCCCCCTCGGGGCACCCGTGGTCTAGCCGCAAACACGGCGAGCTCTGGCGTGCTCGCACAGACGCCCGGTTAGTATTCGAGGGCTCAATACGTAATAGTCATTGAAAAAAAAAAGGACAACGCATAATTCTTCGAGCAATCGAAGAGTCAACATCTCCTGATGACGCTGTCCACACGTGATGGCGAAACTTTGAAAATCTCTTCTTGCTCACATCGGTTGAACAGCCCGAAAGACAATGATATGCTGAACGATGGCCGTGAAAGCCTTACACAATTTATTAAACTATATCAAACACAGGTTCTTAGAAACACAGGTCTCCTCTAGAGAGTAAAGACCTACCACGCTGTTTTAGTACGGTTTGGTGCGTTTTGTCGACTACAGCTACAAAATTAATGGTGACATCCGCAGTGGCGAAACTATAGGGTCGCAAGTCGGCAAAATGCCACGGGCTCCCAGCCCGAAGGGACCCCCGGTCAGAGGAAATCTCAATTGTTGGTTCAGCTTCTTTGTTGGTTCAGCTTCTTTATATATACCGATACCTTTACGTGCCCTTGAAGGCACGGAGGTACACTTCTAATCTTCGGTTTGTAAGTTTATTGTACTGAGTTATATGTACTGTCTGTAGTTTACGCGAGTATTACAATTTAAACACACTTACCGTTTTTAAAACACGAATTTTCTAATATACAATGGCCAGCCGGGTTAACGAATAAGGGACCTCGTAAACAGATGAATGTACTAATATCTAGAACATATAGGCAGTTTCATTAATTACACTAATTTATTTTTACACCACCAATAAAAGGTTGCTTTTTGCAGGAATTGCTCCGATAAATATTTATTTTAAAAACCTTTTTACGTCACGAGCGGAACTTGAACCCGCACAGCTTTCCGTGTTGCCGCTCGAATTGAGCTGCCGGGTCCTACCCGTCATCGAATTGCCTCAATCTATTGATACATGAACCTCTCGCGCCATGTTGTTTGATTTAGATAATGTGAAAAATATTAAACATAATATATTTTAGTTACATAAAACCAAAGGAACAAGCAATATACAGACGTATGTTTGAACCTATTGTGAATAGTCGAGGAGGAAATCTACCAGATTATGATGATATAAGATATAACGCCTCCCTAGCATTTACAACGTCACATATAAGTTATGGAAATAGTTATGTCCATCCGTTGGCTCTAAAATTAATTGGAGGTTTTCATATTGACGATGCTTTGAAACCGTTGCCAAAGGTGGGTATAAACCTAGAACTATTAAATACTTAGAACATTTTTAACGGTTCTAAACGCAAAATAGAGTTAACTTATGTTTAAAAACGATTGGATTTTTCTGGGAATCAAACCTGTTATACAATTTTAACTATTTATTTATGTATTATTATGTATCGTTGTGTATTTTAGAAACTGAGAGAAATAATGGACAAGAGCGAAAATGGGGTAATTTTATTTAGCATGGGTTCGCAAGTGACGTCAGAAGGAATGCCCGAGCAATTAAAAACGGATTTAATCAGAATATTTTCACAATTAAACTATACAGTATTATGGAAGTTAAATAAACTAGAATCGAAGTTCATTCCGGGGAATGTGAAGGTTGTACCGTGGTTACCGCAACAAAGCATTTTAGGTATTTTTATTTTATTTAAATAATAACATCGTTGTTGGCAATGTATGGCTAACAATCAACGTAAGTTCGATTCCCACCGGATACATGATAAATCATTTTTGATGTCGATTTTTTCAATGTGCATAAATATTTTGTGTTAATTGATTTGACTCTATATTTAGGACTATACACATATATATAATAATACACACGAAGAACATAATTGATGTAAAACGCCTATAAGACGATTTTACAACTAATTTTAAGTTTTACGCAAATGTTGCAACAGATTGGGTGATCAAAATTTCTTACAGCTCATCCAAGATGTGTTCTCTTCATAACGCACGGCGGCATTTTGTCTATCACCGAATCTGTACATTTTGGCGTACCCATCGTTGGGATCCCAGGATTTGGTGATCAATTCGTTAATGTAAAGACAGCCGTGAAAAATGGCTATGGATTAGAAGTAGCACTCTCAGCAGATATGGGGGATAAACTTGAAGAAGCTCTGCACGAAGTTCTGGGTAATCCCAGGTAGAATTTATTCTTTATTCGTTTTGTTTAAGTAATTGCGTTTAATAGGGCACTTTAAACGGTTTAAAACGCAAAGATATTAACTTGACTATCAGCTTTATTGACCGTTAAAAGCGGTTTTGTATGTTGTTTTAAATTATAGCTATTAATACTTGAAAAGAGTTAATTCGACGAGTTAATTATTATGTATCAAGAAGATAGGAGAATTGATATATTTTTGGTGTATCACAAACACAAAGAACGCTAAAAATGTCAATACACTCTTTCAATAAGCATATGACAAGCATACTTCAAGTACATACATACCTCCGGCGCATTGATTAACTGCTGACTTCCACACTACGTACACATTACACTACTTATGTAAAATATTATTGTGGGTCTTCTGTATTATAATAAGGAATAAAGGGCACACAGAATTTTCACATAGCCTTTATGAAAAGTAATAACACTTAAAAACGCACTGAACTCGCGGAAACAATTATAACATTAACGCGTAGTCTCTTTAACACGCGCGAACTTTTTCAAAAGTCACATTTAATAATTAAGAACTGTACACAAACAGTTCGCACGAGTTTCATACATAAGCGTCTGACAGCGCACACTGACCTCGCTCGGTCGTCGTATCGAAAAAACTAAACTACCCTCAAATATTATTTATTCCGAACAGATATAATTAATTTTTATCTTTCCTAGATTTCAACAGCGTGCTAAGGCAATGTCCCTTATTTATCACTCTCGTGTGATGCCACCAGGTGATGAGATGGTATTTTGGACGGAATACGTGGTGAAGACCCGTGGTGCTCTACATTTGCGCTCACCAGCGTTATCAATGCCGTTATATCAGAAATATTTTCTGGATATACTTGCTACGCTATGTATCCTTCTCACTATCATGTTATTTATTGCTAAGAAAATGTTCATCTATTTAATAAAAGAAGCAGTAGAAAATAAGAAAAATAATTAAGTAGTTTTTAATAGCTTACTTTAATTACAATTGTAATAAACATTTATATTATATCTGTTTTCTAAAACTCATCGTCGCATTTTATAAATATTAATTATGTACACATAGGCCGCTTAACCCTACCTGTGTGTTGACTACATTTGAAAATGGATCTATTTTGCTATATAATAAATACAGTTTGTTGACACATCGTCTGATTGTTTTCGTATTGAAGCGTCGCTATATCAAGAACCAAATAGGTGATAAACGGTTTTTATCACCAGTAAAGACTGTCGTAAGTATGTGAAAAGCATGTATATACATCACAGAGGAATGGCATATACATTAAAGTAAATTTGTTCACTGTCGTAAAAATGGTTCGAAGAGTAAATATTTTGAGAAACAATAAAAATTTATTTGACAATAAACAATCCATTAATCATTGACCAGGTTAGGTATACTAAAATGATAGAGTTTTATAAACACATGATGTTGTATTTACGTTTATTAATGACGTTTTTGTTTACTTGGTTTCTTAGTACTAAACAGGGATAAAACCATTTTGATAATTTTGATCAATATGAAAATTGCAACTAAGATCAGAATAAAGAAATCGAGGTACAATTTTTCATACCAAAGAACGACCAGAGCCGGAGACCTAAGGTGCCGCGCCCCACCGGTTTTGACAACGTGTTCAACCCAGTGGACAATCTCTTTCTGTGGAGATATGGGTCTGTCGTGGTAAACCATTGACAGTTCTTGCGCCCTGGTAATATATCTGAAAAAAATATTAATAGCAAGTTATGGAATGTCTTTTTGTGAACTTTTGTAAAAAATTCTTGTACCAAATCGGAGTCAGATAGTAAGTGACATTACTCAAGTCAACACGACATCCCGTCAATCTGGACGGCGTATTGGGCCTGGCTTTAAAACTCTTCTATGTCTAAGGAGACTTGACCCAGCCATGGAACATTAATGTAGGCCCCAAAATATCTATTATTACAATCTTAAAATTCATATATCCAATTAATATTTACCTTTTATCTCCTAACACTTTCTCGATGGCAGTTTTGATGTCGTCAGCCATTGTGATATATAGCCATATGATAATTCAACTTTAATTGCAAAACCTTTTTCTACAGCCCTATTAGCATTATGGAACTGGTCTGCAAATACTGGAATTACTATGCTCGGTTTCCCGAAATGTATTGCTTCTGTCGTTGATAGTAAACCACCGTGGGTTATAAAAAGCACACAGTTGGGGTGAGCTGAGAAATAAAATTTTATAATTTAAAACTGGAAAATAAATTGAAAAAATTTTCGACTCGGGCAGGACCTCAATTGGTAGAACAACAGCACGGAAAGGAGATGCCGGCAAGCCTGCCCGAGTCGAAAAATTTTTTTTTTTTTTTTTTTTTTTAAATATACCTTATTAAATAAAATTTAATGTTTTTAAAATATATATTTTATGATATAGATATACTTAGTTCTTATCTTAGTCACTGACTTATATCAAAAGTTTACTATATATAAATAACTATGTAATTAAAAAAAAGGTGAAATCGATTTCATCTACCACTACTATTAGACCACCTTTGTCTAGGATGTGCTATCACCCGAAAATTCGTAACACAGTTGATTTCAATTAATGATAGAGAAATCGCATTTAAAATCGCTTAAAAAAGTTTTATATAAGTACTTTACTTTGATCAGTCAATGATTATGAATTAATTATATTAACCTAATATACTATCTTGCGGAGCCCACTGAACCATATGAACATTGCTAGGTTTCGAATGAAGATTGTCCTCAAATTTCCATAGCACTGTATATTTCAATTTACCAAACATGTTCAGCAAGCTTTGCTCGACTTCATCGGGTAGATACTTGCTTTTTAAATTGCTCCCCATGCTAAAGTAAATCAAACCATTTTTGGATTCATCCAGCAGTTTCTTTAAGTTCTGTAATAAAAGAATTGCATATTTAATCAGTTTTTATTTTTTTTTACGTTTTTAAAGGCAGATAATAGATAAGCACGGGTCTCAGCTGATGAAAGGTGAAAAGCCATATAACACCTAAACAAAATGTGTTGTCGACTTATTTTGGTTAGAAAAATTCGTACATAGTAACTTACTTCAGGTAACGGTTTAACATCCCGATTTATATGATAACCTCCAATTTGTATAAAATTTGGTGGTAGACGTATCGCTTTCCCAATAGAAACATGTGAAATACTTAGCACGAGTGAGGCATTGTATATGAGTTCATCAAACGAAGGTATTGCCTCGTTTACGTATAACTGGTACAAAGAGTCTCTCGAACTCCTTGTTTTGCACAGGTGTTATTCTGGAAATAAAAGGATTATAATTAACAAAGGATCATTCTTACAAGAAATTTAGAATGTTCGTGCTTTTAAGTATAGATGTCGTGGTACCCCCGACACTACAGCTGCTGCAAACATCCGATACGTAGGATCGATTCAGAAACACTAGAAACACGTTGGACTTGGTGGGGAGCTATCCCACGATCCGTTGATTATTAGGTATACATTGCTACCATAGACTAACCCGTCAATGTGGAGTTATTGTTAGGCTTAGTTCAGCTTACCCTGCTAAAAGTTCACAGAACATATATTCAATGATAATAACATCGAAATGTTCATTCGGATCATTCATCAATCTCTCAACATCCTTATTTTCAATTGTATTGACTTTTATTTTAGGTAATAATGTAGTGAAGACCGTAGAATTGTGCACAGAGATTTCCTTATTTAAGAGAGATTTCAGGTCTTTGATGCCATCTGAAAAATTTACGAAAGGTCGTTATTGGTTGTTCTTGCAGCTAAATAGATAATTAGGTAGTTGGTGTGTACCTGGCAAATATTGCTTATTATCGCTGATGTCTATTTCTTTTATAGTAGTTATTCCTTTGGGAAAGGGAGTAATGTATGTAATCTGAAATAAATAGTTGACGTTTATATATGTTGTATATCAAAATACGCTGTCTGTTGACAAGGAAATCTGACCTGGTCTTCTCATATATACCTACCACTAAGCTTTAAAACATACTCACTTCATGTCCAGCTTTCACCAAAACATTGACCAGTTTGTCCCCAAGAATGGAGTGGCTTCTTGAAGGCATAGGATACACCACGAGAATTTTGTAAGCATCGCAGTAAGCTAATGTACACAACACTAACAAAGCTAATAACATTTCATCCGCAAAATTGATTTCTGCAGTCTAAATAATTTTATTATAAGTCAATAGGCGATTAAAGATATGGACTACCTGCGCGTACGACTTGATTTTACTATTTATCCGGTCTTTGTCTATACCGTAAGGTTGATTGCTATTCTATTAAAACACAAAAAAGGTCTCTAGAGAGAACGGACACTAACGTCGCTTTGAATCGGTCAGCGGCGCGCATGTTTTGATGACATTTGTTTTTTTGATAAAATGAACACAGGCCGGATTAAGATATGCATTTATTGTTTTGGGCGCTGTTTATTGTATAGTGTATCTAAAATTACCGTGAACGGTTTGAACAAAACACGTTTAAACGGTTACAAATGCAAATTGTTTTTTTTTAACGACATGTGAAAAATATTAGGTAACTTTGCTCTGTACTATATAATTAATTAAATAATATAACGTTATTATAGCGTTATTGTAGCATTATTAGGCGTTTTAAGTTTTATTTAGTTGTCATAGAAGTTAATATGATAAATGCGAAAGTAGCTCTGTCTGTCTGGCTTTAACGCCGTAACTACTGAACCGATTCAAATGAAATTTGGTACGCAGATATTCTAGAGCCTTTTTAATGCCAAAAGGGGTTGTTAGGGGTTGAAAAGGGGGATGAAAGTTTGTATGGAAATTTTCTTTTTTGGCTTTTTGGGAATCGGAGTGGAAGTGGGAGTGAGTGTAGCAATGAGCGTAGGTGTGATGTGAGGTTAGAGTGGGAGTGTTGAGGCAAAGTAGCACTTATAACATAGATTGGCTGCCTTAAATACGCCCTTTTATAAATTAATAAACAGCCTAAATAATTAATAACTCTACCCAAAGTCACTATTCCACGCGGACGAAATCGCGGGCACAGTTAATACTTTATAAAACTATAATCTTAAGCATAATACATTAGACTAATGTAAATGTTAGATGTTAAAAAACCTTAAAATATCTTTTTTAAAACGTTGTAATCGCAATTTATGAGAATAGTTAAACAAAATAAAGATTTTCGAAATTAAAATATATCCATATTAAATAATTCAAAATCTATATATGTACATTGAAAAAATTAACGACTCGGGCGAGAGTTGTCTCCACTGTGTTCGTGCGTACACGTCATTGTCAATATCTTCAACCCATTGCATCTGTCGCTCATTGTAAACCTCAATTCACACGTCCCTCCGTGACGGCTGCTGGCAAGCATCCAAAACATCGGGCCTAACGAGTATACTTTCGCGTTTCAAACCGCTAACAGTATTTTATTTAAATGTTTCCTACTCGTGTACAGTTATCTTAAGTATTGTATGTACTAGTGTAGTACAGACAATACTTAAGATAATATCGAGTGAGTGAATTATATCCTGTATCGTCATTATCTTAGCATGACCTTGCAGCTAGTACCTATCTTAGATAGACATGATAATATTTAGAATCAATATAAATCATTTATTAGGTAGGTGTGAGTATTTATAGCGTTCAATGTATTATTCCACAAGTATGACACATACATTATAAAAACATCTAGTCTATTTAAATGCTATGAATTCATAAATAAATTATGGAAAATTTAGATAGACACTATATATCTATATAGTGTCTATCTAAATTTATTATATTAAATATATATAGTTCATTCTGATAGGTTAATTGGCCAATGTTAGTAATATATATATATGTAAGTTTATGTTTATTTACTATATCGGTTCTACCATTTCCCTCGATCCAGGATTCGAACCTGGTACGTTGTCAACTGCCGTTGAGTACCGTAACCAAAAATACTTGCTTCAGTTACATGCGAGTTAAAAAAAACTAAAACAATATTTAAACAAGTTTAAAAAGAAACAACGGTGTAAAACTTCTTAAAACGTCTTTTCACGTCTTCATCATTATGTAATTATTAGTTAAAATTAAACACATCAACTTAACTTTTAATTTATTTACTGTTTCTTCTTCTTATCCGATCTCTGCTTCTTCCAACTACATAAAGATAAAGTCTTCTTTAATAATACAATAAGAAGTAATACTATAATTATTACAATAGCAACCAGGTCCAGATACAACTTCTGATACCACGTCGGGTCAAGGGCTGGAGACCGTAGATGTCTAGCACCACCTGTTCTCACCACGTGCTCAATCCAATGGACCACCTCCTTGTCAGGAGTTACTGGTCGGTCATGATAGATCACGGATAGCTCTTTCGCCTTTTTTGCATATCTAAAAGTATTTCAACCATATTATTATTCTACTATATCATTTTACATATAACATTTGAAATTAAACTATTTTGTAAACTTTAAAAAGAGTTAACTAAATGTAGTTACATTAAGTTACTATTAAATTTTAACTTTGATCGATGAATATTGTCTACGCAAAAAGTATAGATAGATATATAAGTATAGAGATATACTCGTAATTGAAATAATTAACTGAAATTTAAAGTCTATATAGATTAGAGAATAAAATTTACGACTCGATTGTCCGTGTGATTCCAGTGCCGGTTCAAACGGTATCAACAGAGTTGTGTGTTATTAGTCTATCCAATTAAGCTATCGTGTCCTATACATGTCTCGAACAGTACAGATACAGAAATACTTCAAGTTTGCAATGAAAAATAAATATAAACATTCAATAAGCACTGTTATATTACTATTTTCTTTAATACTCACTTGGGATCCTGTAATACATCTTCAATAGCTATTCGGAGATCATCAGCCATTGTGTAGGACAAATCAACTTTTTTCGCGAATCCCTTTATCACAGCTAGGTTTGCATTGTTGAACTGGTCAGCAAATACTGGAATTGCTACTATGGGTTTTCCGAAGTGAATGGTTTCGGTTGTCGAAAGAAGACCACCGTGGGTTACAAACAGGATGCAGTTTGGATGAGCTGAAAATATATACACTATTTAAATAACTTTGCTTTTACCTATCAATTGTATCATACACCAATTCCTAGATAAACAATAAAAGTCGCCTAAAGACAACAAGAATTGACTAATCATCTTCTTAGGATTTTCTATGCTTATGTCTATACGGGTTGAACACACGCGAACATATTTTTTGTCCGTTTTAGTTACACTACAGTCTAACAGTCTAAATATCTTACCTAAAATACTTTGCTGCGGTGCCCATTTTACAATTTGGACATTGTCAGGTGTCCCCGGCAAGTCTTCTTCGAATTTCCAGAGTATTGTATATTTCAATTTACTAAACATACTGAGTAAACTTTTCTTGAGCTCAACAGGCATATGTTTGCTCTTCAAATTGCTTCCCATACTGAAGTATATGAGTCCATTTTTCGCGTTGTCTAGCAGCTTTTTCAAATTCTGTTTCGCAAATATGAAATAACTATTTTAAAAAACAACTTATTTTTAATTCAACTCCTCGATTCCCCCCGTGAACTATAAGTTAATATATATTGCGCGTTCTAAACCGTTTAAAGAGTTTTATGTAAATCTATACCACTCGCGTATAATACGGACAATGCTCATACTTTATTATGAGCTATTTATTTTAATTGAATTGATGGTACTCTTAGTAGTTTACGCAAGTATTACATATTTAAATAAAACAATTTTAACGGATTACAATGCGAAATATACTAGTAAATTTATTTCTAATTATGTGCAACTACGGTCTGATGGTACTGCAGTTTTTGCAATAGCCGTGAGCCTCCGTGACAACTGGTGCTGAAAAGCGTCCAAAACATCGGGCCGTAGTTAAATAAATATACTTCGCGTTTAAAACCGTTACCGTTTACGTTAAAGCTTAAAGAGACGTACACCAGCCATTTAACATTTAAACTAGATGGTCAAGCTATTTTGGCTCTCGATATTCGTATGTAGTTCTATATATATAATGTGGTAAGTAGGTAAGTACGTTCATTGTCTACAATTGTAGAACTAACCTCAGGCAAGGGTTTCACGTCACGACTAATATGATAGCCACCCACGGGTATAAAGTTCTGCGGCAAGCGAACACTCTTGCCGACAGACACATGAGAGTTGCTAAGAACCAGCGAAGCGTTGAACATCAAGTCGCGAAATGCTGGTGCTTTATTTCCCCGCTTCTCAATAATAGGCACTAAGAACTTCTCGTAAGATTCAATTTGCATTGGAATCAAGGTGCTGAAAATAAAAACAAAAAAATCATTACTAATAATTGACCATAAGGCAATTTTCAAGGAATGTACCACTAAGCCCAGATGTCATTAATTGTCTGTACTAATATTGTAAAGCTGAACAGTTTGAACACGCTAATCAGAAACTACTGGTCCGATTGAAAATTGTTTTTGTGTTGGTGGGACCATTTACTGAGGAAGACTTTATGCTATAAAACATTGAGTTACCACCAATAGAAATAAAGAAATAGAGAGAAATGTGAAAATCCGCGGTTACCAAAACGTATGTATAAAAGAATGATTTTTCTTATCTCAAATTTAAGTTAACGAGTTGGTAATTTTCCCTTAATATTATTGTAAGTTATTTAAGGTTTTTGACACCTTCACAAAGAGCCATAAAAGCGAGAATTTATTTAATAATATAGCTGTTTGGTATGGCATCTTTCTTGATTATTGTTGTTGTATCATTAAAAAAAAGTGCTAAGAATATTTACAAATGTTGGAACGACATTCCTCCGATTTGGAAAATCAATTCCTGAACTCTTTGGATAAATGTGAATGGTGGGAAATTCGTCGATATCGCATCGGGCGTGTAAGCTGGATTCGGAAAATCGTCGACTAGTTTCAGAGCTCTCCAGTGGGGGTCAGCAGACGACACCCATATGTAAGGACAGTTGAATACCGCTGAGAACCTATAAAAAAAATAATTACAATTGTAATTGTAGCTTCTAGTCAATTTCTAAGTTGGAAGAACGAAATACATAGTGTAGCCAAACTTGACAATCACATGTATTTTACTAGAATGTAGATCTACAATCTACAACTACTTGTTTCAAAACATTGTAGAACAAAACTACAAAGCTAAGCGATTTTTATCACGATTTTGAAATATATAAGTTAATTACAACAGGTTTATTGGATCGCTGCATATAAACTGTTTTTTTTTTCTTACGTTGCTACGTTATTCACGAAGTTTAGCATTTATTAAATTAATGATGTCGTCAGTAAGTACACTTTCCACTGCGCTAGCGAAAGTAGATTTAATGGAGTGAAAAAAACTGTAAGCACAATTAATTTCACGGTTTAGAGGCAGGATTTAATTCATTTAATTAGATCTTGAGAAATAGTACGTACCCAGCTAGTAACTCGTAAAACATCCACTCTATTATGACTATGTCAAAGTGCTCGTTGGGATCGTTCAACATTTTGTGTACTTCTGGATTCTCAATTGTTTTCTCACTTAATTTTGACATCGATGTCACGAAGAAAGTTATATTTTGCATGTCCTTTTCTTTATTCATGATGGCGTTAATATTGCTAATATCATCATCTGTACAATGAGTTTAAAACATCTAAGGTCCATTACAGACATATAATAAAATTTGGCGAAAAAGTTAACGGCTGTCAACACCTGTCAAATCTGTATCTTAAGGACGTAACTACTGTTTAACGGTGGTTCAACTTTAATCATTGTCAGTGAAATTAGATCTAAACTAAGAGTTCATTCTAGAAACAAAACATACCTGGGAATACTTCTTTATTTTCGCTAACGTCCATTGTTCTGATGTTAGCGCCTACATTTTTTGGAAATGGTGTGATATAGGTGACCTGAAAAGTTTTCGTTTATTATCGTTAATTTGCTAAATTTTTAAGGTAACAATTTAAAGTACTTAGGAAATAAAGTGAGCCTTCTGCGAGGTCCTGTGTTCGAATCCCGCGGAAACAACTTGTTTCAATTGGGCAAAGATGGAGTCTTCCTAAAATTGGCCAACAAAATTGATACAAATATTAATAATAAACTCAATTAAAAATCGATTTGAGAATAAAAAGCAAACTGAACTACCGCTTCCTGTTGGTTAAAGCAACAGCACAGGTTGCTGTGGATACAGGTTCAATTCTCGCCATTGTCGTTTGTGTTTTTTTCAACCTAAAATCGATTTTTAGTTTATGTTATACAATCTTGTGCAATAAAATGTTTAAAGGTCAAATTTTTCAAACACTATCACTATCTTTATAACTTACCTGATAATTTTAAAATCGAAAATAAATTGAAACTGATGAAATAACTTACCTGATGTTTAGCTTCCACTAAAGCGTTGACTAAACCATCACCAAGGATGGAGTGACTTCTGGATGGCATAGGGAATGCTACTAAGATTCTGTAGCCATGGCTACTAGTTATCACCAATGTGATGACAAGTAATAGGTGACCCCACATAGTCTGAAATAAAAATGACAAACTAAACTAAAGTATTTAAGTGGATCTTAGAAGTAATTTAAATGCGACTTGACGCTTCGAGTACTTTTGATTTAATAACGTAAAAATTAACCTAGTTACAACTGGGTTAAAGTAGGTTTATTTACTGCGTAACTAACGTAACGTATTGGGTAAACTACGGATCCAAATCAAATACAATTGAAATTACTTCTTTCAAACGACCTAATTCATAGTAAAGTTTGAATTCGGACAACTTATTTCTCAAGTGAATTAATATCACATAAAATGTTGCATAATTTTTACAATACTACGCTAGTTTCAAGTCAAAAGTCAACAATAAGCTTAGTAAATTATACAGTTCCTATATTATTATCCTGCAATTAACCAAACAAGGAAACCACGATAAACCGAGTGATGGAATTCTAATAATTATTATTTATATCTCATGTAATTGATATTGTTAATCTATTTACATTAAAAATGCAACTAAAACTTGATATAAAATACTTTAGCATTAAAATTTTTGGCCAATGCAAAAAGTTAAATTATTCTACAAATTTAACACATTAATTACGTGAAGATAAATTTACGTATTTCACAAAGAAAGTATAAATTGAATTAAAAGTTCTACCACGTATTCACCAATACGAAAACGACGCAGTTACAAGCAATAATTATGTTTATTACTTACAAATTGACACTGCGTGTGAGACGCTGAGGTCACTAATGATCACTGTACAATCCTGTTCAGTGTGGTCTCTCATTTTTTGCTTCCGAATTGAGTTTGGTTATATCGCCGTCTCGCTCATAGATTTTATCTCGTTAGATCATCCCTTCAAATTGTTATCTTTATGCATTTATTGTTACGAAGCGTGGATTGCGTCTAACGTCTTCTATACATAACTTAACTAAGTGAAGCGTGCTGATTGTGTACTAAATGAACTGATAAGTTTTTAAGTACTGAACAGGTTATAGAGGTTATACTGTATTTTGTATAATAAATTAAAATAAGTGTTTATATTAAACATTGCTTATCAAGAACGTTGAAGTTTGTATGTTGTTATTGTTGAGGATTTGTAATTAATGACGTGAAAATATTTCCATGTTTTAAGTGATCAGTATTATTCTTCACTTTTTTAGTTATACGGTAGCTGACAGATGGCCACATGTAGTTAACGAAACTGACTAATACGAATAATTTCGTTATTTAATATATATGTATAAAAATCATTTGTTACGTTATCGAAACTTGATAGTAATACAAAAGTTTACGTCATACTGAACATACTGAACGAATTAAGATTATGAAAATGTTCTTTTCTGCATTCTTCATGATCGCTGATTAACTGACTTCCGCAGCCTACAGACTTAAAACTTGAAGGACGCGTTCGTTGTATGACGCATCGCATGATAAGAGAGGTTTGTTTGACATTGTGTAACGTTAAGCTGTGTGAAAAGTATCTACCAGGCAAGTTTTTTTTTTACGACAGACGAACAATGTAAACAAGATGTGTAGTCGACATATTTTGGCTTTGGATGGAAATCCAGACAGAAACCGATTTAACTTTGTGAAGTTAAACACTGTCTATAGTTTACGCGAGTAGTACACATTTAAATAAAACACTTAACGACGTCCGACGTTTCGGATTTCGCAGCAGCCGTGGTCACGGGGAGACTAAAGATGGATGATGTCTCTGACGTCAAAGTAAAAAATTGCTACACTAGCGCCATCTGTTCCGTCAAAGTTGGTATTTGGCGAAACTGGCCGGGTCCTTGCAGAATTGACTAACGGTGTCTTCGCGTTTGCCGGCATGCTTTTATGGTATGCTATGTTTTTAATATGGGATCCCGAAGTTTAATAATTTGAGGCCGTTCTCCCTATTGAAATTTCGGTGTTTTTTGATTTCAATTGCTTCGCGTACCAATCTTGGAAAAAATCGACTCCCCTTAGCGAGGATTTTTGGCTGGTTAAAGCGAATGTAATGATTGGGCTCTTCCGATGAGTGTTGGCATACCGAAGATTTGGAGACGTTTATGTTTTATATCCGCGATGTGTTCTTTAATTCTGTTTGAGATGCTACGCTTTGTTTGGCCGATGTAGGATAGGCCACAATCACAATTCAGTCTGTAAACGGGTAGTACACTTGTTGGGTTTCAGGAATTGCTGAATCTCCTTGTGCGGCTTAAAAATTGTGTCAATAGAAGCTCGATTTAGTACTTTGCTAATTCTATCTGTAACTCCCTTCACATGTGGTAGGTAGACGGGCTGACGTTGATAAAAGAGCCATGACTCGAAATCAACTGTGGACGTCTGTGTTACATGACTTAGACAAATTTATCGTTTATCGATAGCACAGATTTAATTTTCTGATTTATTGACGAATAGTCATTTTAGAACATATACATTGATTGTTGACTAGTTGGACTTAGTGGGGCTCGAACCCACGACATGTTGATTAATAGCCAAACTTTACTGCCATTACACCACCCGGTTTCTTTGTACTCTAAAAGTTCTGAGTAACAGCGCGGGAAGCGCCTAGTATGGTCTACAAATAAATCTTCTCCTTACGCAAACTGTACCATTTTTGTGGGGAAAAGTGGGACGTTATTTTAATAAGAATAGAACAGGACGACAAATTAAAACTAATAGAATAAAAGGAACATTAGAAAAATTACGTTGCAAGGAAATAGGAAAAAAAATGACACGGGCGGGAATTGAACAGGTATGTATTATAATAATAATATATATAATATTAATAATATTTGGTAGTAATAAAAGATAATAATAACAACTGATTAGTGATTCATATTCCCTGGTTTGCTAAATAAATTTATTTTTATTGTTAAAAATATGAGATAAAATATAAGTTGTATATAAATTGATTACAGACAGATCTCAGAGTTCATCTTAAATGTTATGTAGTAAGATGTTTCTGGAGTGCGATTATTTTTTGTATTAAATATATGTTTTATGTTTTAAACGGTTTACATATAAATGAAGTTAAAAATATATTTTGTGCCAATTATGTGTGAATATTAAATATGTCAACTATTATTTTTATGGGAAAGAAAAAAGGTAAAAATTATTATCAATTTTAATTCTTCTTCTTACTGTTGATTGGTTTTTTTGCAGCACGTTTGCAAGTAGTCCTTACAATATACGTAATAGAAGCTACTATCACTAAGATCACAGAAATAAGATCGAGATAGTATTTTTGATAGACTGGCATGTCCAGAGCGGGGGAGCGTAAATGGGCTGCTCCTCCAGTCTCTACCACGTGTTCCACCCAGTGCACCAATTCCACACCAGGTGGAACCACACGAGAGTGGTAAATAAGCGACAATTCTTTCGCCTTAGCTGCATATCTGAAAGTGTGACAGTTTGAAAGGTTTTTAAAAGCCTAAATGGTGAGTTATTGGGGCAAAAACTTTTCCGTGCTATTTCAATGTAAAAAAATAGTAGGAGATTCAAAAAATGTTTATCATAAGACGAAAACCAAATACTTTAACAACCGAGTTCTTACCACTAAATGCCAATGATTTGAGTTATATTTTCAATTTCAGAGTCAAAATTCAAAAAGTCAAATTAAAATTAATAATCAAAATAATTTTTTCCTAGGATTCGAACCTTGCTTTGTGCTTAACGCAATACGCTTAACGAAGAATTGTTTTTATCCTCAACAGAATATTTGAAACGATAGTACTTACTACTTATATGGAATAAAAGATATAAACTAAAACAGAGAGAAGATTTTGTAAGTGAAAGAATTAGCATTTCTTGCTTTAATATTGACTTAAAGACAATTTCACCAAATTGAGAATAATAAATATACTCAATCCGAAAGTTCGATGCCTAAATTTTCTGTTTATCTACATTTGATGTAATAAACCTTTGATAAATTCGGTTACTATTATAAAGTGACTCGATAACAGATAAATGATTTACTATAAACGGATATATTACAATCGACTGATTATGATTCACGATGAATCATTTTTTGATGATTTTTAGTTTTATAGAACTATCATGTCAAAGATATATTTTGAAATCACGCTTTCATAATTATTAAAAAAAAATACATCTAAAAAGAATCTTCGCACTTACTTAGGATTCTGCAAAATGTGCTTTGTCTGTTCCTTGAAATCGTCCATCATGGTGTACGATAAGGGAACCTTCCTCGCAAAGCCTTTATGAACAGCCCTCGCTACGTTTGTGAACTGGTCTGCAAATACTGGAATACCAAGTAAGGGTACACCATAGTGAATTGCTTCTGTCGTCGATAGAAGACCTCCGTGAGTTATGAAAAGTACGCAGTTGGGGTGGGCTGAAAAAAAATGGTCACTTAGAAATATTGTTACAAATCTAAAGCCGGTTTTACAAGCTATTGTTTTTATAAAACACCATTTATGGATTCTTAATACGAGTATATGCTGTTTGTAAATAAATGTATTTTTACTCACTAATGAAAGTGCCAGTTTTAATGTTTAAAAATTATTTAAAACGCACCTAAAATGCTTTGTTGTGGCGCCCACTTCAAAATGTGAAGGTTATTCGGTTTATTTTTAATCTGATCATCTTCGAACTTCCAAATGATTGTCTGCTTCAGTTCTCCGAAGAATTTAAGTATTCCATTCTTGAGGTCCTCTGGAAAGTCTTTGCTTTTCAAATTGCTTCCCATGCTGAAGTAAATGACACCGTGTTTCGCATTGTCCATGATTGTTTGGAGATCCTATAAATCATTAAGACATAGAGGAAACCGAGTTAATATTTCCGTATATAATGTAAATAAATAAATAGCTTAGTTCTTAAATGTCATTAGTTCATCAGTTATGAATTAGAAACTGTACGATAATAAGAATTGGGGCTAATTAATGAAACTTGTAAAAAGTGATATTTGTATAAACGTAGTAAGCTATTTATTTAGAAAAGCCAATGAAGAAATAAAACACTTTCAATGGTTAACAACGCAAACGCCACCCCTTAGTCGGACTGAGACTGCTGCAAAATATCCGAAATGTGGGACCGTAGTAAAAATAAATTGTAAATAAGCTTAGTAATAAATATCTCGATTTAAACCGGGCAATTGATCTAAGGTGCTAAATGTCCAATTTATGTATAAATTTATCACACAGGTGGATCTCAAACTTACTAAATTTATATAGGGGATTAAAGTATCATACAGACGATTTCAGATCATCTCTTTTTAGCATTTTTTTGTGAGAATAGAAGAATCGAGAGCTTACTTTTGGTAAAGGCTTCACTTCTCTATCGATATGGTATCCAGCTATAGGAATGTAGTTCTGGGGCAATCTCGTCGGTTGTCCTAATGAGAAATGTGAATTTCCCAGCATTAAAGAGCCATTGTATCGCAGAGCATCAATTGTCGGTATGGGCCTAGACTTATCTTCGATGTAAGGCACCAGGTACTCTTCATAGTACTGTTGTTCCGGACCATGTATTAACCTAATTATAAGATTATTTTAATTAATTATATCTTAATTATTTTTTTTTTACTTGTTTGTTTTGAATCCACGTAACGAAAGTTTTGACTTTGGCTATTGGCTAATAAGCTAATAACATGACAATGGAAAAATGCGGACATTGATTTAATGATAGGAATATCAAAATTATGTCTGGGTCACGAACCACCACCCGCAGATGAAAACACCGTTAGCATCGGCGTTTTTGGAGATTCTGTAGACCTTTTATGATGCAGGAGGATAGAAAACCATGAGGTTCACATGATGAAGGGTGACAAAACTCGAGCTATTTATTATCTCAACAATATGCGTTGTTGATTTGGATAGATTGATTGGTAGATTATTCAGTGTCCAAAGCCAATATAGGTTCACGACGTATCTTGTTCTGATGTTATGATTCCAGGACCTTTGACGCATACGGCATTAACCATTAATATAGGGAGTGAATAAATTTTTACACTTGGGGGCAATAAGGACATACACGCAAATGTTTACGTCAATAAAATGTAAAGAAGCATTGTCTCAGAGGGCATATAAAACGTAAATAACATTAAGAATTATTTTATTACTAAATGATTCATTATGTTCCTTGATTTTCGTCATTTATTATTAATTGTACGTATTATCCGGTCACTCACAGCTTGAAACAATACTTGCAGTAAGTTTGTAATCTTTTTTAGAGCAGAGGAAGGCAGATTACATCTGCTTCTTTTGATGGAAGATGAAATATCCCTGGTATATAACTAAACAAGATACGCTATCGACCTATTTCCATTTTTAATATTTTTAAATCCAGACATAAAGTAAAACCATAAACTGACAGTGGCTCGTGGCCCAGACAGAATATATCTATATCCATATTTTCGAGACAAAAACTTCAGACATAACTGGAATACATTATGATTATAAGCTGTAAATGGAGATAAACGAGTCCGGTATAATAATAACATCCCATAGTTGATTTAGAATAAAAGAACAAATGTTGACATTCCATGTGTGTAACAATGACTAGCACATTTGAAGGCTGTTTTAATCAATCTTAGGAAATATATCCACTTCTATAAAAATATTTAAAAAATGTAAAGTCAGACTTTAATAATAAAATGATCAATACTATAATATTATCTCGATCGTCGTAAAACATATTTGTTTCTACTATTCATTCCCTAAGTCTTATTAAATTTGAGTTTTCAGATATTCCAAAAAAGTCTTTGTCCATATGAATTTTACAATAGTAAAAATTAAGTATACCTATAGTATAATTTACCAAAATAATTCAAGTAAGGTAATTAAAAAAATGATTTAAGACTAACAAAAGATTACATGTAAAATATTAAAGTTTTATTTGATAAATTTTGAGTCCTAAGAATAGCAAGTATAAGCACATACCAACTTTGGATGAGCCGTCCAAATATTATATTTAACAATTCCACAACGCGTTGCCAGAAGTTAAAAGGTGGTACGTGGTAAGTTTGACAATCTGGGGTATATGATGGGTTTGGGGCTTCATCTATAATCTGGAGTACCATCCAATGGGGTTCCACTGTAGATAGCCAGATTAGCGGACACTGGTAGACAGCGGAGAATCTGAAAGAAATATGTTCTATTAATTAATATAATATATAAATTTGAATTTATCAATTTCGTCATTCAAATGTATTTGTAACATTGTTTTTTCGCAGTTAGTTTTTAACACGAAACCGTTTTTTGTTACTCTTTGGCTCCGCTGGTTTGCTTTTTTTGCTAATACCTATAATATACACGTTTGTTTTTATAAGCGATTTGTTTAATAGGATTCTATCATATATTGCAAAATTGTTGAACGGCATGTTTTATCTTTTAAGGGTAAATGAAATATAGTGATTTCTGTAATGACATAAGGCATAATGTTACAAATAAAACAAAACCAGGACAATTACTTTGTGTGAATTGTCAAAACTGTATTTTTGTGGTTTTCCAAATTGATTAATCACTTCTATTTTGAATGCGTTTTAGTAATGTTGGTACTAACTCTACAACAGACAAAACCTATGATCCTGACCTAGATCGTTACATCATTGGTTTGAGAAGATTCTCTTCATTTCATCTCAATTCACACAATTCTACATGTCATCGAACATGTAATTTGGTTGTATGGATGACACTGGACACAGCGATCCTCCAACCAGTGCGGATGCCGGCGTCACAAATTTTTGTTGTTCTAAAGATTTTAAATATTTTTTTCTTACCCAGCATAAACTTCGGTGAACATCCATTCAGAAATGACAGCATCGAAACGCTGAGTCTTGTCCTTTAACATATTCTGCACGTTAGGATTGGCTAAAGTTCTCTTCCCGTTCTCCACGAACAGCTTCAATAGCATCGTTATGTCTTGAAAATTCACTTCTTTATCCATTATTGCTTTTATAGTGAACGGGTACTCTGGAAAAGTTACTATGTAATAATAAAAAGGGACAAGATTGAGGGTTTTTCAATTTATTTTCGATTTTTAAAAGATTGAGGGTAGTTTATACATTTTAAATAAGTTTAACTTTGTATGAGTTAAACTTATTTGAAATGTTTTTAAGTTTTAAACCGTTAAAATGTTTTATTTTAATGTGTATTATTCGTGTAAACTGCAGACAGTAGGTACTTAGCTAAGATTGAATTACACTGATGGACGAGAGTTCCGTTATAGGTATATTTATTGCTAAGACCTAGAATTTTAAAAAATCACCTAATTAGATAGATACGCTATTGAATATTTTTATCTCATTGTGTTGGACAACATTTCCAAATTTTAATAAGTTTTCTTGGTGAAAAATTGATGAAAGACGAACGAGCGACGAGAGTCTTGGGCAAGGGCATGGCAAATCATCTTTGGCAACTAATGAGATATTAAATAGTAATTGAATGGCAAACAGACAATATCAAAACAAGAGTATTTGATCGTGTATCATTTAGTTTTTTGAATAATAACTTATAAGCATAAGGATTGACTGCAAATTATTTAACAAACCTTTTAGCATGTCAGCGTTTGAACTGACATCAATATATGTGACATTCGGATGCGGCTTATTGTCATTCGGATATGCCGTTATGTATGTTATCTGAAAAATATATTTACAGAAATTCGTAGAAATAACTCTTCCACTATGCTCACTTAGCTGTTTTCATTATTTAAATAAAACACTTTAACAGTTTAAAATGCGATATACTTATTTTAGTTCTTCTTTGAGATTTATTTTTAACTACGGCCGGACGTGTCTCCCCCAAGGCTGTTGCAAAACATCCGAAACGTCGGGCCGAAGTTAAAAATAATTTTCAAATAAGTTTAACTAATATATCGCGTTTTAAACCGTTAAAGTGTTGTATTTAAACAAAAGTAAGTAAATAATTTATATACAACTTAAATATGTTTTATCTTGTTGGTAAGAAGGTATATATTAGTAGATAATTAAAGAAAAGATAAAAATATTACATAAATAATAAAGAACTTTCTAATTCAACAGTGAAATATCAAATTGTAGATTGTAAATAAATATAATAAATAAATTGAAATTTATAAATATTACCTCATGTCCCTTATTTATAAGATGTTTAACCACACCATCCCCCAGGATAGCATGGCTCTTCCCAGCCAGTGGACTTATCACCAAGAACTTATATGAATCACAAGAAATTGCCAAAGTCGAAAATAAAACGAAAGCTGTTATTACCGACATTGTTCATTTACTTATTATGACTTTTTAAATTCTTAAATCACTACATCACTCGCGTACTATTACCTGCGATGTGAACTATATCTATAACAATCCATATCTCACTTAATTCTTATCCAATCTGCGCAAGATTGATTAAACTCGTCAAGTGCTATAATCTATTATTTTAATAAGGTACTTATATATCATTAACTTGTGAAATCTTTTGATTTATCTCAGTTTGAGTTCGTTACGACCTAACAATTATTTTTGAACTGTCTCGACCAGTTATGTGTTAGAGGTCTTTGATCGGACTAAAAATAATCTATGCTAACCGAAGCGATCGTGTAGAGATGCCGCGATTTCAAACACAAATTGTGTGTTGCCACTTTGATTATAGCTTTATTGAAGGTCAGGGGTCTGATTGATGTGGTATGTAAGCAAGTAAGGTCACGGTTAGTCGCGTTGGATGGGCGATGTACCTAATCTATACTAATATTATAAAGCTTAAGAGTTTGTTTGTTTGAACGCATCAACCTCAGTAACTACTGGTTCGCATTGAAAAATGATGTTGGTTTAGCGGAAAAAACAGATGGCATTGTAGAAATAGCGGAAAAATCATCACTCACTAGGTAACAGCTATAATTAATAAAGCTTAGGAGGTTGGATGTTTGGAAAATAAATGTGATGTCCAAATTATAAAACTGTCACGTGGATAAAGTCTCGGGCACAGCAAGTAATAGTTTTAAGAAGTCCGGGATTAGAGTGTTTCTTAGGGGATGTACACCATGTGGATAACAAGTTAGGCCTTTAGGAAAGAAGAACGAATTGGTGTTTTCATAGAAATGTCAATACTGTTTAAAAAAATGTTTTTTAGGAATTTTCAAAGATACAAATTATGTATTTTCTAGATCTGATGATGATAAAAATAAGCATAAAACAAGTGTAAAAACTACATATATTCTTTCTGTCCTAATCTTTCTTTTTCTTTTTAACATCGTTTATAAACACTGATAAAATTAATCGCGACAAATATAATATTGTTAATAGAATTAATAAGATAACACCAAATAGGTCGAGATATAACTTTTGATACCAGGGCACTTGCAGTGCAGGAGACCTTAAATGTGTGGCACCACGGGTTTTTACCACGTGGTCTATCCAATGCAAAATCTCTTGTCCCGGTGGGGCAATTCTGTCGTGATAAATGAAGGATAGTTCTTTAGCCTTCACTGCGTATCTGAAAGTAAACATTGTTAATTAAAACTGATGCGACTATACTAAGCAACTATGTGTTATTGCACTAGGAATTAAATCGCGTTTTATTTTCGACTATCCAAATCCCAAAATAGGCCGATAGCGCATCTTGACTAGATGTTTTATGGCCTGGCTATTTCACCTTTTGTTTTTCATAAAAAAGATCAATATTTAATTTGTAACTAAGTATACTCAATGTCGTCATACTATGTAGGTATCAATGCGTATGTAACTTGTACTAACCTCGGGTCATTTAGCATTGTTTGTATAGCTTGTGCCAAATGCTTGTCCATGTCAATAGACAAGTCAACTTTGATAGCGAATCCTCTTCTTATGGCTCTATTAACATTTGCAAACTGATCCACCATGACAGGAATACATATCATGGGCACAGCAAAGTGTACTGATTCAGTCGTAGATAGGAGTCCACCATGGGAAATGAAGATACGAGTATTAGGATGTGCTGGAATAACGATGAAGATGAATTTTAAGCACCGCCTCTGTAGAAATGGTTAAAAGTGTTGTCTAGCATTGCGTTACACGAAAGAGGTGCTGGGTCGAGTTTTAGGGAAAAGATTAACTGTCCAACTACTTTTGGTGCTATTTTTTGTATATGACGGCACTAAGTAAATTTAATATCGATTATAAATTGAAAAAAAAAACACAACAAAAGAGGTTTTTACCAAGAATGCTTTGCTGTGGTGCCCAATGAACAATATGCACGTTCCTCGGTCTATTTGGCAAGTCTTTTTCAAACTTCCATATGACTGTTTGCTTCAGATCACCGAATATCTGTAGAATTCCCCTCGTCAAATCTTCTGGTAGATCTTCACTCCTCAAGTTAGATCCTAAGCTAAAGTAAATTACTCCATGTTCGGCATTATCCATTATCGTTTGAAGGCTCTGAAATTTGTTTTGTTTTTTAATTTAATGTGAGATATTAAAAAAGCTCTTTAAAGGGCTTTAGCTCTAGAATCTGTGCTAAAGAAAAACATGCTAAAGGTCTAGAGCGAAAAAGATTAAAGCTAAAGAATTTATTTGTTTGAACGCGCTCTTAAGAATAACTGTTTCAAATCGAAAAATAAAATAAAGGAAAGGCATCGTGGGTTTTACGCTACAAAACATCATGCAGGACTAAAGCAACATTGGGAAATGTGGAAAAACAGAAGAAAATTATTCAGCATTGAGGGTTTCCGTTGCTTCCGCTTGAAATCGGTTTAAGATACACAAAATAAAATAATTATTCTTCTATAAATATACAAAAAAATCCACGACAGTACATATATCTCTCTCTTTCAAGATTAACTCGCAAGAAATGTTTTTATAGTAATAAAATTTAACAGAAATACTTTATACGATAAAAGAACGTTTGGCAGGATAGCCAGTGTTTTAATACACAGTTTTCTATAGGCCAGCAATTCTAGACAATTCTTACATCTGGTAGCGCTATAACATCAGTCCGAATATGAAACCCTCCAATAGGAATGTAGTTCTGGGGTAGTCGTAAAGCTCCACCAAGCGACACATGTGAATTACCAAACATGAGTGACGCATTATGTTTTAGCTCGTTAAGAGTTGGTATAGATTTTCCCCTATTTTTGATATGAGGTGTAATATAAGTCTCATAATAACTACTCTCCCGAGGTGCTACGAAACTGAAATTAATAATTATCAGGTCAATCAACTTTATTTCGTAGGACATATATTCAGTTTCAGTAACGTTGTTTGTTGTACATTGTAAATGTGGCCTATCTTTTGGGAAGATTAAAACTCAGGCTTATAACAGATTGTCTCTATGTTATAAGCCTGAGTTGCTTTAGACTTGTCTTCCTCTTATACAAAATATGTATAACATTACTTACAAGTTTAACCATAAGCCATGAATTTGGCCCACCAGCTCTTCTATCCTTTCCCAAAAAGATAAGGGTGGAGCGTTATTTGAAGTGATACCGGAGACATAGGCCGGATTTGGTATTTGGTCAATCAACCTCAAAACTTTCCAATGGGGTTCCATCGATGAAAACCATATATAAGGACAGTCAAATACTGCTGAAAATCTAGAAGTAATGCACATCAGTTTGAACATAAATCGTAGCAAAAATTTAAGAAAAAAAAATAGCTTAAATAATTATTGTGTGCAGCTTAGGCACGTAGTTACACATTTAAATAAACAGTTAAAAGCATTTGAATCAAAGTTATTTCGCGAGTTAAAGCACGATTTATTTTTGTAGTTTACTAATTGAATTAAGGTACAGACACTGCTCTGCAGCCATTCGAAATTCGAAATTTGCAATTCGAAAGATTGTTATTATACGTACTCGTATTCGTTTTCGTGTCATCTTTGTGGCACAATGTATTAACGCAGTGGATATCTTGGGTATAAAAATATAGTACGAAATCTGATCAATTATTCCTATATAAGTGAAGTCGATCAATAAAACGGACACAAAAATATGTCTACCTAGCTCTTAGAACGAATAAAAATAACCTTACCCTGAGTACAATTCGTGGAATAACCATTCCGTAATGATGAGATCGAATGACTGGTTGTGATCTCTTAGCATCTTTTGTACGTGATCATTAGTGAAGGTGTATCTTCCTATCTCCAATCCAATATCCATGAGCATATAAGTAGATTGTAGATCGACATCGCCTTTCATCATATTTTGAATGTTTAAAACGCCACCTGAAAGGTGTGCCAACATTCAAACATTAAATCTCACATAAAATATACTAAAGATAAACTTATTCCTAACTAGATTATGTACTAACCAAAATTTGCTAAAAGAAATAAATACTCGTTATACCTAAGTATATTATCGTAGATCTAGATGACGCACAGTTCGGTTTCAGGCCGGGCTTGTCCACGGAAAGTGCAATATTCTGTCTTAAGCAGACGGTCCAGTACTACACCGCCAAAAGCACCTCGGTCTTTGCGTGTTTTTTAGATATGTCCAGGGCGTTTGATACAATTTCTTATGACCTTCTTATGCACAAATTAAGAACGAAGACAAGGGTTTCAGAGGAAGTTGTAGGAGTTTTTGATTATTGGTACTCCAATCAGGAGAATTGTGTAAGATGGAGTAATGTGGAGTCTGAGACGTATGGGCTAAAGTGTGGGGTAAGGCAGGGGGGGGGTTACATCTACCTGTCTTTTCAACCTATACGTCAATGACCTCATAGAGCGTCTTAGGAGCAGTGGTGTAGGCTGCTCAATAGATGGAATAAGTGTGAACAACATTAATTATGCTGATGATATGGTGTTGCTAGCTCCCTCGGTGAGCGCCATCCGAAAGCTCTTAAAAATCTGTGAAGACTTTGCTGATGCTCATGGCCTCAGCTACAATACAGCCAAAAGTAAGTTACTCGTTTTTCAATCGCGAGGTGATAAGATAGGCGTAGTTCCTGCAATAATGCTCAAAGGTGTACCACTACAACGAGTAACTGAGTATAAGTACTTAGGTCATTGTGTCACGGAGGACCTTTCGGATGGAGCTGACCTGGAGAGAGAAAGGAGGGCTATGGCGGTAAGGGGTAACATGTTGGCCCGTAGGTTTGCACGAAGCTCAAACGATGTCAAAATCGTCTTATTTAAGGCTTATTGCCAATCATTCTACTCGTGCAGCTTATGGGCCTCCTTTACACAGAGAGCACTGCATGCTATTCGTGTGCAATACAACAATGTTTTCAGGTTGTTATTGGGCTTGCCAAGATACTGTAGTGCGTCGGGCATGTTTGCGGATGCACGTACAGATGGTTTCCACGCCATCATCCGCAAGCGTGTAGCTTCCCTCATGTATCGGGTTCGACAAAGTACCAATGGCATTCTGGGGGCATTGTGTGAAAAGTATACGGTGCTGCTAAAACGATGGAGTGACGTCCATGCTCCCCCTTAGCGCCTAGCACCTATTCTATGTATTCTGTCTATTTAATTTTAGTGACTAACACATTCTAATATACATTTTAAGTTAAAAATTGTTACTAACCCAACTAACGCACATTAGAATTAATTAATTATGTATTATTTTAAAATAATGTATGGATCTATGGTCTGACAAATAAATTATTATTATTATTATTATTATTATTATACAAAATCTTACTTATTTAAATTTAAGCTATGGTGTTTGGAGGTTATTGGGCGCGGTATAGGAATAAGTAAGTTATCTTAGGTTAGCAATAAATAAACAGCAGATATAAAAAAGAAGTTTCTTTAGTTTATTGCTTCATCATATTTATTGTCTTCTTCAATATGCGTGTAAAATGGAAGTATAAACAAAATTGTTATTCTTTTTGCTGTTACTTTCATAAAAGGAGTATTTTTTGTCTGGTAAATAAAAAAAAAACAACAAATTACATACCTGTTAGAGCTTTACTGTTATCACTAACATCAATTATCGTCAAGTTCTTCTGAGGTTTAGGCGGAAATGGTGTAATGAAAGTAACCTACAATGTAAAGATTTGTACAATTTAAAAATTCCCTTATACATCAAGAATATTTATGCGGCATTATAGCTCCTAATGCCTCGGCATGG